ATCAGATTCTGTGTAGGCCATCTGGATAGACTTGGAAGTGCGATCGGATGGGAGTACAGAAATATTGAGAGTGCATCTCATTAGCAGGCAGGCCTCCATCTCCACAATGCTCCCAAATTAGGCCTTTACTTTTGGGCCACATATGTTGATGCATATTATTATTATTATTATTATTATTATTATTATTATTATTATTATTATTTGAAACACAACAAGATGAATCCACAGCAGACATTCTACTGGCTGTTGAATTGATTACACGTCCCAAGTGTCTAGGGCTGTGTGATGTATCAGCGAATAATGCATGCAGATCCCAGTAGGGGGGCCTTTTGCAGCTGGCAGATGGTGATTTTGTCAGCGTAGATTGTGTTTAAGTGCAGGCCAAGGTCTTTAGGCACTGCACCTGGTGTGCGGATCACCACTGGGACCACCTTGACTGGGTAGTGTCAGAGTCTTTGCAGTTTGATCTTTAAATCCTCATATCGTGACAGCTTTTCCAGTTGTTTCTCTTCAATCCTGCTGTCACCTGGGATTGCAACATCAACAATCCATACTTGGTTTTTTAATTATTTGATTATTTATTATTATTGTTATTATTATTATTATTATTATTATTATTATTATTTAAAAGCAAATTATTCACTGTAGAATTATAATGCCTTGTCGAAGGCTTTTGTGACGAGAATCACCTCTTTGAAGGTGAGAGGGTCGGTATATAAAACCTCGAAATAAATAATAAAATAAATAAATCACTGGGTTTTCCAGGCTGTATGGTCATGTTCCAGAAGCATTTTCTCCTGACATTTCCCCCACATCTATGGCAGGCATCCTCAGAGGTTGCGAGGTTACAACATGGCCATTCAGCCTGGAAAACTTACAACAACCCAATCATAATGCCATTTGATACCATTTGAACTGCCATGGCTCAATGCTATGGAGTCATGGGAATTGCAGTTTGGTCAAACTACTACTGTCATGATTCCATTGCATAGAGCCATAGCAGTTAAAATGTGTGTCAAACTGCTTTAATTCTACGGTGTAGATGCACTCAAAGAAGTAGAAAACACAGAGGCGTTTATATATCTGTGAAATGTCCAGGGTGGGAGAAAGAACTCCAGGACCAGCTAACACCTCCCAAAAAAGGATTCCCTCAGGCAGGAAGCAGCCAGGCTTTGAAGCTGCAAGGCTATTCAGTGCTTATCAAGCTGGCCAATTGCAACATTCACACTTGCCTTAAGCAGACAAGAGTTCTTTCTCCCACCCTGAGCACTATTCCACAGATATATAAACCTCACTTGCCTAGCTTCCAACAAACCCCTCAACTTCTTAGGATGCCTGCCATAGATTTGAGTGAAACGTCAGGGGATAATGCTTCTGGAACATGGCCATACAGCCCGGAAAACTCACAGTGACTTAATCCTAATGCCATTCGATGCTACATGAACTGCAGTGGCTCAATGCTATGCAGTCCTGGGTGAAACTACAACTACTGCATAGAGCCATGGCAGTTAAACGGTGTGTCAAACTGCTTTAACTCTACAGTGTAGATGCACTCAAAGAAGCAGAAAGTGCTGAGGATAAGTTAAACAGAGAAATGGACCAATGGCATAACAAATACAGGCCTGGTGGCATGGTTTATGGTAGGTATGGTGCGATAAAAAAAATAGGGCATAAAAGATGAGATTGGAAATAGGAGAAGTATCAACGCAAAGCTTGAGAAAGTTGTATGTTTGATACTAAGGTTCTGGAAATCCCCTAGCTCAAGCATGGACCAACTTGGGCCCTCCAGATGTTTTGGACTTCGACTCCCATCATTCCTAACAGCCTCAGGCCCCTTCCTTTTCCCCCCAGCCGCTTAAGCGGCTGAGGGGGAAAAGGAAAGGGCCTGAGGTTGTTAGGAATTGTGGGAGTTGGAGTCCAAAACACCTGGAGGGAGGGCCCAAGTTGGCACATGCCTGCCCTAGCTAGAATCCTACCCACCATGATGTTTGGGGAATTCTAGGAGTTGGATTCTCTGCATGTAAGGAAATAATAATAATAATAATAATAATAATAATAATAATAATAATAACAATAATAATCACCATCATCATCATCATACATTTTGCTGGCTGGATGAACTCACTGGGGTCCCAAAAACTGCCACAAGGCTATAACTGTTTCTGAAAGTATCATAATGTCTTTTGCTGATTGAAACTAAGAATTGGCAAGAAAAATATATTCAATCTGGAAAGAGAGGCCAGGACTGATAATCGAGAATGAAAAGTGTGGAGAGGAAAGGAGAAGTGAAGTTTGGACCCAAAGCGATAGATAATCTGATATAAATTACAAAAGACATTCTGGATGGTTGGACCCGGGTTCAAATTCTCCTTCGTGCAAAACACAGCAGAAATCCTGCCCTGAGGAAACCCATCCCACATTTCCCTAACTATATTATGACTCTGTTATTTCAAGGGCAAACACGGACACTTGGAGTAAGTGATAGATAGGGGCTGCGTCTACACGGGTAGAATTAGTGGAGTTTGACCCCACTTGAACCGCCATGGCTCAATGCTCTCCGATCCTGGGAATTGTGTTTGGATGAGGCAGAGAAGAAAGAGGACCTTGCAAAACTGCAACTCCCATGACTTTATAACATTGAGCAAGGGCGATTAAACTGCATTCATTCTACATTCTGGAGGCGCCCATACAAATAGATAGATTGACTAAGTCTGCAAAATTAAAAGGCCGAAATGGATCAAGTTACTCAGATATACATTTGATACATATGAATACGCAAGTGATAGGTAAAGAGACATGGCGTGGCATAGAATAGGACAGAATAGAATGGCATGAGATGGAATAGCATTGGGATAATATGGCATGGGATAGGGACGGCTTAGAATAACATGGCTCAGGATGGCATAGAAGGGTATGGGATGGAATGATTTAGGACAGCATGAGTTGGGATGGCATTGGATGGTCTGGGATGGGAGGGTAGAGTCCGGCATAGGTCAAGATGGCATGGGGTTGCCTGGCAGGACAGGATGGATTAACACAAGATCTGGGTGAAATGTCAGGAGAGAATGCTACGCATTTAATTTTGCCATTTATATGTTGGAAACTGCTTTGAGTCCCTTCCTAGGGTGAGAAAAGCCATATATAAATGAAGTAAATAAATACATCTGGAACATGACCATACAGTCTGGAAAACTCACAGCAACCCTGTGATTCCGGCCACGAAAGCCTTCGACAACACAAGATGGTATGATGGGGCAGCATCGGTCATAGTGGCACGGAATGGCATGGCATTGCATGGCATAGAAGGGATTGGCATAGCTTAGGATGGCATGAATTGGGATGGTATTGGATGGCATAGAAGGGCATTGGTAGAGATGGCATGGGCCACGATAGCAGGATGGCATAGGTGAGGGTGGAATGAGATAACATAGGATAGAACGGGATGGGATACGATGAGGATAGAATAGGATGCCATGGGCCAGGATGGCATAGAATGGCATGGGAAAACTTTCTAACTTGGGGGCCGGATGCTAGCACTCCTTGTTAAGAAGACTGGCTGCCCGGTGATGGAAAGAAGGAAGGGAAGGAGGAAGGAAAGAGAAAAGGAAGGAAGGACAAAAGGAAGGGAAGGATGGAAGGAGAAAGAGGGAAAGCGGGAGGGAGGGAGGAAAAAGGGAAGACAAAAAAGAGGGAAGGGAGGGAGGAAGAGAGGGAAGGGTGGAAGGGAAGGAGAGAAGGAAAGAAGGAGGAAAGGGAGGAAGGGAAGGATTAAAGGAGAAAGAAGGAGGGAAGGGAGGGGGAGGAAAGAGAGAAGGAAAGACAAAGGAAGGAAGGAAGGAAGGAAGGAAGGGAGGAAGGAAGGAAGGAAGGAAGGAAGGAAGGAAGGAAGGAAAGAAGAAAGGGAAGGATGGATGGAAGGAATGGAAAGATGAAAGAGAAGGTGGAAGGAAAGAGAAAAGGAAGGAAGGAGGAAAGGCAGGAAGAGCAGGAGGGAAGGGAAGGATAAAGGAAAGAGGGAAGGAAATACAAAAGGTACGGAAGGAAGGAAGGAGAAAGAAGAAGAGAGGGAAGGGGAGGAAAGGAAAGGAAAGATGAAAGGGTGGAAGGGAAGGATGGAAGGAAGGGAAGGAGGAAGGGAAGGGAGAAGGAAGGAAGAAGGAAAGAGAGGAAGGGAAGAACAGAATGAAGGGAAGGAGGAAGGAAAAAGAGGAGGGAGGGAGGAAGGAAGGGAGGAAGGACAGAAGGCAGGCAGGGAGGGAGGGAGGAAGGAACGGAAGAAGAGAAGGATGGAAGAAAGGAAGGAAGGAAGGAAGGAAGGAAGGAAGGAGAAACAGGGAGAGAGGGAAGGAAGGATGAAAGGGTGGAAGGGAAGAAAGGAAGGAGGGGGAAAGAAAGAGGTAAGGAAGGGAAGGATGGAAGGAAGGGAAGGATAAAGGAAAGAGAGAAGGAAGGAAAGACAAAAGGGAAGGAAGGAAGGAAGGAAGGAAGGAAGGAAGGAAGGAAGGAAGGGAAAGATGGAAGGAGAAAGAGGGAGGGAAGGAGGAAAGGGTGGAAGGAGGACGGAAAAACAGGAAGGACGAAAGGGTGAAAGCGAAGGAGAAAGAGGGAGGGAAGGAAGAAGGAAAGAGGGAAGGAAGGAAGGATAGGCTGGTGAGAGAGGAGGGCCTGGGAAAAAAGCCCATACAGAGGATATAGGATGGCATTAATGGATGTGATGGCATAGAGCAGGTATGGGCAAACTTGGGCCCTCCAGGTGTTTTGGACTCCAACTCCCACCATTCCTCACAGCCTCAGGACCTTTCCTTTCCCCCTCAGCCGCTTAAGCGGGAAAGGAAAGGTCCTGAGGCTGTGAGGAATGGTGGGAGTTGGAGTCCAAAACACCTGGAGGGCCCAAGTTTGCCCATACCTGGCACAGAGGGTGGGACTTCAATGGGATGTCCTAGGCTGGCATGGGCCAGGCTGCCCTAGAATGGCATGGGTGGCAGAGTGGGGGTACTCACATGATCCCACCTCCTTGTTCGCCCGCCTCTCGGGGCTCTTGACGGGCCCTTGCAGGAGGTTCTTGAGGCTGACCATGGCCGAGCTGGGGCTGGCTAAGCCCACGGGGGGCGAGGCCAGCATGGGGCTGGGAGAGGGGCTGCTTTGCGCCGCGGGGCGGGCCATAGCCGAGGCTGTGCCAAATCCAGGTGCCCACCGAGGGAAGATCTCTGGGCTCGCTGGCTCGCCTGCCCTTCTTCCACAAGCTCCGACTGAGCTCGAGATCAATTCCTGTGACAGATTCAGTAAACAAGGCGAAGGGGGAAATAGAAGCGGCAATTGCAGGCGGGTCAGAAAATCGAGGGATTCGCTGGGCTCGGGACGGCTCTTCCCCAGGGGTCGATCCCTCTCTCTTTCCTCTGCTCGATCCCTCTGCTTCCAGCACCAGCTTGGAAATAATCCTCCAAGGGGGAAGGCTTTGGCCCCCGCCTCGCCTGCTTTCGCTCCAAATTTAGCAGCCAACCGGCTCCGAGGAGGACCTTCCCCAAAAGGTGGGTGAGAAGAAAGCTTTCCTTGCGGGGACTCATAAAACTGCAAGTGCCTCTGCGTGCCAGGGAACTGGATGGAAGGGAAGGGAGGAAAAAAACAAAACAACATCAACAACAACGACAACAACAGGCAGGTCTCATCATTAAATGTAAAGAGATTCCCAGGGAAGGATTGCCTCTGAAATGCAGACATCAGCAACATTGGAGGGGCATCTCCACTCTAGAACGAATGCTATGGAATCCTGGGGTTTGTAGTTTGCCCAGAGAAGGACCTTGGGAAACTACAACTCCCATGAGTTCACCCTCTCTGAAATGCATACATCAGCAACATTGGGGGGGGGGGCATCTCCACTCTAGAACTAATGCTATGGAATCCTAGAGTGTGTAGTTTGCCCAGAGAAGGACCTTGGGAAACTACATCCCATGGCTTCATAGCTTTGAGTCATGTCAGCTAAACTACATTAATTTATAGTGTAAATTGATCCTAGAAGATCTCCATCCCAAAACTTTAGGAAATAGAGATCTAATGTAGTTTCACTGCTGTGGAATTTTGGGATCTGTAGTTTGGCCAGAGAAGGACCTTGTGAAACTGCAGCTTCCATGGCTTCGTCCCCTCTGAAATGAATACCTCAGCAACATCGACATTCTAGAACTAATGCTATGGAATCCTGGGGTTTGTAGTTTGCCCAGAGAAGGACCTTGGGAAACTACAACTCCCATCGCTTCATAGCTTTGAGTCATGTCAGCTAAACTACATACATTTATAGTGTAAATTGATCCTAGAAGATCTCCATCCAAAAACTTCAGGAAATAGAGATCTAATGTAGTTTCACTGCTGTGGAATTTTGGGATCTGTAGTTTGGCCAGAGAAGGACCTTGGGAAACTACAACTCCCATGACTTCATAGCTTTGAGTCATGTCAGCTAAACTACATTAGTTTATAGTGTAAATTGATCCTAGAAGATCTCCATCCCAAAACTTCAGGAAATAGAGATCTAATGTAGTTTCACTGCTGTGAAATTTTGGGATCTGTAGTTTGGCCAGATAAGGACCTTGGGAAACTACAACTCCCCTGGCTTCATCCCCTCTGCAATGACTACATCAGCAACATTGGGGGGGGGGGATCTCCACTCTAGCACTAATGCTAAGGAATCTCAGGCTTTGTAGTTTGCCCAGAGAAGGACCTTGGAAACTACAACTCCCATGGCTTCATTGCCTCTGAAATGAAGATATCGGCAATATTGGAGGGGCATCACCAATTTAGCGCTAACTCTATAGAATCCTGGGATTTGTAGTTTGACCAGAGGAGGACCTTGTGAAACTACAACTCCCATAACTTAATTGACTTTGAAATGAAGAAATCAGCAACATTGGAGGGGCATCTACACCCTAGGACTAATGATATGGCAGAACTAATGCAGTTTCAGTGCTATGGGATTGCAGGGTTTGTAGTTTGCTCAGAGAAGGAATTTGTGAAACTACAACTCCCATGACTTAATGGCCTCTGAAATGCATAAATCAGCAACCTTGGAGGGGCATCTACACCCTAGGACTAATGCTATGGTAGGACTAATGCAGTTTCAGTGCTATGGATTCCCGGGGTTTATAGTTTGCCAAGAGAAGAACCTTGTGAAACTACAATTCCCATGACTTCATTGCCTTTGAAATGAAGAAATCAGCAATACTGGAGGAGCATCTACATCCTAGAACGAATGCTACGGAATCCTGAGGTTTGTAGTTCGGCCAGAGAAGGACCTTGTGAAACTACAACTCCCATGGCTTTCTTGCCTCTGAAATGCATAAATCAGCAATATTGGAGGTGCATCTGCACTCTAGAACTAATGTAGTTTCACTGCTATGGAATCCTGGGGTTTGTACTTTGGCCAGGGAAGGCCCTTGTGGAACTACAACTCCCATTACTTCATCCCCTTGAACCATGGCAGCTACACTGCATTAATTCTATAGTGTAAATGGATTCTAGGAGATCTCCATCCCAACATTTCAGGAAAGTCATGGGAGTTGTAGTTTCACTGCTGTGGGATCTTGTTTGTAGTTTGTGCAGTGAAGGACCCTGTGAAACTACAACTCCCATGACTTCAAGGCTTTGAACCATGGCAGCTACACTGCATTCATTCTATAGTGTAAATGGATCCTAGGAGATCTCCATCCCAAAACTTCAGGAAAGTGGGATCTAATGCAGTTTCACTGCTGTGGGATCTTGAGGTTTGTAGTTTGTGCAGAGAAGGACCCTGTGAAACTACAACTCACATGACTTCAAGGTCTTGAACCATGTCAGCTGAATTGCATTAATTCTATAGTGTAAACAGATCCAAATAGATGAGATCTCCATCTCAAAACTTTAGGAAATACAGATCAGGCAATAGATCACAATGGATCCAGAGCTGGGATCTGTTTCATCCAATGATTTCTCAGTCTTAAGGGTGATTTTGGGGTGTTTTCTCCAATTAAAGTCTAAAAAGAGCTGGAAAAAGGCAATATTTTGGGACTTTTAATCCTGCACTTTCATCATCATCATCATGACAATATATTAATCCACCGAAAGTACAGCCTGAGGCTTTCTTCACCCAATATTTCTGGACAAGGGGAGCCTGCAATCAAACTTTTCCAATTGTTTATCTTTTTTTGCACATACTTCTCAACTAAGGAAGATCACACGATCCACTCCTGCCTCCAAACTTCCCCCTCCTTCTGCAACCTTGGAAGTGGGAGGAGCCGGGAGGCCAGGGTGGGCGGAGCCCCGCCTGCCCCTCTCCGCCAATCGGCAGCCTCCGAGCATGAGATTTGCAAACACGGTTCTCCTTCTGTCATGTGCGCTTGCCATGGGGCAGGTGGGGCTCTGACCTAGATTTGGCCAATGGCAGCGTAGAGGGTGGGAGGAGCCTGACCCAGTTTTGGCCAATGAGGAGGCGACGGGAGGGGGGAGCACGGGAGGCTGTTCAGGGTTGCGAGCACGTGGGCAGGCACGTGTTGCTGGTGTTGTGATGAGGGCGCAGAACAGGGGGAAAGTTAGGTCTTAAAGGGGCCGTGCGCCGTAAATGGAGTTGGAGGGGAAGTCGTTTTGGGGGACGAGGCTCCCATCCTATAAAGGGACATGGTCATTCTGTAGGGCCAGGGAACTTCTTATTTTCTTCTCGAATGCTTTATGCACTGGTTTAAACTAAATCACAAATACATACCGTACATATATATGAAAGGATATATATGTGTATATATTCACACACGTATACTTTTTATATATGTTTGTATGCATATTGTACATATGATGATCCTTTCTTACTAGGCCATTGTATATAAGCATATTATATATATATATATATATATATATATATATATACACATACAATAGCCTAGTAGCAATATACATGCACGTGTGTGCGTGTGTGCATCCATGCTTATATGCAATGGCCTGGTAAGAAAGGATCGCCATACATACAATTCACACACACACACAAAGTATATATAACACACATACACACAAACACAAATATATATCCATGCTTACATACAATGGCCTGGTAACAATATACATACACATACACACATATACATACACACACACACATAAAGGAAACGTGTGTGTGTGCGTGCAAAATTATATATATATATATATATATATATATATATATATATATCCGTGCTTATATACAATGGCCTGTTAACAATATACATATACATACACACACACACACACACACACATATAAAGGAAACGTGTATGTGTGCAAAATTATATATATATATATATATATATATATATATCCATGCTTATATACAATGGTCTGATAACAATATACATATACATACACACACATACACACACACATATAAAGGAAACATGTGTGTGTTGTGTGTGTGTGTGTGTGTGTGTGTGTATATCTCCATGCTTATATACAATGGCTTGGTGTGTGTGTGTATGTGTATGTGTATATATATATATATATATATATATATATATATATGAAATAAAAATTTTGTACTCCTTCCAGAAAGGATAGCATATATGGATCTGAGGGAAGAAGGACTTTCTGGCTCAACTATGAGTGCATTTACTGCCGAATTAAAGCAGTTTGATGTCACTTTGACTCCCATGGCTCAATACAATGCAATCATGGGAGTTGTAGTTTTACAAGATCTTTAGCCTTCCCTGCCAAAGTGTGCTGGTGCCTCCCATGACTTCATAGCATGGAGCCAGGGCTGTTAAAGAGTTGCCAAGCTACATTAATTCCACAGTGTAGCTGCATCCTATGCCACAAGAGGAGCCATGGAGTTTGGGCGAAACCAATTGGTTTAAAATCAGGTACATCTTGTTCCATCCCATCACTGAGGAGGCAGCAATGCTTGTGGGATTTACTTCTCTTCAGTGTTGTTGTTGTTTTTTTTAACGTAGAGATTGCAGAAATTGGACATGATAATCCTAGTCTTAAACAGTGGCACGGAAAAAAATGTAAAACTGAATCTCATAATGTAGCTGAAAAGCTGCTAACTAATGGAAACAACTAGCAACCTGGGATACATATAAACATATACAGAATGAATAGTTTGATACTATTGTAACCCGCAGTGACTCAATGCTATGTAATCCTGGAATTTATAGTTTTTTGGGGCACCAGCACTCATTGGAGGAAAATGCTAATGTGTTTCAAAGACTTTCATGGCCAAAATCACCGAGTTCCTGTGAGCTTTCCGGGCTGCATGGCCATGTTCCAGAAGCATTCCCTCCTGACGTCAGACAGTGCCATACAGCCCGGAAAACTCACAGCAACCCAAAATGCTAATGACTTTGTAAAAGTGCAATTGAGCTATGGCAGCTAAAGTGTCAAACTGCATGAATTCTACAGTGTAAGTAAAGGTTTTCCCCTGACAATAAGACCAGTCATGTCTGACTCTGGTGTGGTACTCATCTCCATTTCTAAGCCGAAGAGCCGGCATTGTCCATAGACACCTCCAAGGTCATGTGGCCAGCATGACTGCATGGAGCACCGTTACCTTCTCACCTGAGTGGTACCTATTGATCTACTCACATTTGCATGTTTTCGAACTGCTAGGTTGGCAGAAGCTGGGGCTGACAGTGGGAGCTCACCGCTCTCCCTGAATTTGAACCTGAATTTGAATTTGAAGTCCAAAACACCTGGAGGGTCCGAGTTTGCCTATGCCTGGTGAAGATGCACCCCTAACCTATGGCACATCTTTTAACACATCCCATTGTCCTCAAGGCCTGCCTCTTGACCTTTAACTTTCAAGGGTTATCTGTTGATTTGATTTCAGACCAATATTCTTACCATTTCCTTCCAAACTGCAACCGAAAACCATTCTAGGTGTTGTCTCTGAGGTGCACCATCAAAATACAACATGCAATAAATACGTATGTGCAAATGTTTATTTCAACATCTTTTGCTCTGTTTACAAAGGATGGAATTTTCCCAGTTGCAGAATCTTTTTTTTTTTTTACAAGTGCAAAATTTAAAAACATTTGCATACAGATTGCGTAGCAAAGTCTCTTTCAATTTAACATGCTTATGGTGCTTTGATTCCATTTTACCTGCCATGGTTGCATCCTATGGAATCTTGTTTAGTGAGTAGCAAAGAGCTCTAGTGCTCCAAACTACAAATCCCAGGATTTCATAGGTTGCAGTGACAACATAATCACAGCACAGGTAGGTATGAGAGGGCATAAACATGTATAGCAGGCATGGGTAAACTTCGGCCCTCCTGGTGTTTTGAACTTCAACTCCCACAATTCCTAACAGCCTATCGGCTGTTAGGAATTGTGGGAGTTGAAGTCCAAAACACCTGGAGGGCCGAAGTTTGCCCATGCCTGATGTATAGTTATATCTTTTGAACAAGACTCCTCTTCCTCTGAGAAATCTTTTCTCCATTAGCTTGGAAAAGTTACATTTTTTGACTACAAGACTAAAATCTGGGAGTTGCAATTCATAAGAGTTACTTTTTCAAGATATCTCTCCACACCCAGAAAAGGAAGAAATACTACTTTTGAACCCAGTGCCTTCACAAAATAAGTGTTCCTTTCACCCCAACGAGTAACCTTAAAGAGCCTTCAAAGTGTGTATTTACACTTCTAGGCAGGTTACAACCTTATTGTTGCCTTGCTTGAACATTTACATGGCCGGTCTTCATTCTGTTTCTTCTATTTCCAAAGCGCAGCAGCAGTCAAACTTATTGTCTGGAGATGCTTTGGTGAAGAAGGATGACCATTTATTGAACAGCAACAGAGCTAACTGAAAAGGGGGTTTGATCCTGCTATGAGGGGAAGGAGTCCGCTGTCTGGAGCAGGGTCCTTAATAAGCTTCTGGATCTGAAAAAGACATTGAATTGTAGAGTTGGAAGAGGCCACAAAGACCATTCAGTCTATCCCCCTGCCATGCAGGAACCCACAATCAGAGCATTCCTGACAGATGGTCATCCAGCCTCTGCTTAAAAACCTTAAGAGAAGGAGACTCCGCCATCCTCAAAGGTAAAGGTTTCCCCTACATTAAGTATAGTCGTGTACAACTCTGGGGGTTGGGGCTCATCTCCATTTCTAAGCCAAAGAGCCAGTGTTGTCCATAGACACCTCTATGGTCATGTGGTCAGCATGACTGCATCGAGCGCCGTTACCTTCCTGCAGAAGCTGTACCTATTGATCTACTCACATTTGCCTGTTTTTGAACTGCCGGGCCTAACAGCAGGAACAGCAGAAGCCGGGCCTAACAGCAGGAACTTACCCTGCTCCCCGGATTCGAACCACCAAGCTTTCGGCCAGCAAGGTCAGCAGCTCAGTGGTTTAACCTGCTGCACCACCAGGAGCTCCCAATAATAATAATAATAATCATCATCATCATCATCATCACCATCATCATCATCAACTTTATTTCTACCCTGCCACCATCTCCCCGATGGGGACTCGGAGCGGCTTACATGGGGCCAAGCCCGGACAACATAATACAGCAATAATACTGCATATTACTATGTTATACAGCTCTGGTTGTTAAGAAGTTCTTCCTAATGTTTAGGTGGAATCTCTTTTCCTGTAATTGGAATCCATAGCTCTGTATCCTAGTCTCTGGAGCAACAGAATCCAAATTTGCCCCCTCCTCAATGTGACATCCTTTCAAATATTTAAATATGGCCATGGTGACCACTCTACAACCTTCTCTTCTCCAAGCTAAACATAGCCAGCTCTATAAGATGCTTCTCATAGAGAAGTGGTTCTCATCCTTCCTAATGCCATGACCCGTTAGCACAGTTCCTCATGTTGTGGTGACCCCCAACCATGAAATTATTTGTGTTGCTACTTCATAACTGTCATTTTGCTGCTGTTATGAATCGTAATGTAAATATATGATATGCAGGATGTTTTTTCATTCTCTGAACAAAATTTGGCACAAATACCCAATACATCCACATTTGAATACTGGAGGGGTTGGGTGTGTGTGTGTGTGTGTGATTTTGTCATTTGGGAGTTGTAGTTGCTGGGATTTATAGTTACCCGACAATCAAAGAGCATTCTTAACTTCATCAACGATGGAACTGAATCAAACTTGGTACACAGAACTCCCATGACTAACAGAAAATACTGGACGGGTTTGATGGGCACTGAACTTGAGTTTTGGGAGTTGTAGTTCACCTACATCCAGAGAGCACTGTAGACTCAAACAATGATGGATATGGACCAAACTTGGCACAAATACTCAATATGCCCAAATGTGAACACTGGTGGAGTTCGGGGAAAATAGACCTTGACATTTGGGAATTGTAATTGCTGGGATTTATAGTTCAACTACAATCATAACCAATAGAAAATACTGAATTTTCTGATGGGCTTTGTTGACTCCTCTGACACCCTCTTTGCAACCCCCCCCCCAGGGGTCCCGGTCCCCAGGTTGAGAAATGCAGTCATAGAGCTTGGCTTCCAGATCTTGATGGACTACATTCTGTCCGTTCATCTCCTGATAATTATTTTTCAAATCTTTCTACCTTTTAGAAATCTCCAGTCAACATGATTGAGAATATGAGACCCTCCAGAAAGTTGGACTGCTACTTCCCAGCCAGCATAATCAAGGATGATTGTGCAATCCAACAACATCTGAATGGTCATAAACTCCTCAACTATGGATTCCGGTTTCTATTTGGAAATCTGTAAACTTATCTTACATCCAAAAAGCCACTTATTATTTCAAAAAGAAGGTTTGGAGGAGCTTAAAAGAGGCAAAACAAACCAAAAATACCTGTTCTGTGGCACAGGTATCATGAACTAGCGTCTGCCACATCAACTGGATCAACTGTTATCTTTATTTGCCAACAGTATTTATATATTGTTATCTCCCTCATGTGAACGTGGACACGTGAGTGCCAAGGGGAAAAACGGGAAACAGGCCATGGTTGTGGCAACTAGCTTATTTGTCATGTCTATGCAAAGATCAAGGGCAGGGAATGGAAAGGGATAGAGAGGACTACAGTGTCCAAAATCCCTCAAACACCAGTCAGGGTATTCTGGTAGTTGTGGCCTGTCATCCATAGACATTTGCAGTTTTGATTTTTTTGCAGATTTGATTTAAAAGGTTTCTATCTAGGTCCTCCAGTGCAATTCTATAGTCTACTTCCAGTGAAGTCAACCACAGACTCATGCTAGAAGACCTAGTAACTCCTAGAGAACTTCTAGATCTTTCAGCTAGTAAAAGAAAAGAAAAAGGTAAAGTCTTTCCCCTGACACGAAGTCCAGTCATGTCAGACTCTGGGGGTTGGTGCTCATCTCTATTTTCTAAGCTGAAGAGCTGGTGTTGTCCATAAACACCTCCAAGGTCATGTGACTGGCATGACTGCATGGAGTGTCGTTACCTTACTGCCAGAGCAGTACCTATTGATCTCCTCACATTTTGCATGTTTTCAAACTGCTAGGTTGGCAGAAGCTGGGGCTAACAGCGGGAGCTCATGCCGCTCCTCGGATTCAAATCTGCGATCTTTCAGGCAGAAAGTTCGGCAGCTCAGCGCTTTGCATTTTTTCACTTTTAGGGGGGTGCTGTGCCCCTAATCTCAGTGAATATGGAAGGCTGGTTGTAACTCCCCTATGCTCTGGCTATCACATAGGAAGGACAAAGGTGTGGCAGGGTGGAGGAAACAGGACTGAGGAATTACCTCTCGGAAACGGGGATGGGCAGCATCCCTGACAAGCTGGAGGATAAGTCCTTCGCTGGTGGTAAGGAAGGCCCCACTTTGACGTAAACGGGACAATGCGATGATCCTGTCCACCTGACTGAGAGAAGGAGAAAAGGAGAGGAAAAGCAGGGAAGAACATAGTTACACAAAAACACAGGTAACAGTGAACCTATTGAACTAGCAATTTCTGGAGAAAACATAAAGTTGGAGAAGCTAGGAAATATCAAGAGAAGACCTTTGTCTTAAGAATTGCTAGGTCCTACAGTACAAATCTGTGGTCAACTTCCAGAAGCTGCATGACACAGAACCACTTGGAGAACCTAGAAAATTCCTAGTGCATCTGTTTTGTCAGGTGCAGGTGAATGAAAACACAAGAACCAATGGATATAAGAGTATTCCTCTATCACAGGCATGGGCAAACTTTCTAATTTGGGGGCCGCATGGCAGGACAGAGTGGGGTGGGAGGGAGGAGTTCTCCCCAAGGCCCCTTCTGGCCCTTTCCTCTCCTTCATCTTCTCTTTCAGAGGCAGAAAGTGAAGGAAAGATGGGAAACGTTTGGATCCCAAAAGGGTTGGCTTTAGTCAGGATGAGATGGTGGACAGGAGAAAAAAGGTGTATCCCGTATTGCCTACTCCTGATATAGAATCCTGGAATCCTAGAGCTGGAAGAGATCCCGCTCCCCGCCCCCTGCCCAAGGGCCATCCAGTCCAACCCGTTGCCATGCAGGAAGGCACAATCAAAGCACTCCCGATAGACAGCCTCTGTGGAAAAGCCTCCAGAGAAGGAGACTCCACCACACACCCAGGCAACCTATGCCATTCTCCAGCAGTTCTTCCTCCTAATCTTTTCAGTCTATTTCCCTGCAATTTGAACCCATTGCTCCCTTGTGCCCTGGTTGCTAGAGCTGCAGAAAGTCAGTTTTCCCTCTCCTCCTCCTCAATGGGACACCCTTTTAAATCTTGAAACATGCTTCTCATGTTCTTTCTCTAGCTTCTCTTCTCCCAGCTAAACATCCCCAAAGAGGAAAGGGGGAAGGAAAAAGAGAAAGAAGGAAGAGAGGGAGGGAGAGAGAAAGGGAGGAAAAGAATGATGGAAGGGAATAATGACAACAACAACAGCTTTGTTTTTATACCCCGCCACCATCTCCCTAAAGGGACTTGGGGCGGCTTACATGAGGACCAAGCCCAGCATACAACAAAATTTATCAGCTAAAACATGATTAAAAACATAATAACATATAACATAAACAATCTAATTAAGAAAATTGAGAACAACAAAATATAAAAACATCGTAAAAGGAAGAGTGGAAGGGAAGGAAAGACAAAAAAGAAGGAAGGAAGGAAGAAAGGAAGGACGAAAGGGTGGAAAGGAAGAGAGGGAGGGAGGAAGGGAAGGAGGTTGGAAAGAGAAAAGGAAGGGGAAGGAGAAGGAAAGGAAAGGAGAGGAGAGGAAAGGAAAGGAGAGGAAAGGAAAGGAGAGGAGAGGTAGGGAATGGAAGGGAAAGGAAGGAGGGAGAAAGAGGGAAGGAAGGAAGGGAGGGAGGGAAGGAGGATGGAAAGAGAGAAAGAAGGGAAGGGAAAGGGAAGGGAAAGGGAAGGAAAAAGGAAGGGAAAGGATGGTGAGAGAGAAGAGGGTCTGAGAAAAGAGCCCCTATGGCCACATCTGGCTGCCAGGCCTGGATTTACCCATACCTGCTCTATCATTACAGTAGGAAGATATGCCACTCACCTGCGAGAAGAGCAGGCATCCGCCACGACATGGACATCCAGGCCTCGCTCCATGAGATCCAGGGCTGTGCTCTGCACCAAAAGAAGAATATGTACTATGTTGAAGTCAAACATGGCTCCATAATCTCCAATTGTCTGTAGGGTGATCAGGAACGATGGACGGTTTAGTTCTCTAGATATGGAGAGGGCCAAAGTGGGATAGGCCATTCTGAAACGGAGAGCCCTTTCCCACAGCCATATAACCCAGAATATCAAGGCAGAAAATTCCATGACATCTGATTTGAACTGGGTTATCTGAGTCTACACTGCCATATATTCCAGTTCAAAGCAGAAAATGTGGGATTTTATTCAGAAGAGGCCAGAGGTTGTTCCAGTGAGAACAGGATCTAAGAACTGGAGGTGAAAAGCATCCAGAAGATCAAAGGTTGGTCTTCAAGGCAGTCAGAATGTATTTATTTTAATTATCCTCCTTCCAAGTCATAGAGTGAGGTGGAAAGAAATGTCTTGTTTTCTAGGATCCTTATATGTAGTGCAATCCAAACACTGATTAATAGCTTAAAGCTAGAGAAAAGTGATAGGAGGCAGGACTTTCTTAGCTTCACTATATTCCTTTAATATCTACATGAAGAAAAGAGCACTCTAGTTTGATTAATCCCCAAATGAAGATGATCAAGCTTTTCAATAAGTGTACCATCGGGTCTGTTTGGAGAATAGGAGCCTCTGCTGACTTGCGTTAAGCAAGACCCTGGTTGAACCTAGAGATTCATATACCATGACCTCTTGTGCCCTACCACACTATAAGATCCACACCACTAGGACGCAAGCCTCTGATGACATACCATGATGCACGCCTGTGTCTCAATTCCACATAAAAGCACAGACTTCAGGTCAGGAACAGCTGCCATCTCTTTTTCCACGGCTGGGATGAACATGCTAAAGCAGGTCTTGGAGTATTTGGGGAGGTCTTCAGCACCTAATTCTGGCACTGTTGGGCCCAAACCTTGTGGATATTGTTCAGTTACCACCGTGCGAATTTCTAGCGCTTTGGCAACCTGCCAGGGAGTAGAAAAGAGGCTGGAATGAGCAGGATTGCTGCGTTTTTGGGAGAGTTTGCACAATTTGCTTTACTACAGCTCCCAGAATCCCCATGTCAGCATGCCCTCTGACCATAGTTGCCTAGGACTTCTGGCAGCTGTAAATCTAGTAAGTCAGTGTTCCAGGTCTGGCAACTTAGGCCCCTTCTACACTGCCATATACTATCCAGATTATCTGTTTTGAACTGGATTATATGGCAGTGTAGACTCATATAATCCAGTTCAAAACAGACAATGTTGATTATCTGCTTTGATAATCTGAATTATATTGCAGTGTAGAAGGGGCCTTAGAAAGGAAGTGCACATCCTTGAAAAAAGGGAAGAAACCTGTTATTTCCAGAATCTGATATAACACTGACCCCATGTGTCCATCTCTGTAATTACAATGAGGTACTTTCAAATGCAGTTATTGGAGAGAGGAATCAAAGGCTATATAGCAGCAGATGAAATCCACAGCAGTACATGTATGTGTGTGTGTGTGTGTGTGTGTGTGTGTGTGTGTGTGTATATATATATATATATATATAATTGTCTCATCAGGATTTCTGGTTTTGCAGCCAATCCTTAAAATATCTAGAAGAATCAACGACCTGCTCTACTGCTGCAACGGATAGACAGATACTTGGAATGTATCTAGTCTGCAGTTAACTGCCTTGGCTCGATGCTATAGAATAACTGGAGTTGCAGTTTCACAAGGTCTTTAACCTCTTCTGCCAAAGAGGGCTGAGCCACACCAAACTACAGCTCCCATGATTCAACAGCATTTAGCCATGGTAGTTAAAGTGGTTTAATTCTACAAAAGTGCATTAATTCTACAGTCTGGTTGTGATCTCCAGGTTGTGCCAGTCAGCTTTTGTATGATATTGTTTCTAGCACCAACTTTTTGCTTGATATTCAAGCAGTGCTTCTTGTAGGTCAGAGCACGGTCCAGTGTAACTGACTGGCACAACCTGGGGGTCACAACCAGACACAGTGAAGGCATCTGCCCTTGCACTTTGCTACTCTGCCGCTGAATACGCATGCCCAGTGTGAAATGCATCTCACCATGCTAAAACAGTGGATATGGCTCTTAATGAGTCATGCCACATTATCACAGGATGTCTATGCCCTACACCACTGGAGAAATTATACTGTTTAGCCATTATTGCACTACCTGACATCTGTCAGGAAGTAGCAGCCAGTAATGAAAGGACCAAAGCAGTGACATCTCCGGTCCATTCCCTGTTTGGGTATTAGACAGCAAACCAACACCTTAAAACAAGAAACAGCTTCCTCAGATCTACAGAGATACTCGCAGGAACACCTCAGCAAGCAAGAATCCAAAAGTGGCAGGTTAAAACTCGGAACCTCAATTGGTGGCTGATACCAGATGAGAGACTCCCTCCTGGGCACACAGAAGGCTGGGTGACTTGTAAGGCACTGAACAGACTGCTCTGGCACTACAAGATGCAGAGCCAACCTTAAGAAATGGGGCCACAAAGTGGAGTCCACGACATGCAAGTACGGAGAAGAGTAAACCACAGACCACCTACTACAATTCACTCTGAGTCCTGCCACATGCACAGTGGAGAACCTCCTTATAGCAACACCAGAGGCACTTCAAGTGGCCAGCTACTGGTCAAAGGACATTTAATATAATTCCATGTTTTTAAACTTTGTGTTTTTCAAATACATTGTAACTGTACCCTTGGTGTGCTTCTGATACGATAAATAAATAAATTCTACAATGGAGATGCACCCCATGGTGTAATTCATGCAGTACCTATTGGACAGTATACATACCAAACTGAACACTCCCTTCTGCAAAACTGTCTGGAGCAAATTCCTAAACCAGTACCTTAAAGATGTGCACAACCCACCTTATTTCCAGCCCCACTGTCTGGGGAAGATGGGAGTTGTCATCTACCACATCCAGAAAGTGTCACCTTGGAGAAACAGCAACTTACACACCCCTCCTTTTACTTTGTAATAGCTAACAAACACTATGCAATGGAATTCATTTCCTGGCTCCTCCATCTCCATCATCTGTTTCCCTCAGCACAACCTTAATTTATGTTTTATTTTATAGTTGGTTTTATTGTTGTATGTATGGTTGATTTGTATTGTTTTTAAAATGTTGTGAGCCGCTTTGGGTCCCGTTTAGGGAGAAAAGCGGGATACAAATAAAGAATTATTATTATTACTATTTTACTGACACAAAAACACAGTATGTCACAGCAAATGAGATATATATGCTGGATTTCGTATCACAAAATCAAAAGTCGAACACTCCCCAAGCGTCTAGGACTGTGTGATTTTTTATTATTATTATTATTATTATTATTATTATTATTATTATTACTACTACTACTATTATTTCCAAAACTATTACCACTTTGCACATCTTTTACCTTTAACATCCGAGCTGCCACAGACACAATCTGAGGGAAGTAGCTGATGGTGGGACGGAATTTCTCTTGCATGTCGCATAGGAATAGGATGCTTGTTTTGGGAGCTACTTTTCCAAGCCGTGCCACTGACATTGCCAAGCTGAGAGCAGACAAAAGCAATCGAGTGAGAAACATTCTACAAGTTTCCTTCTTGGTGTTTCTAATTCTTAAAATATAAAGAGCTACAAGTGTATCCCAGTCTTCTGACCATGAAGCTCCTTTTTAAAAATTCCCCCTTTCCTCCTCCTACTCTGGTTAGCTGGAAGGATTTCAGCAGCCTTGGCATTGGGAGGATGGGGAAGGAGGACTGTAGAAACATAGACTTTCAGTGATGGATCAAAGCAGGATGGCTGCAGTAAGCAATGCAATCAAAATTTGTATTGGGAAATACTAGAATTCTATTATACATTATCCCATTTATAACTGTGTGTGCCTGCCTATAAAAGGCAAAATAAACAGCAGCTGCCTTCGAAATCTCTTATTGAGTGTACAAGAACAGCAAAATAAAGAGAAAAAAGAACAACAAATAAGTCAGTCTCACTAGCTACCCCAATGGCATGTCAACAACGCAAAGATCTCAAAGTCTGGCCACCAAAATGGGAATCACAAGAAAAGTGGAGGCGTTCTTAGAGAAAAGAAGATATGTGGATGCATATTGTAAGAAGCCTTCAAGGGTTCAAAATGTTTTTGTTTACCCATAAGCTTACCTGTCCTGGTTGCTTCATTTCAAATGTGCATGTTATTAGTACTGAATGAATACGTTTGCTGAAACATGTTGAACTACTTTTCTGTTTTGTTGTATAGAAACTTATCCCTATTATTGTATATAGAATATAAACTGGGTTTTTCAGCCCATTTTTAAGCTGAAAAAGCCCCCCTCAGATTATACTCGAGTCAAAGTTATTTATTATTTTACTCTGTTATTTATTTATTTTATTTTACTCTACTTATTATTATTATTACATTTATTATTTTACTCTATTTATTACTATTACATTTATTATTTTTCTCTATTTATTATTGTTGTTATTACATTTATTATTTTCTCTAGTATTATTATTGCATTTATTAATTTAAGGGAGCCACCGGTGGCGCAGTGGGTTAAACCACTGAGCTGCTGAACTTGCTGACCGAAAAGTCAGTGGTTCAAATCCAGGGAGAGGGTTGAGCTCCCACTGTTAGCCCCAGCTTCTGCCAACCTAGTAGTTCAAAAACATGCAGATGTGAATAGATCAATAGGTATCGCTCCAGCGGGAAAGTAACGGCGCTCCATGCAGTCATGCCTGCCACATGATCTTGGAGGTGTCTATGGACAACACCGGCTCTTCGGCTTAGAAATTGAGATGAGTACCAACCCACAAAGTCGGAAACGGCTGGACTTAATGTCAGGGGAAAACCTTTACCTTTATTATTTTACTCTATTTATTAGTATTGCATTCATTATTTTACTCAATGTATTATTATTATTGTTATTATTACATTTATTATGTTACTTGATTATTGTGTATTTCTGTGTGGCCAGAGGTTAGACTGGATAGCCCTTGGGATCCCTTCTAAAAGTGTACCTGTGCTCAGCAATGTGAAATTATATGGATTCTCAGATATTCTTGGACTTCAAATCCCAAGTATGTGATAAGGCTGTAATAATTACACATAAGAATAGGGATCCCTTTAGATACAGTGGACTGCAGTTCCCATCATTCCTTCCATTAGTTCATCTGAGTAGGGCTGATTGCAGCTGCTGTAAAGGCTGGAGGGCTTCAAACTACAGGAAAGGAGATTCCACCTGAACATTAGGAAGAATTTCCTAAATGTGAGAGCTGTTTAGCAGTGGAACTCTCTGCCTCGGAGTGTGGTGGAGGCTCCTCCTTTGGAGGTTTTTAAGCAGAGGCTGGATGGCCATCTGTCGGGGGTGCTTTGAATGCGATTTTCCTGCTTCTTGGAAGGGGGTTGGACTGGATGGCCCATGAGGTCTCTTCCAACTCTAGGATTCTATGATCTCTTTTAGACTTTGGACAGCATCACCTCTAGTTGAGTGGATTCTGGGATTTGTAGTTTTCAAAAGCTATCATTTCAAGGTGCTGGGGATCTGATAAAAAGCAGGATAACATCCTTCACACAGAAAAAAAAAAACATTTCAAAATTTGCATTTTGGCAACTGTTTTCTTTGCAGCTGTATGTGCGGATTTGAGCACAGAGCACGAAAACTTCCCCATCAGCAAAGCTTCTCCCTTCCCCTCTACCACTGATAAAAGCACAGTTAGATCTGGACGTTCTGTTTTATCCAAAAAGGAGAGCGCACGTGACACTGTTAAAAAGCGATTATTATTCTAAATTACTTTACATGCCAAATGTTCGGATTAGACTTCTGTTTATACCCTTTTCGTTTCATCTTCCGCACAACCCGGAGATGTAATTTAAGGCTGGGAGAAAGTAGGTCACCGAAGGCCAGCCAAACTGCTTCATAAATTAGCCATGTCCACAATCCCAGCCCTGTAATTTCTCTGCTCGGCAGGCGGCAACTAAAGCAGGCGGGCTCCCTCTGCTGCCAAAGGAACAACACAAACCCATTTGGGAACCCCCTGTATCCACAGATTCTGTATCCACTGACTCAAGTACCCACAGCTTAAGAATATATATATATATATATATAAAAATCCCATAAGAACACCTTGATTTTGCCATTTTATATAAGAGACACTATTTTAACACGGCATTGTATATAATGGGACTTCAGCACCCCCGATAGGAGCCCCCAGTGGCGCAGTGGGTTAAACCCCTGTGCCGGCAGAACTGAAGACCGACAGGTTGCAGGTTCGAATCCGGGGAGAACGCAGATGAGCTCCCTCTATCAGCTCCAGCTCCGCATGCGGGGACATGAGAGAAGCTTCCACAAGGATGATAAAACATCAAAACATCTGGGCGTCCCCAGGGCAACATCCTTGCAGATGGCCAATTCTCTCACACCAGAAGCGACTTGCAGTTTCTCAAGTCACTCCTGACACGACAAAAAATAAAAAATAAAAAAGCACCCCTGATTTTGGGATCCAGAGGTGGTCCTATTGTCCCAATGCAAAAATGTGACTAACAGGAATTCCTGACATGAAACAATCCGGACCAGCTAACACTTCCCAACAAAGGACTCCCCCAGGCAGGAATTAGCCAGGCTTTGAAGCTGCAAGACCATTCAATGACTATCAAGCTAGCCAACTGTAACATTCACACTTGCCTCAAGCAGACAAGAGTTCTTTCTCCCACCCTAGACATTCAACAGATATATAAACCCCACTTGCTTAGTTTCCAACAGATCTCACAACCTCGGAGGATGTCTGCCATAAATGTGGGTGAAACGTCAGGAAAGAATGCTTCTGGAACATGGCCATACAGTCTGGAAAACTCACAGCAACCCAATGTGGCAAAAGGTGGGCAGAATTAAAATCCAAAGAGGTGAAACCACAATATTCAGCCCTGTATTGTACTGTCCCATCAGAATGGTCAATGCAAAGATGGCGATCTTTGTTTATGTTTTTGCGGGGCCCGGGAATTTGTGTATTTGCCTCACTATTTGTTTTCCTGCCCTCTGTATTCTGAGCCAAGAACTAAAATCCTGGGGCCTATTCTTTATCTCCTTCCAAGCAATATTCTGTCAGAAAAGATTTTCTATTTCTTAGCAGACACTAACCCTGTGGTTACTCACAAGGTATTCCTTTTTGCCCTGGAAGCACAGAAAATCCAGCCAAGACTAATTTCTTAGTCTTGGAGATGCTAGCGGGGTACAAATAAAGTAATAATAATAATAATAATAATAATTTCTGATATTGCTCTCGATTGTGCTGGAGATGCTTTGAACTAATAATGTTCCCTGCTTAGGTTTTAATAATGCTGTATTTACTGTACTTGGTTTTACCTGGTTTTTAGTTTTGCAGGTGCTAGACCATGCAGTATCTTGTCGTATTTTAAGGGAGCATGTCGCCATTGATATATGTAGCATTTTAATGATTTATATAGGATTTTGTAGGATTGGGCCCCCTGGTGGTGCAGTGGATTAAACTGCAGAGCTGCTGAACTTGCTGACCAAAAGGTTGGAGGTTCGAGTCTGGTGAGCGGGGTGAACTCCCGCTGTTAGCCTCAGCTCCTGCCAACCTAGCAGTTCAAAAACATTCAAATTTGAATAATAATAATAATAATAATAAAACTTTATACTTCGCCACCATCTCCCCAATGGGGACTTGGAGTGGCTAACAAGAGGCCAAGCCCAACAATTACAACAAACTAAAATAAAATAGATCAATAGGTACCACTCCAGAAAGAAGGTAATGGTGCTCCATGCAGTCATGCTGGCCACATGACCTTGGAGGTGTCTATGGACAATGCTGGCTCTTTGGCTTAGGAATGGAGATGAGCACCAACCCCCAGACACAACTAGACTTAATGTCAGGGGAAATCTTTACGTTTACTATAGGATTTTAATGGTGTATTTTATATTGTATTTTATAATCTGGTTTTAATGTATTTATTTGTTTGCCCTATATGTCAAAGACCTATGGTCTAAGCATAGAATAAACTTGGACAATGCAAAGATGGAAGTCGGAGTCCAACAACATGCAGAGAGAAACATAATCCCCATGCACAGACTCTCTCTTTTTGTCTTGCCCCATCTCTTTCCTACCTCTTGTACATTCACACACAATGCAGAAGGGAATGCGATCCCCAATGGGACAGAAATTAAATACATATTGGCTGAGGATGATAGCAGTTGTATTATGACGCATCAGGAAGTCACCAGTTTGGTAAAGCTGCTTTTCAGAGAGGGTCAGTCATTCTACATTCCTGCATGAGCCAGGATCAGATATTGCAGTCCGAATGAGGAAAGGGCTCCCTTGTCCATCCTTCTCTGTAGGACTGAAGCAACTTTAACAACCAAGGTTAATGTGCCAACTGGATTAAACACAATCTGAATTTGTTGTTGAAGGCTTTCATGGCCGGAATCACTGGGTTACTGTGAGTTTTCCAGGCTGTATGGCCATGTTCCAGAAGCATTATCTCCTGATGTTTTGCCCAGGTTGAAGGGTTTGCTGGAAACTAGGCAGGTGATGTTTATATATCTGTGGAATGCCCAGGGTGGAAGAAAGAACTCTTCTCTGCTTGAAGCAAGTGTGCATGTTGCAAATTGCCACCTTGATGGCTTTGCAGCTTCAAAGACTGGCTGCTTACTGCCCAGGGGAATCCTTTGTTGGGCGGTGTTAGCAGGCCCTGATTGATTCTTGTCAGGAATTTCCCTGTTTTCTGAGTGTTGCTCTTTATTTAATGTCCTGATTTTAGAGATTTTTTAATACTAGTAGCCAGATTTTGTTAATTTTCATTGTTTCCTCCTTTCTGTTGAAGTTGTCCGCATGCTTGTGTATTTCAGTGGCTTTTCTGTGTAGTCCGACAGGACAATAAATAAAGAGCAACACGCAAAAAGCAGGGGAATACCAGACAAGAATCAATCAGGGCCAGATCAACCTACCAACAAAGGATTTGAAAAATTTGAAAACTACGCTTTTTCGATGTGCCTTCGGAGACTGACAATTTATCCCATTTCTGTTTGTTCAATCTACAGTGTTGCCCCTAGGTTGCACTCTTCCCCATCTTAAACTAAAAGTCTCACCCCACTGTTCATCCTTTTTGGGCTCTTCTCAATGACACTTTTTCTATTCCTACCTCATCCAGGGTTTTATCATTTTGTTGTTCATTCGTTCAGTCGTTTCTGACTCTTCATGACTTCATGGACCAGCCCACGCCAGAGCTCCCCGTCGGTTGTCACCACCCCCAGCTCCTTCAAGGTTAATCCAGTCACTTCAAGGATGCCATCCATCCATCTTGCCCTTGGTCGGCCCCTCTTCCTTTTTCCTTCCATTTTCCCCAGCATCATTGTCTTCTCTAAGCTTTCCTTTCTTCTCATGATGTGGCCAAAGTACTTCATCTTTGCCTCTAATATCCTTTCCTCCAGTGAGCAGTCAGGCTTTATTTCCTGGAAGATGGACTGGTTGGATCTTCTCACGGTCCATGGCACTCTCAGAACTTTCCTCCAACACCACAATTCAAAAGCATCTCTCTTCCTTTGCTCAGCCTTCCCTAAGGTCCAGCTCTCACATCCGTAGGTCACTACAGGGAATACCATTGCTTTTACTATGCGGATCTTCATTGCCAGTGTGATGTCTCTACTCTTCGCTATTTTATCAAGATTGGTAATTGCTCTCCTCCCAAGAAGTAAGCGTCTCTTTATCATTTTACCTCATCCATTTGGCCTGCCCATTGTCTTCGATTTTATACTATGACAATTTGCTTTATTTATTTTATTTTGCTATTTTTTGTTATTATTTATTTTGCTGTTGTGTGTATTTTATTCTGATGTATTTTGTTGTCTGCATTTTGTATTTTATTTTGCTGTATTGTATCTTTGGGCTTGGCCTCATGTTAGCCGCCCTGAGTCGTCTTTGGGAAGATGGTGGCAGGGTATAAATAAAGATTACTATTACTATTATTATTATTATTATTATTATTATTATTATGTCAATTTGCTGTATTTATTTTATTTTACTACTGTATGTATTTTATTCTGGTGTATTTTTGTTGTCTGCATTTTGTATTTTATTTTGCTGTATTGTATCTTTGAGTTTGGCCTCATGTTAGCAGCCCCGAGTCGTCTTTGGTGAGATGGTGGCAGGGAATAAATAAATATTATTATTATTATTTGAAACAAAACAAGATGAGTCCACAGCAGACACTCTGCTGGCTGTTGAATTGGATCACACATTGGACACTTCCTAAGTGTCTAGGACTGTGTGATGTATCGGCGAATAATGCGGGAAGATCCCAGTAAGGTGGCCTTTTGCAGCTGGCAGATGGTAATTTTGTCAGCGCCAATTGTGTTTAAGTGCAAGCCAAGGTCTTTAGGCACTGCACCCAGTGTGCCGATCACCACTGGGACAACCTTTACTGAGTCTTTGCAGTTAGATTTTTAAATCCTCATGTCGTGTCAGCTTTTCCAGTTGTTTCTCTGCAATCCTGCTGTCATAATTATTATTATTATTCTCTCAGGCAGCAACCTCAGAGGTTGTGAAGATCTGAATTGGTTTACTGACAATTCAAAAACTTGAGTTCTGTGAGCAAGGCATCGAAGCCTATTCATGCGTATCAACCCGTGTTGTTATGTGTTTGTCTGACCTGTGGTGACCCGTCTAGTGTGTTTTTCTTTGACGTTTGGCTTTGTCTTTTTCGGAGAGGGCGTGATTCTATCTACACTGTAGCATGAATGTAGTTTGGCACCACTTCAATAGCTATGGCCCAGTACTATGGCATTGTGGGAGTTGTAGTTTAACAAGGTCCCTCCCCAGCCAGGCAAAGGCAAACCACTGCAGCCTCTCCTATATTGTCTTTTCTGTCATCTCCTCCTCTTCCTCACTGAGCATGTCAACCACTTTTCCTCTTCCAACTCAGTTTCAAGCAACTTGGGCCCTTGGGGTGTTTTGGACTCCAACTCCCACCATTCCTAACAGCCTCAGGCCCTTTCCTTTTCCCCCTCAGCCGCTTAAGCGGCTGAGGGGGGAAAGGAAAGGGTCTGAGGCTGTTAGGAATGGTGGGAGTTGGAGTCCAAAACACCCCAAGGGCCCAAGTTTGCCCAGGTCTGATCTACACTGTAGAATTAATCCAGTTTGATTCCCCTTTCACTGCCTTGGCCCAGTGCTGTGGAATCTAACCATTTGGGCCGTTCAGAAGGTGAAATGGTACATACAAACCCACCTCGACGCTGCCTTCACACGAACAAAATGGTGAATCCAAACCGCTTTAGTCCCTGCTTCTCACCCCTCTTCCACTTCCTCCCTTCCCTCAGAACCCTCAGAACAGCCAGCCAATCAAAAGCGGGATCTGGAAGCACGCAGAGCCACGCCCACTTCTCAGCCAATGGCCAATGAGCTGACGTTCGATGTGATGTTTGGGCTTCCTTTCTTTCCAGCCAATGGCAGCGCTCCATCTCTTATTTGTGCTGCTGGAGTTGCTCTTCTTTTTGCTATTTCTCCAATTGTCTCTATTTAGCAAACCATATTTTTGTCTCAGTTGGAGGCCCCTACCCCCAGCAACAAGATAGTAATATATAATATTAATATTGTGCTATGTTAATAATATAATATATTGTATATACATATAATATTGATAATATAATGTAATGCAGTATATTAATAATATAATTATATATTACATGTAATATTGCTAATAATATTGCAGTATAGTAGTATAGTACAATATATAATACTAATATTGTGCTATACTAACAATTATATTGTATGTACATAGAATGATCATAATAATATAATATTTTAATAATTATATATTTTATATTACATGTGATATTACTAATAATATTGCAATATAGTGGTATAGTACAATATGGTAATATATAATACTAATATTGTGCTATACTAACAATTGTATTGTATGTACATAGAATCATCATAATAATATAATATTTTAATAATTATATATTTTATATTACATGTAATATTACTAATAATATTGCAGTATAGTGGTATAATACAATATATGATACTAATATTGTGCTATACTAACAATTATATTGTATGTACATATAATTATCATAATATATTTTAATAATTATATATTTTATATTACATATAACATTGCAAATAATATTGCAATATAGTAGTATAGCACAATATAGTAATATATAATACTAATGTTGTGCTATATTAACAATTATATTGTATGTACATATGATGATTATAATATTTTAATAATTATATATGTTATATTACATGTAATATTACTAATAATATGGTAGTATAGTGGAATAGTACAATATAGTGATATAATATTGTGCTAAGCTAATAATTAGAATAATATAATATTTTAATAATTATATATTTTATATTACATGTAATATTACAAATAATATTGCAATATAGTGGTATAGCACAATATAGTAATATATAACACTATTATTGTGCTATACTAGCAATTATATTGTATGTACATATAATTCTCATGATATAATATTTTAATATATTTTATACTACATGTAATATTACTAATAATATTGCAATATAGTGGTAAAATACAATATAGTAATATATAATACTAATATTGTGCTATGCTAGCAATTTTATTGTATGTACATATAATGATCATAATAATATATTTTAATAATTATATATATTTATATTACATGTAATATTACTAATAATATGGCAGTATAGTGGTATAGTACAATATATAATACTAATATTGTGCTATACTAGCAATTATATTGTATGTACATATACTGATCATAATAATATATTTTAATAATTATATATTTTATATTACCTGTAATATTACTAATAATATTGCAGTATAGTGGTATAGTACAATATGGTAATATATAATACTAATATTGTGCTATACTAGCAATTATATTGTATGTACATATAATGACCATAATAATGTAATATTTTAATAATTATATATTTTATATTACATGTAATATTACTAATAATATGGTAGTATACTGGAATAGTACAATATAGTAATATAATATTGTGCTAAGCTAATAATTAGAATAATAATATAATATTTTAATAATTATATATTTTATATTACATGTAATATTACTAGTAATGTTGCAATATAGCCGTATATAATACTAATGTGCTATACTAACAGTTATATTGTATGTACATATAATGCTCATAATAATAATCTAATATTTTAATAATTATATATTTTATATTACATGTAATATTACTAATAATATTGCGATATAATGGTATAGAAAAACAGCATTATATAATACTAATATTGTGCTAAGCTAATAATCAGAATATATTGTATGTACATATAATGATTGTAACTATAATATAATAATTTAATAATTATATATTTTATATTACATGTAATATTACTAATAATATTGCAATATAGTGGTATAGTACAATATAGTAATACATAATACTAATATTGTGCCATGCTAATAATTATATTGTATGTACATGTAATAGTAATACAATATAATAATTTAATAATTATATATTTTATATTACATGTAATATTACTAATAATATTGCAGTATAGTGATATAGTACAATATAGTAATATATAATACTAATATTGTGCTATGCTAATAATATAATATATTGTATGTACATATAACATGTGTCCCTTTCGGGGTGAGAAGGGCGGCATATAATTGTCGCAAATAAATAAATAAATAATAAAGACGCTTTTAAAATATCCCCATTTCTTTTCCACCTCCCTTTAGCCTCCATGTATTGGCCATAATTGCAGACTTGAGTTCAAAGTAGAGAGTTATATTGCATCCAGTGAACCCAAGAAGGGAGAAGAGCTTTGCCCATCCCAGAAAGCTAAAGCAAAAGCAAACAGTGGCGGCTTCTCCTTGCTTGTGTGATCTTCCTCATTAACTCTTGCCATATTGACAACACTGTTTCCTGATTATGTGTCCCTCAGTGGGCAGGTCACTCTCTCTCAGCCTCAGAACAACTCTCTTCTGAACTAATCTTGCCAAGAAAACCCCATGACAGGGTGACTGCGTTGCTGTGAGTTTTCCAGGCTGTATGGCCATGTTCCAGAAGCATTCTCTCATGACGTTTCACCAACATCTATGGCAGGTATCCTCAGAGGTTGTGAGGTCTGTTGGATTGTTGACATTTGGATATAACCATGCCCCTCTCCTATCCTCCTCTGGAAATGGAGGACACGGGGCTTTAGGGATCGAGCCTAAATATATTTTCTCTAAAGGAAGCCCCATATAAGCCAATTCACATACATGTACACAAGGTTGCTGCTGTCACAAATAACACTATGCAACATGATTTCTGTTCTTGGGTTATAAATGCCATTTCCTAATTGGTTCTATTATAAAAATACTGCAAGTCGCTTCTGGTGTGAGAGAACCAGCAGTCTATGAAGACATTGCCCAAGGGACGCCCGGATGTATTACAATCATGTGGGGAGGCTTCTCTCATATCAAGCAAAAAGTGTTTTGGACTTTCACATTTCATAACAGCTTGTAAACTGGCTGGGATTTCTGAGAGTTGAAGTCCAAAACACCTGGAGGGCCAAAGTTTGCCTTGCCTGATATTGATGATAGCTGGGGAAAGCTGCTATATATCTATAGCACCAGAACACAACTTAGAAATGCTTTTTTAAACTACAGCTCCCCAAATTCTTCAACCAGTATTGCCACTCGCCACGCCAGCTGGGAGATATTGGGATATATAGTCCAAAAGTAATACTTCCAGGCTCAGATATAGGAGGCAATGTTTGTGGCCAAAGTTGTCAGTGATTAACATTTCCATGGAGCCCCCAGTGGCTCAGTGGGTTAAAGCGCTGAGCTGCTGAACCTGCAGACTGAAAGTTTGCATGTTCAAATCTGGGGAGCGGAGTGAGCTCCTGCTGTTAGCCCCAGCTTCTGCCAACCTAGCAGTTTGAAAACATGCAAATATGAGTAGATTAATAGGTACCGCTCCGGCAGGAAGATAACGATGCTCCATGCAGTCATGCCGGCCACATGACTTTGGAGGTGTCTACGGACAACGCTGGCTTTTCGGCTTAGAAATGGAGATGAGCACCAACCCTCATAGTTGGATACGACTGGACTTAATGTCAGGGGAAAACCTGTCTGAACGTATCTCTCCTTATGAACAATCTAGGACAGTGGTTCTCAACCTGTGGGTCCCCAGGTGTTTTGGCCTACAAATCCCAGAAATCCCAGCCAGTTTACCAGCTGTTAGGATTTCTGGGAGTTGAAGTTCAAAACATCTGGTGACCCACAGGTTGAGAACCACTGATCTAAGAGCTTAAGATCATCTGGGGAGGACCTGTTCTAGATCCACCTGCATCGCAAGCGCGATTGGCGGGGAAGAGGGACAGGGCCTTCTCAGTGGTGGCTCCCCGGCTATGGAACTCTCTCCCCAGGGATATTAGATTGTCCCCCTCCTTCCTGACTTTCCGAAAAAAGGTAAAAACTTGGCTCTTTGAGCAAGCTTTTGAGAATGCAGCGGGATAACATGAAACTATGAATAATGAACATGGAATGGCCAGACGATGTTATTGGAAAACATTTTAACAAGATGATATCGGAGACTACTTGTTTTAATGGTTTTTATATGTTTTTATATTGTTATGTTGACTGTTTTTAATCGCACTTTTATGAATGCATGGCATTGAATCGTGCCAATCTGTAATCCACCTTGAGTCGCCGTATGGTTGAGAAAGGCGGGCTATAAATGCTGCAAATAAATAAGTAAATAATTTACCTAACATTTCCGAAGTGTCATTCAAATAAATCAGTGACAATGACTCTAATAAATTTGCACACAGCAGACCAGTAATCTGAGATGAGCTTTTAATAGAAGACATACTTTTTCTTAAAAAGTATTCTCTTTTTTTTCTTTGTTTCTTTTCATTTTTTTAACAAAAAAAGGAGCAGGATAATTGCTATGGCCCTTTACATCAAGGTAAGAATTTCCAAACAGATCCAAGCAGCAAGGTATAGGGGTGGGTTGGCGCAGGAAGGAAGAGACAAAAAGATGTATATATTTATATATATTTTTAAAAAATGCAAACCCCCTGGGTTTGAGGAAAAGAAAACACAAATCAAGTTGTTCTGTTCAGAAGAAAATACTTTTGTTAGAAACAAAATACAAATAATAATAATAATAATAGTATGACAGAATAAAAACAAATTAAGACAAGAAACCACCATGCAAAACATAAAAATCATATTTATATATAGAGAGAAGGCAAGGCCCACCCCGAGCCGGTTCCTGAATTGAGAAGAGCAGACACTTCTGGATGTTTTTGACTAGGCGTCCAAGCTAGGATTTGCAAACTCTTCACACTTGAACTCTTTTTTTTTTAAGTGCAGGGTTTGGACAGGCTTCCTTTGCCCGTCTGCTGCTGGCTTACAAAAGGTGCACGCAGTTCGATCCAAAGTTTATACTGAGATAATGAATGCAAAACACTCCGAAACACTAAAGTGCTATATAAGTGCTGGATATGATTGGATCTGCAATCCTACCTGCCTTCATCCAAGAGGAAGCCCCTTTGACAGCTGAGGGCCTGGTTTCTGAGTAAACATGCAAAGGACTAAACTGCAAATACTCAAACTTTGGGCACACGGGTCAAAGGCGTTGTATTGTCCTATAGCCTCGCACCAAGTGGAAGTGAATGCCAAAGTGTGGGCACCATTAATGAGGAATTCAGATCAAAGTCAAAGTGAGGAAAGAGGGGATTCCAGAGCCTCTGGATAAGTAGAGGCTCTTACTCTGCCAATAAGGGCCACTTTATATATTTTGTCCTATAAGGAAGCAGCAGAAGTAGCTTCCATATATGTGCAATTTCAACAAAAGATATTTGTATCATTACTTTTGACATGATAGTATATGTGTATCCCATCTACATGCTAGTTACCTACATGCTGGGGATAAAAGTAGCAAGTGAAGCAGGGCTAAGTTTTCATGGTGAGCAGAGCAAAGGCCTTGTTCCTGGGATAGCGGAAGGTGGGCAGGTTTGAGTTTTGTAACAATCCTGGAACCTGCTTAGGCAAAGTTGTCCATTCCCCCAACTGCATTAAGGAGGGTTACATCTAATCAGAGATAAAAAAAAACACCTCTGGAAAACTAAATAAAACCAAAGGGAGGCAAGAAACAGCTGCAGAAGTCTCTCCGAATTCTTCATGTGGAGGAATGGATTCCATCTACAGAAAAAGAGCTCCCACCAAAACATTAGGAGGAACTTACTGATGGTAAGAGCTGTTTGGCGGTGGAAAACATTGCCTCGCAGTGGTTCTCAACCTGGGGTCCCCAGATATTTTTGGCCTTCAACTCCCAGAAATCCTAACAGCTGATAAACTGACTTGGATTTCTGGGAGTTGTAGGCCAAAAACATCTGGGGACCCCAGGTTGAGAACCACTGCCATGGTGGAGTCTCCTTCTCTGGAGATTTTTAAGCAGAAGCTAGATGGCCATCTGTCAGGAGTGTTTTGAYTGTGTGTTCCTGCATGACAAAGGGTTSGACTGGATGGCCCTTGGGGWCTCTACCAACTCCGATTCCATATTTCTGCTAACCTCACAGGTCTGACTCCAATAATAAATTCCAACAAGAGTGGGATCCCCTGAATCAACAGAAACTGCCTAAATGTTGATTTGTCATTTTGTGTATACGAGTCTAATTCTGGTTGGGATTAGCAATTGGATTCAGGTCACAGCATGGCAAGTTAARTGCCAAAAAAWTCCTATTTTTCAKATAAGTYACCATAATTCCTTGAGGTAYAGTTATTTTACATCAATTRCTTCACTGTCTGCTTTATTCTACAAACCCCTAGTGACACAGYGRGTTAAACCGCTAAGCTGCTGCACTTGCTGACCGAAAGGCTGGTTTGAATCCGGGGAGTGGGRTGAGCTCCCAMTGTTAGCCCYAGGTTCTGCCAACCTAGCAGTTCGAAAACATGCAAATGTGAGTAGATCAATAGGTACCGCTCCCGCGGGAAGGCAACAACATTCCTTGCAGTCATGCTGACCACATGACCTTGGAGGTATCTGCAGACAACACTGGCTCTTCGGCTTAGAAATGGAGATGAGAACCAACCCCCAGAGTCGGACATGACTAGACTTAATGTCAGGGTAAACCTTTAACTTTAGCTACTACCACTTTATTCTAAAGCATTTGTTTTTAAATTAATTGAATCTCTGTCTTTCTTTTTTCCTAGGACACTTGCACTTTCATTTTGGTAAATAGGCAAGAATAACGGTGGCAAAAGTCAAGGGCCCCAATGCAAAGGGTGAGTAGCTACAGGGAAACAGCAGATAAGAGCCTCAAAACAACATAGACCGCTGCAAACACAAACTGGATGTTTCTGAAGTTATTACCTAAGAGGATTAAAAACTAACTTTCAGGAGCAAAACAATGAGGTTAATTTTTAGAAAACCCAATTTTTTTGTTAGTTACTATACATGTGCAATCAGGCAAGATGGAACAGGTTTAAGATATGGTATACCATCTCGCCTGGTTTTGTTGTTGAATCTATGCAGTTTGCAAATCCTAACTTCTTCACCATAGATTTAAAAAAAAAGAAGAAAAAGAAATCACCACCACAGCAAGTTCAGGGTTGGGGTTGGGGTGGGTCAGGGGGAAATCAAAGTGCTCTTGGCTGCTGGCAACGATATGCAGAGATGATGGAATCCAGGTCCCGATCCAAAACTGGAGAAGGCTGGCTGAGATGAGTAGGCTTCCAGTTCATTCCTCATGTTTTGACAGGCGCAAGAGGCCGGCGGAGGGTCCAAATAGCCTCCACCAAGCCGAGGTGTGTGTGTGCTGCAAGGAACAGCCTTCCAGAGATGATAGAAAATTCCTTATAACCTTCATGTGAAGGAAATCTGAGGGCCTTCTGAAGCCACAGGCCCCCTTTGAGGAACAGAGAAGGAGAGATGAAAAGGAGACCTCTGCAGTGGCTTGACATGAAGAACAAGGAAAGAGGAGGCCCCCCGAGTACTGTTCCTTCTCAGAGCTGGGTGAAGGAGAAACCAAATGGCGAACCCGAGCTAGAGCTGGCTGCATTCAGGGCAAGGCAAAAGGGTTGTGGAATCCAAGCTTGCAACATTTAGCTTTTGAAGGACTACAATTCTGGGAGTTGCAGTCCCTCAAAAGTACTTTCCCTGACTCTAGTCTAAACCATCACTTGTACTCAGAAAGCAGCTGCAGTGCTGGATGGGTCCAGCCAAGCCCCAACCCAGCCCTGTGTCTACTGACCAGTTTCAATATTATTTAGTTATCTGAAGATGGTGGGCTAGGAATTTGTCTTATATATATCTATTTCTTTATTCAAACTAGAGTTGGGCAGGGAAGAGGAGGAAGAAGAGGGAGAAGTTGCAAGAAAAAAATGGCTTTCTCAATTCTGATTATAATTTTTTTCTCCTGTTCTATCTATTAAAACTCTCAACCGCAGCTCACCTCAGAAACTCCCTCCCCCTCAATGTTCACCCCTCAGGGGTGGTTGATATTAAAGTGCAGGCTGATACAAGGAGGAGTTGCCCTCAAAGAGTGGGGAGGCTCTTGGAAGAAGAGTTGCGGTTGGCCATGAGATCCGGGGATAATAATGTGTTGTTATTGTTTTGTGTTATGTATCAGAAGGTGTGCAAGGTAGGGGCCCCCTGTTCTCCCCTCTTCCTCCACCTCTTCCCCCCAAATCCAACCCACCCACCTAGGGTCTGGCTGCCCCTCCTCAGTCAGTCTGGGCTGGCTCTTCAGTGGGGGTCGCTGGCTGCGGCGGCCCTTGGGAAGGCGTCAGGGGTTTGTGGTTGGTGGAGGGGGAGTCGCTCTCCGGGTCTTCGGTCTCCTCGTCAGAGACGCCGTCAAGACGGAAGACCTGCCGCACGGTTCGGGTGGTGAAGCTCAGTGGTGTGCGTCTGTGAGGGGGAGGGAGAAAGAGAAATGGCACTGATACCACAGCATTCAATCTCAACTACCTCCCCTCCTTGCAGTGGAAAAACACGCCCAAATACTGCAAAATAAATAAATAAGCTAATTTTATTTCAGGGGTGGGAAAAATATGGTCTGCAAAAGCTAATAGTATTATTATTATTAATAATAATAACAATAATAATAATAATAATATCAGCATAGGTGGTCCCAGTGGTCATCGACACACTGGGTGCCGTGCCAAAAGATTTCAGCTGGCATTTGGAAACCATAAACATTGAGAAAATCACGATCTGTCAACTGCAAAAGGCCACCTGACTTGGATCTGCGCGCTTCATTCGAAAATACATCACAAAGTCCTAGACGCTAGGGAAGTGTTCGACTTGTGATTTTGTGATATATCTTGTTTGCTGTGACATACTGTGTTTCTGTGTCAGTAAAATAATAATAATAATAATAATAATAATAATAATAACAACTTTATTTGTATTCCACTCTATCTCCCTGAAGGGACTCACGGCAGATTCCAACATGACAATGGCAAACATTCAATGACTACATAAAACAGATGATACTAACATAAAATCCCAGAAAACCTCCGCATATAAAAGTAACATTAAAGCCTAATGCTATGGCCCTCAGCTCAGATTGCTCTTTTCTTCCTTGCTTCAAAAGGGGAGTGATGCTTAATTGTCTTCAAGAGCTGCAGTTCACGTTTTAGCATGGCTACTGTTTTATTTTTAAAAAAATACTATTTTTTTTAAGCTGAGGAATTTATTTCCAGTCAATGCTGAGTCTTTTCCAAATAAACCGACAATCCATATTGTTGGAAATATTAAATATTAACTAGATATTTTTAATTACAAAAATGTGAGTCAATCACTGAAAAGGTTAAATAGATGCAATGACTCAGCAAAAGCTGTAGTTCAATATAAGTAGGTGAGCCTGTAGCTTAGTAGCCCTCATTCTGTGGTAGGCCTCAGTATGAGAAGGCCTCAGTGTTAGTTCACCTCAGTATGTGAGAGGCTGTCAGTCTGAGAGAGCCCTCAGTGTGAGAATGCCTCAGTGTGAGAAAGGCCTCAGTGTTAGTAGGCCTCAGTATGAGAAGGCCTGGTATGAGAAGTCGCAGATTGAAGGCCCATGTGTGAAGGCTGCTGTGTGTAAAAAGGTCCTGTGTAACTTTGGTCTGAGGCTCTCACAGCAAAGCTGTTTATCTGCATGAGAAAGAATCCCAGCATGGAAGCAAATAAGGAAGTATAAAGAACTTTGTGTTATGGAAACCAAGGAGCGACTTGAGAAACTGCAAGTCGCTTCTGGTGTGAGAGAATTGGCTGTCTGCAAGGACGTTGCCCAGGGGAGACCAAATTTTTTAAAGTTTTATCCTTGTGGGAGGCTTTTCTATGTCCCCTGGAGCTGACAGAAGGAGCTCACCCACGCTCTCCCTGGACTTGAATCTCCAATCTGTCGGTCTTCAGTCCTGCTGGCACAAGGGTTTAACCCATTGTGAGCATGAGACTAAGGCTACCTATAGATTTCACTGGTGTCAATGAGAGAAACATGAATCTTTTCTCCCAACATTGTCTAGAGAACACCTCTTTCTCCTTTGCATCCCAGCTGAGTCTGGATTACTTATTTGACTGAGAAAAGCCTCAAGCATAGTCACAAGTGCACTGCATCTACCAGGAAATAACAGCCAGGAATGGGTAGCAAAAGCTTAACTTTTTTAAAAAAATCTCCTTCTACTAGCGAGGAGAGGCGCAGTTCAAAGCTCGCATCAACAGCAAGTGCCCCCACAGCACAAGCATTCCCCACCCTCTTGCTATAAAAGTATTTATTTCTCTGACTAGGGAAGTCAGAGTTGCCAAAAATACCAAGCAAGCACTCCTGCTTTTTGCTCTTTCAGGGCCAAAACAGACACAACAGGGAGAGGTGGACAGTCTAATCCTTCCTCTCCTTCCTCGCTGTTTCTTCAGTTTATAAACTACTCCCACTACTTCACTGCTATTGAATTAAAAGATAGATGTAGTAATAATTGTGTAGTAAATGAAGCTGATATTTGGGATTCTAGATCTAGATCCCAGATTTGGGATACTAAAGTCTCCTAATCTCATGGGAAGAGGCGGACAAATGTCAGCATGCTGGAAGAAGCAAAGACCACCAGCATTGAAACAATGCTCCTATTATCAACTCCGCTGGACTGGCCATGTTGTCCAAATGCCCGATCACCATCTCTCAAAGCAGCTACTATACTCCCAACTCAAAGACAGGAAACGTAATGTCGATGGACAGGGAAAGAGATTTAAAGATGGGCTTAAAGCCAACCTAAAAAACTGTGGCATAGACACTGAGAAGTGGGAAGTCCTGATCCTTGAACACTCTAACTGGAGGTCAACTGTGACCAGCAATGCTGCAGAATTTAAAGAGGCACGAATGTCGGGTAAAAAGGAGAAACGGGCCAAGAGGAAGGCGCATCAAGCCAACCTTGACCATGACTGCCTTCTACCTGGAAGCTGATGTCCTCACTGCAGGAGAACATGTGGATCAAAAATAGGGCTCCACAGCCACCTATGGACCCACCACCAAGACACTACACTTGGAGGACCATCATCCTCAGGCTACGAGGGACCGTGTAAGTAAGTAAGGTGGGAAGTGATCATGGTATTAGACTAGGACCCCAAAGATCAACTTCACCTATTACACAGTTGTTAAACTGAGCCAAATGGGGTGCTAAGGAAAAATATATTCTGAAAAAAACCTGCCAAGAAAATCCTATGGCAGGTTTACTTTAGGGTCTCCATAGGGTGGAAATAAATTGAAGGCACACAACAACAGCAGCAGCAACAACAATGAACTTTTGTAATAGTACATTTTTAAGAAAAATATTTTAAATTGTGTAAGCCATCTTGAGTTCCCTGGCAGGAGAAAAATGAGATATAATTTGAACCCATCAATAAATAATACCCCAAAGCTACTTTTAAATTTACAACATTTTCAAGGGAGGAGGATCAGACTGTGGACCTCCTATGTCCAGTATGTTTCAGCCCTAATTGGGAATCATGAAGCTGGGTGTTTCTGCACTGCAGCTGCACACACATACATGCACACACAGCCTCCCTCACAATCCCATCCCACCCCAAAGCTACACTGCACACAGCACACACATGCAGGACACGGGAGTGAGAACGTACTTCCGCTGCCGCCGTTCTACCTTGCTGTTGGGTTGAGAAAAAGATGGAATGTCACACACAGAGAGAAAGAAAAGACAGGGGATTGGGGAAAGGAAGGGAAGAAAGAGATGCAAACATGAAAAAATGATTTGGAAAGAAGTTGATACTAAAAGAGGAAGAGGGAAGCATGCTTGTGACCTAAACTACCCATCCCTGATGTTGAACCATCGGTTTGCAATGAAATATAATCCCCACATCACTTCCAGACAATGGTGATACTGTCTGGGAATGATTGTGGTCTAAAATATGGTCTATACCTTTGGGTGAAAAAAATCAGGAGCTTAGTGGAGTAAGCACTTAGAAACAGAATAGCTAAAACCACAAAGCAGAGTCATAGTTGGAAATGGTAAGAGCAATTGCAGGAATGCTATTTGCACCACCCTTCTGCACAGGTTTTGAAGATGGTTACCATATTGCTTCTCACTGGTCTCTTTTCCAGGCTAAACATACTCTGCTCTCTCAACCATTCCCCATAGAAAACTGATCACTATCTTTCTCTGGAAAAACTTATAGACTGCTGAGAAAATTCTTAGATTTCACACAGTACTCCAGATGATATCTAACAATTCAGTTCATTACAGGAAACTGGATTAAATAACCGTATACGAGTATAAGTCAAGTTTTGCAGCCCCTTTTTAAGGCTGAAAAGAGCCCCGCTCAGCTTATATTCAAGTCAAAGTAATTTATTATTTTACTCTGTTATTAATATTATTACATTTATTATTTTGCTCTATTTATTATTATAATTGCATTTACATTATTTTACTCTACTACTACTATTATTATTACATTTATTATTTTACTCTATTATTATTACATTTATTATTTTACTCTATTATTATTACATTTATTATTTTACTCTATTATTACTGTTATTATTACATATCCATTATTTATTATTATTATACTTATTATTTTAATGTATTATTACTGTTATTGTTACATTTACATTATTTTACTATTATTATTATGACATTAATTATTTTTATTACATTTATTATTTTACTCTATTATTATTATTATTATTATTATTACATTTACATTATTTTACCCTATTATTATTTTTGTTACATTTATGATTTTACTCTATCATTACATTTATGATTTTACTCTATTATTACTGTTATTGTTACATTTCCATTATTTTACTCTATTATTGTTTTTATTACTGTCTTTATTATTATTGGAAGGATACGTAAGCACATTTACATTGAAAAAGGTTAGAATAATGGTTTAATCCGAGTTGGACAGTTTTATCTTAAATTCCACTTTTATGTAAATATTCAAAAACATTTAACCTACTGATGCCTCAATTAATGTAACTTTATTGCAATCTATTTTTATTTTGAAATTTACCAGCAGCTGCAGCATTTCCCACCCTCGGCTTATACTCAAGTCAATATGTTTTCCCAGTTTTTGTGTGTGTGTGTGTGTGTTAACAGTTTGTGCCTCGGCTTATATTCGGATCAGCTTATACTCAGGTATATACGGGTAACCTTTGGTCCACCAGGACTACTCTTAAAAACCTTTCACCGATTTGGGAATGGGGTAATTTAAATGACTTTAATTGTTTCAGTATAGGTGAGTTGTAAAAAGATTCTAACGATGCAGGGTGAGATCTCTAATTAAACTGCCACCAAGAGTGCATGATCTCTGATATGGCAAGATATGGGGCAACTCTAGTCTTGGTTCTGGTCACGGAGGTGGAAAACCAAGACTACAAGCACACCCCATCACAATCCATTATGGCACCACTGCTTGAAAACTAAATGGGCTTTCTCTCATAACTTTCAGCACAAAGCCGAAAAAGGGGATATAATGATACCACGTCACATTAACAAAGAATCACAACAGACTTTACAGCTTTTAAAACACGTTCAGCTGGCTAATGTTTTCCCTAAAACAATATTCTGAAATGTGTAACATCGTGCTTAATCTCTAGCTCTCAGGTCTACAGAAATATGAGAATAGCAAAAATAGAAGAACAAAGACAAGAAGTAGAGTGTTGAAGGCAACCTTCTCCTACTTGGTAGTCTCCCAATCTGTTGGACTACAACTCCAAAAATATCACAGGAAGAGCTGCCTTGGAAATTCTAGGAGTTGCATTCCAACACATCTGTAGAATACTTGTATGGCCATGTAGGAATGGGAGGACATGGGGGAGGACACAGGGGAGGGTGATGCTCTCTGTATTGGGATCTGGGTCTGTCTTCAAATCTAAATGGATTAGCCCAAAAAACAGCACTCACCTGAGGCGATTTCGCAGGCTGGTGACTTCACGGTTCATGGACTCAGCTGATTCAGTGACATCCTCAAGTTCACGCTGCATGCGGCGGCGGCTTGCGTTTGCCCGTGATACTTCCTCCTCGGCTTCTTCCAGCTGCCGCTTGAGCTGCTTCAGCCGCAAGTGGCCCTTTTCAACCTGCCAGAAAGAGCAAGAGAAGGGCGCTAGGAGACAGGCCTGACAAGAGCATGTCTAACAGGAGATGAGGTGTGTCTTTGCCCTACCTGATCCTTGTACTGGTCTGCATTCCTCCGCTCTTCATCGACTTGAAGGATCACCTCCTTAAGCTTTTTCTCTGCACGACGCACAAGTTTCCCTGACAGGATCCGTTCCCTTAGAAACAGAAAATTTAATAAGAATCACGATGAAGATATTAGATTGGATCTGGAGTAGATCCACTGAAGTTTACAGGATGTCAGAAAGATTAAAAATTAACTAGGTATTTTTAATTACAAAAATGTGAGTCAAGCATTGAAAGAGTTAAACGGATGCAATGTCTCAGCAAAATCTGAAGTTGTATATAAGCAGATGTGTCTGTAGCTTAGTACCCTCAGTTTAAGGTAAACCTCAGTGGGAGAAAGGTCTCAGTCTGAAAGAAGGCCTCAGACTGAAACCGCCTTGAGTCGCCTTTGGACTGAGAAAGACAGTATACGAATATGGTAAATAAATAAATAAATAATAAATAGTGTGAGGTAGGCCTTAGTCTGTGAGAGAAACCTCTGTGTGAGGTAGGCCTCACAGTGTGAGGAAGCCTTAGTCTATGAGAAGGCTGTGAGAAGGCTTGGTGTGAGAAGCTTCGGTGAGAGAAGCTCCAGGTTGAAGGCCTTTTGTGTAAAGCCTCCTGTTTAAAGCTCCAGTATAAAGGCTGCTGTGTGTAAAAAGCTACTGTGTAAAGCTCCAGTATAAGTTCGTTGTGAGAGGAGGCTCTGTGAGAGCAAAGCTGTTTATCTGCATGAGGAAGAAGCTCAGCATGGCAGCAAAGAAGGAAGTATAAAGGACTTTGTGTTGTGGAAACCTTGTTATTGTAAATAGTGAATCTATATTATTTTACTACAAAGAAAAACCTCATTTGGAAGAGATAACATTAGTCTGTGTGTTTTTGTTCTTTTTATCACTTTGGGTTTCTAATGGTTAGTCACGCTGCTGCTACTAAGTTACTCTGCTGTACATTTATGAGGAGGGTCTTTTGTTAATAAGCCCACTCGCCCAACACAGGACTCATGCATGTATCCAACAGCTTAAATCTCAATTTTCCTATTCCAATTCCAAACTTACTTATGGTGTTCACCTATAAGCATGTATCTATAGTTTTCTCCCCCCTGCATCTTAACACACAGCATGTTTAGCATCAGCAGAACCATGCAAACAAATAAAGCCCAGATTAAAGATCTTTTGAGAGTTCAAGGTACACAGAGTTCTTGGCCATGACTGTATGCTTTATAACAATGCAACAAACTAGGTTACCAAGCAACACTGGTAAACTCATGGAAACCCAATAAACTTTGTGGCTGAATTGAGATTTGAACCTGGGATTTGGTTTATGGGCCAAATTATGTGACATCAGATGTGTACTCAGATATCCTAAGTGGTCTTGGAGGACTGATGCGGGCAAAGGGGCATTTAACTCTTTTCCCTCATGCCAACACAATTTCTCCCTTCAACCCAAAACTTCTATTCATTCTATGGGTTTTTAATCTAGCTTTGTCCCAGTTTCAATGGCTGGACTCAGATGCTGGACTCCAATATATGCTCCAGCTAGCACAACCACTTCTCAGGGATACCTGAGGGCCCGCTTATCCCCCTACCAACCCCAGAGATTACTTCGGTCCGAAGACCAAAATTTGCTTGAAGTCCCCAACATCCGGACTTATCATCTGTCCTCTACTAGTCAGGGAGCCTTCTCGATTGTGGCCCCTTATTTATGGAATGCCTTGCCAGTTGAAACCCGAACCATCCGAGAGCTACTTGCTTTTCGGAAAGCCTGTAAAACCTTTCTTTTCCGACAAGCTTTCAATGGGTGAATAACTCGGGACTATGTCTGTTCTTGTTTTTATTGTATTTTAAAGTTGGTTGTATTGTTTTTAAGCTACTGCTGTAAACCGCTCCGAGCCAAATTGGGAGTGGCGGTATACAAGTCAAATAAATAAATAAAATAAATAAAATAATGGGAGCTGTAATTCACTACCTGGAGGGCTACAGTTTTGCCACATGTGTTCAACCACTATACCAGACTGGGAGTAGGCATAGTGTGCTTGCTGTACCTGGACTCTTGCTCCAACTGTTCTTCCAGCTGTGCCACCTTGGACTCCAGAGTTGCAATTGCCATCTTGTATTTAGACTTGACGGAGGAGTCCATCTCGCCCAACTTGGCCCTCAGGTCTTTGTTCTGGCGCTCGAGCTGCTGCCGAGCGTTCTCTGTTTTCTGTGAGAAGCTGCGCTCAGCTCCCAATTCTGTGGTGAGCGTCTCAACCTGGAGAGATCAGCAAGAGGTCCCAGATCAAGCTCAGAAATCCTGTCACGTTTTAGGACTACAGCTGCCATAATCCCCCAACAACAGGGTCATGCTGGCTGAGGTTTCTGCCAGCAGTAGACAAAAGGCAAAATATAGTACAACCTCAGTATTTGTTTGACTGGACCCGTTGTTGCACCCATTTGCGTCCCAAAAAAATGTCCTCTAGGAATTTTCTAGATTCTCTATGCAGTTCTATGTTATGCTTCTATTAAACAATACCATAGACTCACCTTGGATGACCTAACAAATTCCAACTTAACAGGCCCTTCAACCTGCAGTCCTTTAAGGATTTTGGACTTCATCTCCCAGAATGCCTGATCTCTGAACAAGCTTGTTAGAGCTTCTTGGAGTAGAGCCCAAAAACCTGGAGGGACGAAGGTTGAAGAGGCCAATTCTAGGTTCTTCAGGGAGTCTCTAAGGTAACCTCCAGTGGAGGTCATTCATCTCAATGGGGATCACTATGATCCATGGTTTCCTATTTCCACAAGACATTTAAAAATATATCCCGAGTGGGTATAGGTGCTGCATTGTAATGTTTCCAAGCTTTGATTCCAGTACAGAAAAAGAGTGAGGAATGGGTGTTTCAAAAGAGTAACTCACCTGCATGCTGAGCTTACGATACCGGTCATTGAGGAGTTCCATGTTGCTTTGCTCTTCATCCAGCTCTTCCTCCAACTGACCTATTCTTGCCTCCAAGTGGCGTTTTTCATCCAGAAGTGCTGACCTTAAGACACGGATGGAAGAAATGTGTAAGGGAGAGGGATCGGATGAAAGGTGGCTACTCAAAGGGAGGGGGGTTTCTTTTTGGGGGGACGGGGGACAGAACTAAGAGAACACCCTCAAGAAGGCCACTAAGGTTGCTTCCATATAAAAAAACCCCTTTAAGGCAGTGTTTCTCAACCTTCCTTATGCTGCGACCCCTTAATACAGTTCCTCATGTTGTGGTGACCCCCCAACCATTACATTATTTTTGTTGCTACTTCATAATGTAAATATCTGATATACAGAATGTATTTTCATTCACTGGACCAAATTGGCACAAAATATGCCCAAACTGGAATACTGCTGGGGGGTTGGGGGAGGGATTGATTTGGGGAATTGATTTGGGAGTTGTAGTTGCTGAGATTTATAGTTAACCTACAATTAAACAGCATCTGGAACTCCGTCAACAATGGAATTGAACCAAATTTGGCACGCAGAACTCCCATGACCAACAGAAAATACTGGGTTTGGTGGGCATTGACCTTCAGTTTTGGAGTTGTAGTTCATCTACACACAGATAGTACTGTGGACTCAAACAATGATGGATCTGGACCAAACTTGGCACGAATACTCAATATGCCCAAATGTGAACATTGGTGGAGTTTGGGAAAAATAGACCTTGACATTTGGGAGTTATAGTTTGCAGCATCGAATCGATGCCATTGTTAGCCGCTCTGAATGAGAAGAATGGGTTAAAATGTTGTAAATAAATAAATAAATAGTTGCTGGGATTTATAGTTCACCTAAAATCAAAGAGCATTCTGGGTCCCACCAATGATAGAATTGGGCCAAACTTCCCACACAGAACCTCCATGAGCAACAGAAAATACTGTGTTTTCTGATGGGCTTTGGTGACCCCACTGACTCCCCCCACCACCCATGCCCTTACAGGGGTCCTGACCCCCAGGTTGAGAATCGCTGCTTGAAGGCATGGGAAGGCAAAGTACAGACTGGAGGCTGCATGAAGTTCCTGAGATGCCTAGATACAGCCTATGAATCATGCCCTAAAAAGTCCAGACCCTACTAAAACCTTTAAAAAAAATTGGCCTGATTTCCGGTGATATTTCTTTTGCTCCAAAACTGTCAAAAGCCTCTGATATTAGCCCCAAATGCTGTAGCTTGCTTCTTGCAACAATAACAAGTGGAAAGTAGACTTCAAAATACTATCATTTAAATCAAAAGGAGCAGCACGGGCCTTAAAGGAGGCAAGGATTACGTATCAGTGCACTCACTTGCCACTGTTCCCATTGGCCAGCTCATCTGCCAGATCGTCCCGCTCCTGTTGCGCCTGCCTCTTGGCTCGTTCCGACGCTGCCAGTTCCTGAAAAGGCAGGAAAGCATGGATTGAACATGGAAGAGAAGAGGGCAAAACTTCATGGTGATGGATACACTAGCTGCACGAATGTCACATTAAGCCTGGGAGGCAGGTGTCTCTCTCATCTGGGTGGAACGTCCTGCTGCCTAGGTCCATTCACACTGCACAACAGTATCACTATGACTGTACTTTAAGTTCAATATGAAATTCTGTTGTTTGCAGATTAGGGAGGAGAATTGAAAATGCCCTGCCAGAGGATTCTAATGGCTGCTCAAACCACACATCCCAGGATTAAACAGGATGCATCCAAGACATCTAAAGTGGAAGAATAGTGAAAAGGAGGCCTTAGAGAGTCACCCTTACCTCCTGCAGTTGCAGCAGCTCTGCTTCCAAGTTCTTCAGCTTCTTCTCACTCTCACGAGACTGGATGAAAATTTCCTCCCGGGCTGCCCGGGCCTCCTCTACTTCACGCCAGAGCTCCTTCATCTGGGCCTGAGATTAGAAAGGAAATATGTCAAAGTAGACCAAACATGATTCTATCTCCCTTTCAAGGGTAGCTACTTACCCAATGGCACTATTTTGCCCAAAACATTGGTAATTCCCTTTTGCTCCCCAAGAATTGGATACCCGAGACATTTTACACATTTATTGATCGACTGTTAATCCATAAAGTATTTATTTATTTACAGTATTTGTATACCGCCCTTCTCAGCCCGCAGGCGATTCAAGGCGGTTTACAGAGGCAACAATTCAATACCCACAATACCATAAATACAATTTTAAAAACATATAATATAAAACCATAGCAAGATCAATAAAAACATATCATTAGCGTCTCCTTGTTAAAACATTGTCCAGAAACATCGTCCAGTTGTTCCATATTCCTAGGTCTGTTACTCTGCATTTGCAAATGCTTGCTCAAAAAGCCACGTCTTGATTTTTTTTTTCCGGAATGTTAAAAAGAAGGGGGCCGGTCTGATATCCCTTGGGAGGGTGTTCCATAGCTGAGGGGCCACCACTGAGAAAGCCCTGTCTCTCATCCCCAGCAGACATACTTGTGACAAAAACGGGATCGAGAGCAGGGCCTCCCCAGACGATCTTAAAGTCCTAGATGGTTCATAAGGGGAGATGCGTTTGTACAGGTAAGTTGGTATACCTACCTACCACCACTACCTGCATTCAGACATACATAAACACATACCTGTAACTTGCGCAGCTGTTTCCCTGCTTCGTCCCGTCCCTTGTTGGCGGCATCCAGCTGTGCCATTGCCTCTTGGAGATCAAGCTCAAGCTTCTTCCGGGCAGCCAGCGCTTGGGCCCGTTGTTTCCTCTCGGCATCCAGCTCAGCCTCCAACTCTCGCACCTAAAAAGAGCAGCAGAGGGGAGGCTCAAGACCTAGAACCTCATTTCCTGAAAGGATAGCTCTAATGGGACTCAGAAAAAAAATGTTCCAATGGGATTCCTAGTTCCAAACATCTTTGCCTGAAAAATACTTCAAATATTTTTTGGAAAAGGAGGGAGCCCCCTCCCTGTAGGCTACACTCTCCACCCTGGTCTTATATGGCTACTCTGCTTGGGCTAAGACTTATAGGGGTTGGGACCACACTTCTGTCCACTCCTATCCAACCTGCTTGCTGAGGAGTTTCTTCTTGTCATCGTTGGCATCATCGCGGTTCTGCAGCTCCCTCTCATGCTGTGCTTTTAGGGCCTGCATGTTGACCTCCAGGCGTAGCTTCCCATCCTCTGTGGCCTGAAGCTCGTCTTCTAGCTCCTCCAGCTGGGCTCGCATCTCTTGCACTTGCTGTTCCAAGGCCCGCTTGGAACGCTCCAGCTCATGAACCTGGTTCAAAGCAGGGCAAAATGAGAACAACAGAATCAATAACCTTCTAGAAAGCTATTACCATTCAGTTTTTATAATAGAGACATTATTAGAAGATGTAACCTCAGTGTCATTCTACGGTCAACTTCCACAGAATAAAAAAACAGCATTCACAATTTTTCCTTACATTTGCAGTTTTTCCTCTTTCGTGAGCACCCTATGCTCCTAAACCCCATGAAGGTGAAGTGTCTACTGTACTGTATTTAATCAAATTGCATTATTATTATTATTATTATTATTATTATTATTATTATTATTATTATTAGATACACAACAAGATGAGTCCACAGCAGACACTCTGCCGGCTGTTGCATTGGATCACACGTTGGACACTTCCCAAGTGTCTATTACTGTGTGATGTATTATTATTATTATTATCATCATCATCATCATCATTCAGTTTTTTCTTTCTAAAAAAGAGACTCATAGACTTATCGTAAAACCAGTACAATACAATTAATAATAATAACAATAACAATAATAATAATAATAATAATAATAATTATTATTATTATTATTATTATTATTATTATTATTATTATTATTCCTAGACTGCGCTTTCTCCCCGAAGGGACTCAGGGCAGTTTACACACAGAAAAAGGCAAACATTCAATGCCCAAAACAATACAAACACATCAAAAATCAAAATAATACACAATAATAATAGTAAACTTATAACAAAAGAATTAAACAGCGAAATGAAAACAAAATAAAATAATCCAATAAGACACGATAACACTAATAAAATGAGTTAACATTAAAACATATACCTTGTAAGACAATGAAAATACATTAGAAATGGCTATCATGAGTATTCACTTAAAAAACTAAAATTATACAAACATTAAAATAGAATTAAATATTAATGGTATTAAATAGTATAAATAGATAAAACTCTAAATATAAACCGATGATAGCTGTCTCCATGGAGCTAATTGTGTAGATTGTTTTAATATGTGTATTTCATAGTAATGCGTTTTAATATAAGTATTTTTATGTTGACGTATCTTGTCTATGTCGTGTTGTGCCTTGCTTCAAGCTATGAGGGGAGGCAGGCAACAAATAACAACAACAGAATATTACAAAATTATACCAACATTAAAATATAATTAAATATTAATGGTATTAAAAATATAAACAGTTAAAACCAATTGAAAATCTATTCATAGCTAAAACTACAGCACTCCCCAATTGATCGTAAACATTTCCATCTTTAAAAACGTCTACTCTTTTTCTATCTGGGTAGGGATAAGTATCTGAAAGGATAAGAAACAGGTTCCAATTTGTCAGCAGTGTTTTGCACTCCATCTCTATGTCATTCACTCTCTCTGTTTCTGGAAAGGCCACCCAATGTGCCCGGAATCACTTACATTCTTGCCAACGTCATCCTTGGAGCTGACCAGGTCGTCCATCTCTGCCCTGAGCTGCTTGTTCTGCCTCTCCATCTCCTCTCGCGTCTCCAGCGCCTCTTCCAGGGCCCGGCTCAGTGAGAGCACCTTGGTCTCTTTCTCACGGGCATCAGCTTCGGCCCGGTCCCTCTCTTCGGCATAACGGGCCGAGATCAGCTTCTCTTCAGCCAACATCTGTTAGAAAACAAACACAAGCCTCAGCAAGAATCAAAGGTGGGCAACCTCCCTGACAGCCCTTGGAGTAGGATTTTAACCAAGGAGTTTCAAAATCAAGTCTTTTCACCAGCCTGTTTGGCTTCCTCCTTGGCACTATTGTGGCCTAATTATAGTCGCGCGCACACACACACCAGTGGATTTAGCAGTTATGGTACCTGTCAACATGGCACAGAACACTTTTGTGGCTCCACCTTCAAAACATCTCATTAAAAAATATCAAGGTGTCATTTTTGAGCAATGTATGCACCTCAATCAGACAAGCATCCCAGAACCTCACATGATCCCCAAATGTCACTACCATTTCTATTAAATGGCAATAGGAAGTGATGGAGCCTCACTTCCTTTCACATTTTTTAAGGCTGCAGAGGAAAATGAAGGTATTTTGGTGTGCTGAGCAAAAAAAAGGCTCCTGGACCCATATAGTTACTAACTGATGTAAAAGGATTAGGCTGGACTTGTAGGAACAAGAACTAATGTTTACTTCCAGTTATAGCCCCCAAAACAGCCTCTGCATTTTTATCTTTTGTTTTCTTTTGTTATTTTTTTGCCATACTTCACACCGTTAACAGCTATGTTTTATCACATTTCTACCTGAAGTGCAAACCAGCTGAAGTTGAGGCCAAAAGGTCTAATAAATATGTGAACCCTGCCTTTAAGTAGGCCATTTTGAAGGAAACTACCCAAAGTAAGAACTCTTCAACAATGGAATATGTTGCCTCTTGAGTGTGGTGGAGTCTCCTGCTCTGGAGTTTTTAAACAGAGGCTGGATCACTATCTGTTGGGAGTGCTTTGATTGTGTGTTCCTGCATGGCAGAACAGCATAAAATTGGATGGCCCTTGGGGTATTCCAACCCTACGATTCTAGATGGGAGAAGTCCATTTGTTGTGGGGGAGATGATACCAATGTACAAGTGGGAAACTGTGTCACTAGAATGGTTTTCTTGAGACAAGAAAGGGTAGAAGCGTTGTGGTTCAGCCAGCTGCTGCTGATGATTGTTATTCCAGGGCCTGAGAAAGTGGATGGGTTTTTCTTTGAGGGAAATAAGGAAAATTGGGGGGGGGGGGGGGGGGGGGAGTTTAGATCCTGTCTGCGAGAATGTGCTTGAAAGTAAAACTGCTTCAGAGTCTAGCAGACAGGAAGATGCACTGGCTGGTGAGGACTTTTTGCCTACTTGTCTCATAGAAACCCTAGATAAGAATAAGGAATCGGAAGGGTGAGAAAGTTCACCTGAAAATCCCAGACTTCATTTTATGGAAGAAGCAAGCAAATTAGGAAGATCACAAAGACTCTGTGAAAAGCAGCAGCATGAGAGATCCTTTAAAGGAAAGGCAGTCAAGGTCACGGGCATGACTCCATGTCTTGTGGACCTTAAATCTGAAAGTTGTTTCATTGAGAATTCAGATCAGGCAACGCTGCAAAGCAGTGAGGATCTTGAGCCTCTTTTCCAGTTCATGTTTTGAGTCTAAGGTCTTTGGAGTTTTGGATTCATGTTTTAAGAAGTTTCTATAGTCCTGCTTTTGGATTCATGTTCATGTCTCGATTCTTGTTTCTTTGGATTTATGCTCATGTTTTGATTCTGTACCCTGTTTTCTGGAACTGATTTAACTGTTTGGATTATTACCTTTGGAGTGTTTTTTTCCTATTGCCAGTTTGGTTTGGCTTATTGTTTGTTGACTATTTCCCCCATTATTTATTGGATTTTGCCATTCTTATTTCCTATAGTGACTTTTCCTTTTTGTATGTGCTTTTCTCAATAAACTGTTTTTATTACTACTTTTGGATTCCTGGTTGGTGCTGAGGTCCAGCTGAATTCTATATATAATTATATATTTCATATTACATGTAATATTACTAATAATATTACAGTATAGTGGTGTAGTACAATATGGGAATGTATGTTACCAATATTGTGCTATGTTAATAATATAATATATTCTATTTACATGTAAATTGTAAGCCGCTCTGAGTCCCCTTCGAGGTGGGAAGGGTAGCATATAAATATCATAAATAAATAGATAATAAATAAACATTCTGGCTGGGTTGCAAGAAGAGGAAAGCTTTGAGAAGCCGCCTTTCATCTTGAGGTAATCAGAGTCATTTGTGAAGTGGATTTCAAGACAAATGAGGAGAAAGTCGCATCAATTATCCTCAGGTGGTGGTGAAGAAGTGAAGGGCAAAGCCTGGGAAAGTTACTTTTTTAGGAATTCATATCTCAGCGCCTGGGTTGGCACAAAGAGACCACAGGGAAATGTGGCAAGACTCACCTGGTCAAATTTCTTTTGTTTCTTTTCCAGGGCAGAGACCACTTGGCGCTGCTGGTCGAGGGCCACAGTGACATCGTCCAGCTCCTGCTGCAGCCGGGTCCTCCCTTTCTCCAGCTTGTCACAGGCCTGGACCCGTTCCTCATAGCGCAAGGAGAGGCCCTCTAGGTCCTTGGCTGCCCGCCGCCGAGCTTCCTCTATGGCTTCGGCCACTCCAGCATCTTCCTCCAGCTTCTTCTTAGTCTCCATGACCTGGGGAAATTGCCACACAGGATGAAGTCACACACTGCGCTGTACAAATACACATGCAACACTAAAGAAATGGAAAAACTGGAAGGCACATTGGTATATATAAGAATATATTGGAATATATAAGAATATATTCTATAAGAATATATTCTTATAGAAAGAATATATTCAGCTCCCCTGCAACTGTGACCAGGCTGTGCTCTCATTTTGTTCCCTCATATGCACAAGAACCACTCAAGAAAAACATTATTAGCGTGTGTTTACCCAGATATTATCTTTTGTTTTCTTTTGTTATAATTTTTACCATGCTTCCAACAAATGTCTGGATGGGAAAAAAAACCGCACAGTGATGTGTTTTTGACACACCGCATCTCAGCTGATGCACTGCTGATTTTCAAAGACTTATAATCACTTTCCACACCTCAATGCCAGGAAAGAGGTGGGCAGTCAAAAAAAAAGTGGGCTTCAGAAAAAGATGTCTGGCAGAATCAAGCCAGTATTTACATTTTTAGAGCCACATGACTGGGAAGAGAGAAAAGTAAACTTCTTTCAAAGTTTTATCTTTCCTTTCAGTACACAAAGAAAGCAATTTATCTGAGATAATAAAGAAATTGGTGCAAGATTAAATACCGTGTTCGGAATATGGAAACACTACTTTTTTTATTTTAAAACATCCAGAATTTTGTTTACTGGCCAGATGTTTAAGGGAGGGGGTCTTCTTCAAAAAAGTTCTGCATAGTTTTTGCAATACAGTTATCTCTTGCTAGACCATGTTTTTTTTTTCTTGCAAGCAAGATTAAATTTGAGATAAATATGCCATCTTTCTGCTCCTCCTTTCTGTCCCACCTGCTGCTGCAAGCTCTGCATCTGGCGGCTGAAGTTGGCCTTGGCAGCTTCCTCTTCCTCCAGCTGTTCCAGCATGGCTGCTTTTTCCTCTTCCAGTTGCCGGACCCGAGAGCTCAGATTCAGCTTTTGCCGCGTCTCTTCTTGGAGAAGTTCCTGGAATTGGGAAGAAAGTGGAGAAGAGAGGGAGACAAAAACAAAAAAAGTTTGTGTGTCTATGTGCCTTTAATGATTTCGCCACAGGAAATCAAATCAGTTATTCTTGGCTCATGACTGCCAGATCAAATTGTCTTCCTCTGTTTAGAATGTATTTTTTTGATCTACTGTTTCCATAATCCCCTAGACAAACATAGTTACTGGATTGTGGGATTTATTATTCAAATCAATTCATGGAGTTATTTTTCAGCTTAACCAAATTCTGATCAGGAGGTCAAACACAAACAGGTTATTAGAACAATTCCCTCTGAAGAAGAAAAAATTAAGGATGTTTTATGACTAGGTGTATTTGGTGCTACAGCTGTTGCTTGTGAGTGTATGTTTACCAAAACTTGCTACTTAATGACATCTAATATTTTCATTTATTTGCAAGCAGCTGAACATATAGGCAAGACATAACTATTATTAGATCATTTGAAACTATGTCTGTACTGCAGTAATGCTTTATAGACTAATCCTGTTTACAACTGAAGCCTAGGAAGTAGGTTGCCTTTATTTCCATTTTAAAGACACAAAAAATAGAGGCCAAAAAGAGCCTGTGGCTCAGACTCATTCTGCAATTAAATCTGAATATAAATTTATATTAAGGGCCCAAAACAACATTCAATCCATTGCATTTCTCACCATCCACATTTTTATCCTCTGAGAGGAAAAAATAAAGGTAAAAGCTTCCTCTGACATTAAATCTAGCCATGGGGTGTTGTGCTCATCTAAATTTCTAAGCTGAAGAGCTGGTGTTGTCCATAGACACCTCTAAGGTCTTGTGACTGCATGTAGCGGTGTTACCTTCCCACTGGAGTGGTACCTATTGATCTACTCACATTTGCATGTTTTTGAACTGCTAGGTTGGCAGAAGCTAGGCCTAACAGCAGGAGCTCACCCCACTCCCTGGATTCGAACTGCCAACCTTTCAGTCGGCATGTTCAGCAGCTTAGCAGTTTAACCCACTGCACTACCAGGTGGCCCTTGCTTAGAGGCAAAAGCTAATACTAATCCCTTCCTGTAAAGAGTGCATAGCTTTCCACAGTGTTCCACTTTCTCTGCTTCTCACTTTCATGTTTGTCACATACCTGAGTATCTTGCAAGTGGGATTCCACAGTGGCGAGGTCTTTGGCAAGCTTTATTGTCTTGGATTCTGTGCTTCCCAGGGTGCCAGAGACTCCATCAAGCTCATTCTGTTTCCAACCAATCACCAAAGACAAAGCAAAGATGGAGTCAAAATGCATCAGGGGAAATTGAGACACTAAGCTCTCATAAATGGAAACTTAGGGTTACAATCATAATGGTAACTCATGCAATCAGCATTCATGAAAAGACCTCTGGTGTCATCCAAACAAGCTTAACTTTCTGTGCAGTTTAAGCTCAACATACACAGTGATAATTTCCATGGTGCTCAGAAGAGCATGAAAACTGTGAAGGTGATCACTGGAAAAAGATCAGGTCACTGAGCACAGTTTCTGGCAGATTTGCAATAAGACTGTTTCAATCATATCAAACTCTGCAACACCCCCTACTCCTGTAGCCTTATGTGCCTCCAATAAACTTTTCTTTTTTCGTGTCAGGAGTGACTTGAGAAACTGCAAGTTGCTTCTAGTGTGAGAGAATTGGCCGTCTGCAAGGACGTTGCCCAGGGGACGCCTGGATATTTTACCATCCTGTGGGAGGCTTTTCTCATGTTCCCACATGAGAAGCTGGAGCTGACGGACGAGAGCTCACCCTGCTCCCAGGATTCAAACCACCGACCTTTCCGTCAGCAGTCCTGCCAGCACAAGGGTTGAACCCATTGCACCACCAGGGGTTCCTCCAATAAACTGAAGGAATTAAATTCGTTCCAAGACAAGTTATGTGGCAGACGGAAGCAGTTGTGATGTCGAATAACAGCCAGCTAGCAGTCAATATTGATCTGCCACCTGAGCTCGATGGTGGAGTCCAACCTAAACATCTTGATGCCTCTTTCCTACTTCGCCATCTGTCATCCCAGCAGATAATTGGCATCATCCCATTTATCTCAAAAATCAGAGTTTTTGCAGCATTATGCAGATATTTTATAGAAAGGGTCAGTGTGATGAAAAATTTGAGCAATCCATAAAAATTTCTGAGCTGCCTTAGAGCAAACTCAACAAAGTGCAAAGAATGTTTATAGATATATAGGAATCTAAAGCAAGGCTGAAAGGATTCACATAAAACCTCTCCCAACCCACCACGCTCACCTGCAGCTTCACCAGCCTCTCCACGAGCTCAGCCTTGGCTCTTTCGCTTTCAGCAGCTCGGAGCTGCAGCTCCTGGACCTGGCCCTCGAGCTTCTTGCGCCGCTGCTCCGACTCCACCTTGGCTGCTTGCAGGAGCTTCACCTCCTTTTGCATCTCAGCATTCTCCCCTTCCAGAGCCTGCTTCGTCTTCTCCAAATTAATTTTGAACTGGTAATGACAAAGAGAGATGGAAATAAGAATCCACAATGCCCTCATGATACGGACTGCCTATCTACTTAAGCCTATAAAATATATGATTCATAATGCATGTAACTTGTGAATTCAACTGAAATTCAAGCTGTCTTTGGTAAACCTCCTCAGGATTATCGTGTGGGAATCACTTTGCTCACTTATTTAAGTACTTTTAACCCTGGTTTCCAATCAAAGAAAATCAAAGCACGCTTGCAAAAATTACTAATTTATTAAGTCTCTGAACTCAAGCTGAGAACTGAACAAGCTTAGAACTGAACATTGGAGCTCAAACTACAGGCAGACCCTCCCACAATTTGAACCTTCAGATTTCACTACAGGTTGAGCATCCCATAGCCAGAATTCAAAATCTGAAATATTCCAAAATTGTCCACATGTGTGGATGAGATAGTGCCACCTTTTATTCTGATGGTTTAATGTATACAAATTTTGTTTCATGCACAAAATTATTTTAAAATATTGTGGATAAGATATGCATGGACATAACTGAATTTCTGTTTAGACACAGGTATTATCTCCAAATTATCTCATTATGTATGTATTGGAGATAGCAACCTTCTTCAAGCCTCCACTAGTAATTTGTTTTGTTTAGGATTCTGTTTGCTTACTGTATTGTATACTTTTATGTTTTAGTATGCAGTTTTCTCTTTACTCTATGTTTCTTGAGGTAGTGGGAGGAGCTGCAGACCACATGATCAGATCTGGGACTGCTCAAAGCTCAGACTCTGTTTTAGAACAGAGAGACACCATTAGACTTTGGACTGTTAAGAGCAAACTCGTGTTGCTGTTGATGATAAGAAAGATGCCCTGTGTTATCTGCGTAGAGAAACTACTTCAAATCCCATCTGTAATTGGATTGATAAGTTATGTACTTGTCAAGTTATGTACCTGCTGAATACATGAAGGTTGTGAGTAAACCAAATATGTTACTTTTAACGAAGTCTACTTTATTTTTGTCTCTTGAGAGCATTATATGGAAAGAAGATGTTTTATGGGAGTAGATGTTTTTGGGCACTGAAAAGAACACTTCTGAAGAACTGCTATATTTTATGCATTAGAATAATCTCCGTTCCTAACAGATCAGAGACAACCAGGTTATCAGTCTAACAAGTGAAAAACAAAATTGCCTTGCATAAGTACATGTGGATATATACCACTGAATAGAAGATTTTACTCAAAATAATTCTGGCTCTTCTCTGGAAGATCATATTTTTACAAAAGGGTTATGATTTTGAAATAGTTGTGAATGTCATTTTTCTCCAAAAGGTTATGGAGATTCTGGTTTTCCAAAAGGTTATGATCTCTAGAAGGTCATGCTTTCCAAAAGTATGTACATATATAAAATCCCAAAACCCCCCAAAATCCAAAACATGTCTTGTTCCAAGCATTTCAGATAAGGGAGATTCTACCTATAATGCATCCCTACCCTCCAAAATCCAGCAGTTCCTGTGTATGAATGTATAATGTAATATAATATACTATATATGCATATAATATTTATAATATTGTAATGTAATACAATATAATAATATATTATAATTATATATTTTATATTACTGTAATATTACTAATAATATTACATAATGGTATAGTACAATATAGTAATTTATAATACTGATATTGTACTATGCTAATAATATAATATATTGTATGTATATATATCTTGTAAGCCATTCTGAGTCCCCTTTGGGGTGAGAAGGGCGGCATATAAATGTCGTAAATAAATAAATATGAAGAAGGACAGGTGAATCTCTGTCCAAAGGGAATTGAGGAAGTGGTAACTCAAAACATTTGGACACCCAAGATACCTGGCCTTTCATTTAACCCAAGAGGGCTTTGAGTTGCTAGAAATCTTCCCTCTCCAAGATGCCTCTCCCTCCCCACTTCATCTTGAGTTCCCACAACCATCTGCGCACCCGTCGTGACTGCTCCAGCTGCTCCGACAGCTCCTCTAGGGCACTCGTGTGGCGCTGGCGCATATCCAGCACTTGCGCTTCATGCACCTTGACTTCCTCCTCAATGGTCTTTTTGAGTTCAGTCACTTCCTGCTCCCGTTTTGACCTGTGAGGAGAGGGAAAGGACAAGGCTAGTATTGGAACTAGAGGGCTACGTGAATGGGACCCGGCCAGACAGAGGGCACTCTACCGATACAGATAAACAACAATTAAAATCATAGAGTTGGAAGAGACCCCATGGGCCATCCAGTTCAACCTCTGCCATGTAGGAAAAGCACAATCAAAGCACTCCTGAGAGGTGGCCACCCAGCCTCTGCTTAAAAATGTCCACAGTAGAAGACCACCACACTCCAAGGGTGAATAGCTCTTACCATCAAGAAGTTCTTCCTAATGTTTAGGAGGACTCTATTTCCTGCATTTGAATCCATTGCTTCTCAGGGAGGTTTATTTCTCCAGATTTCATAACCCAAGAAGTGGAAACCATTTGGTTGAGGTCACCACTGAGCACAGCTCTTTACCGTAATTCTTGCTGGGCTGCTGTCGAATCCAGCGTGTCCTCAAGCTCTGTCTTTAAGGCCTCCAGCTCCTCGCCCAGATCGCGCCGCTGCTTCTCAGCCTTGGCCCGCGCCACCTTCTCAGACTCCATGTCCTCCTGCAGTTCAGCCAGTTGGGCCTGCAGCTCCCGCAGAGACTTCAGCACCGCGTTCTTTTGTGCCGCTTCGTCCTCCACTCTGCAAGGTGGACAGAAAGGTCAGAAGAAAGACAGGGCCAGAGGAGGTCGAGCCCAGGAAAAGAGGGGCAAGGGAAGTTAGTGGCACATAGCATCCAGAAGAGGATGGAAGGAGAGCGAAAAATCTTTGGAAGAGGCCATAACAGGCACAGAGGAAATGTTGTGTCCCTTGAATCTCCATTTATTTTTTAAATATTTTTTTATTTTTATTTTAAAGATGCTTTACCCCACTTCCACCCTCCACCCCTCCCCTTGGACATACAATTTACATACAATAAAATACAGAAATTACATTTGAAATATCAGTCTTAATCTCGTTTTTTTCACTCCACATCTTATTACATTCTCTAAATAATTCCTAACTGGATCCCACATACTCTTAATTGTTATAATATTTTCTATTTTGTCTATATTGTTTAATTTGCAATTTGCTATTCCCACATTTAGAATATTCACTACATAATTATACCAATTTGTCAGAGTCCACTTTATTTTATCTTTCCAACCCCTCACTAAAACAATTTGTGCACACATTTTCCTTTTGCACATTAGATACTCCTGCTATCCTTGTATGTAATACATTTCTATTGGCTATTATTATTTAAAGATTTAACATTCTATTAATTTCTCCTTCAATCATTCTCCAGTACGCCTGTTACATTCCCATATCATATAATTAAACACACCTCTTTGTTTACAACCATGACAACACGTGTCCTTTACTCCAGTAAACAACGTGAAAGTTGTGCAGGGGCCCTATACCATTTTTGTGACATTTTCCACCTTGCTTCACTTAGTACATTATATTTTTTTTCCTTTACTATATTACTTATTTCCCTTTGAATGTATTCTCTCTCAATTTCCATATCAATTCTCGTCACCCTATTATTGATTACTACAAATTTAAAACTCTCATGGCTTCTTTCTAGGGAGGGAATGTGGATTGGGGCCTCCAATACCTGCAATTTATTTTTAAGAAGCCACCCATGCAACTGATTCCATGAATACCTTTGTATCTAGTTCACTTCCAGTATATTATCCCCCGGTCTTTATCCAGAGTTTTGATCAATTTATTTTGAGGATAACAATTCTCAGAATCTCGGAGCTGGGAAGTGATTGTGGGGGGTTGTATTACAAAAAAGTAACTTTTCCAATCTATGATTTGAAAGAACTATCATGGCCAACAGTAAAGTTCTGTGTACTTGTAGACCAAAACATCTGGAAGAGCCAAGTCTCCCTATTTTAGAGGCTATAGGGGACTCACTTGAGGCATCACTCCCTTCCTGGAGCCTTCTACAAGCACAGAAATGGACCCCATCCTGCTGCCATGAGGTCCCACGTACCTGGCCAAGGCTGCCTGCAGCTCAGCCTCCTTCCTTGCCAGTGCTTGGCGGAGCTCCTCCAGCTGTTGTTGCAGCTCTGCCACCTGCTCCTGCAGGTCACCCGCCTCCCCATCCAGTTTGCGCTTCAGCTTTTCCAGCTCCTGACGCCCCTTTTCTTCCTTCTTTAGCCGATCTGAAGGGTGGATGGGTGAGGAACAAATAGGAAAGTCAAGCTAAGGAACAGAACACATCCTACACAGCCTTGCGAAGAACACCAAGGACTACATGGAGAACATATGGAGGATACAACCCATAAAGCTGTCCTGTTTGGATCTGACCATTCATCTTTCTAAGTTGTTCTATTCTAGAAGCTGGGCCTTTCTCAGTGATGGCAAACTCTCATCCCTCATTAGCTCAAACCAACTCGGACAATGGTGAGGCATAATGGCAGTAAAGAGGGAGCCCCCGGTGGCACAGTGAGTTAAACCCTTGTGCCGGCAGGACTGAAGACCGACAGGTCGCAGGTTCAAATCTGGGGAGAGCGCGGATGAGCTCCCTCTATCAGCTCCAGCTCCTCATGCGGGGACACGAGAGAAGCCTCCCACAAGGATGATAAACCATCAAAACATCTGGGCGTCCTCTGGGCAACGTCCTTGCAGACGGCCAATTCTCTCACACCAGAAGCGACTTGCAGTTTCTCAAGTCGCTCCTGATATGACAAAATAATAATAATAATAATAATAATAATAATAATAATCTAAAGGACCAATGGTTTCCTGCATGGCCTATGCCAGATGACAACTGTGCTTCAGGATCTCCACCAAGGACACTTGTTTTCTTATTAGAGATCCTCTGAATAGGGAAGAACGTACCTGAAGGCCTTTTTCTATATCATACACATGTCTCATCACTAAGCATGTGATGGCTTGTAGGCAATGTTACTGCCTGGAAAATTCTGGGAGCTGCAAATGCATGAAAAGTAACCTTCCCAAGCCCAAGTTTTGGTTCACCCAGTTGCACCTTCAGCTCATTCTCCATAGCGTGCTGGGAAAATGAGAACAGTTATGGGGGGAGAACAGTGAAGGTCTCCCCAATAGTGAGTTTTTACTAAAAAGTACGAGATTTCTGCCACAAGAGAAAGTGAACTATCAGATATCGAAACTAACAGCAGAAACAGCCCCATTTATCTTAGCGTACCTTCCATGTCAGCCATGACTGCTTCGTATTTATTGCGCAGCTTGGAGAGGCTCTTCACTTTCTCCTCCTCCTCTGCCATGTGAGATGTGAACTCTGAGAGACGTTCCTCCATCAGCTTCCTTTCCTGGTGGAGGCAGGAGACAGAAAGAGAAATGAGGATAGTCAGCACTCTATAGGCACTGGATCCCATCTGATCTTGGAAGCTAAGCAAGATCAACCTTGCTTAGTACTTGAGTGGGAGGCTATCAATAAACAATTGGTGCAGCAGGCTATATTTCAGAGGAAGGAACTGGGAAACACTCTGAGTGTTGGGTTGCTGTGAGTTTTCCGAGCTGTATGGCCATGTTCCAGAAGCATTCTCTCCTGACGTTTCACCCTGATATATTTCAAAAGCTCTGAGGATGCATGCCATAGATGTGGGTGAAATGTCAGGAGAGAATGCTTCGGGAATATGGCCATACAGCCCAGAAAACTCACAGCAACCCAGTGATTCAGATCATGAAAGTCTTCGACAGCCCTCTGAGTATGATGGAGTTCCAATAAATTGACTGGCAATTTGAAGAAACTACACATAGAAGACTGCAGGCAGGAGGGCCCGTCCTTAGTAAGTATAGTCAGCCTTCCACATTTTCTGCATTTAAGGGCACATGAACCTTGTGAAACTGGAAACCATGAGTAAAAAAACTGCTATTTTTTAGATATAAGTAAACAGCTCTCTAGGAATAGCTATATCCTCCAACATGACTCTATGATCAACTTGGGACAGAAACTGACCATATTGTCGCAATGAAGTACCTAGAGGAAAAAAAATCTGCCAGTTCCCTACATCAGATTGCCTGGGATGTACTGGTTTAATGACCATAGTCTTATACATGAACACCCCTTCCAAGCATGCACTCCCCGCTTGGTTCTACGATTCGGAGAGGGTCAGACACAGGCAGGATGTATACTCACTTTGTGCAGCTTCGAGTTTTGGTCTTCAAGCACTAACAGGTCCTCCTCCATTTTTTTTAGCTTGGCTTCCGTGCTCACTTTCTCCAACTGAAGCTTCTGCCGGGCAGCCTCCTCCTCTTCCAATTGCTCTTCAAGATCCTAGAAGAGAAAACAGAAAAAGTCAGAAAGTGTCAAAGATTTCCCAAAGTCTGGTACTTGTAAGTCCAACACATCCAGAGGGTTTGGGAATGTGTCTTACAATGGGGGTGTCAGTCTTATCAGTCCCAAGTCCCTCTACAGCAGGCATGGGCAAACTTCGGCCCTCCAGGTGTTTTGGACTTCAACTCCCACAATTCCTAACAGCCTACCGGCTGTTAGGAATTGTGGGAGTTGAAGTCCAAAACACTTGGAGGGCCGAAGTTTGCCCATGCCTGCTCTACACACCAATGCACATGTCACATTAAAATGATGTACGGATTTGATAAATGTGGATTTAATATGTGTGGATATGAATGAACTGAATGAAAGGAATGAATGAATGAGAGCTAATAATTTTGGAGACAACATGTCTGGAAAACAACTGCCTGCTTGTTGAATTGTAATTAAAAGTTGCCAAACTGTTGACATTGGTAAGAACTGTGACAATGATTAACTGTTGAACTTTTGGGGAAAAACGTGTTTAGATCTGTTTATCAGAGACAAGCAAAGGATCACCGCCTTGTCGGGGTGCTGGAGCTTGAGCACCTCAATGATGTCATGAGCGAAACCGTGAAGGGCCACCCAAGACGGGACGGTTATGGCAGAGAGGTCAGACCAAGCGTGATCCCTGGGGAAGGCAATGGCAAACCACTCCAGTATCCTTGCCAAGAAAACTAAATGGACCAGTACAACCAGAGATATATCGGTATGCCATTGGAAGATGGGACTCCCAGGTCGGAAGATGGCCAAAATGCTACTGGGGAGGAGCAGAGGATAAGTTCAACTAGCCCCAGATGTGATGACGCAGCTAGCTCAAAGCCGAAAGGAAGGCTAGCGGCCGACGGTACTGGAGGTGAACGACGAATCCGATGCTCTAAAGATCAACACACCATAAGAATGTAAGATCTATGAGCCAGGGCAAATTGGATGTTGTTATTGGTGAGATGTCAAGACTAAAGATAGACATTCTGGGGGTCAGCGAACTGAAATGGACTGGAATGGGCTACTTCACATCAGATGACCACCAGATCTACTACTGCGGACAAGAGGAACATCGAAGAAATGGAGTAGCCTTCATAATTAATAAGAAATTCGCTAAAGCGGTGCTTGGATACAACCCAAAAAATGACAGAATGATCTCAATTCGAGTGCAAGGAAAGCTTTTCACATTACAGTGATCCAAATATACCCCCCAACCACAGCTGCTGAAGAAGCAGAAGTAGATCAGTTCTATGAGGATCTGCAGGAACACACATATATACACCAAAAAGAAACATTATTTTCATTACAGGAGACTGGAATGCTAAAGTGGGTAGTCAAATGATAACTGGGATCACAGGCAAGCATGGTTTGGGATAAGTGGGACGCAGGCTGATAGAATTTTGCCAGGAAAACTCGCTGTGTATAACGAATACTCTCTTCCAACAACCTAAAAGACAGCTTTATACATGGACTTCACCAGACGGTCAACACCAAAATCAAATTGAATACATCCTTTGCAATCAAAGGTAACAGACATCCATCCAGTCGGTGAAAACAAGACCTGGGGCTGACTGTAGTTCAGATCACGAACTTCTTATTGCTCCATTTAGAATAAAACTAGAGATCAGGGAAAAACATAGACCAGTTAGATATGATATCGCTAACATTCCTAGCGAATATAAAGTGGAAGTGAAGAACAGATTTGAAGGACTAGATTTAGTAAACAGAGTCCCAGAAGAACTATGGACAGAAGTCCGCGACATTGTTCAGGAGGCGGCAACAAAGTACGTCCCAAAGAAAAAGAAAACCAAGAAGGCAAAATGGTCGTCTGCTGAGACACTGGAAGTAGCCCAAGAAAGGAGGAAAGCAAAAGGAAACAGGGATAAGGGGAGATATGCCCAGTTAAATGCGCAATTCCAGAGGTTAGCCAGAAGAGATAAGGAACTATTTTTAAATAAGCAATGCATGGAAGTGGAAGAAGACAACAGAATAGGAAGGACAAGAGACCTCTTCCAGAAAATTAGAAACATTGGAGGTAAATTTCAGGCAAAAATTGGTATGATAAGAAACAAAGATGGCAGGGACCTAACAGAAGCTGAAGAGATCAAGAGAAGGTGGCGAGACTATACAGAAGATCTGTATAGGAAGGATAATAATATTGAGGATAGTTTTGACGGTGTGGGGAATGAATTAGAACCAGACATCCTGAGGAGTGAGGTTGAATGGGCCTTAAGAAGCATTGCTAACAACAAGGCAGCAGGAGACGACGGGATCCCAGCTGAACTGTTTAAAATCTTAAAAGATGATGCTGTCAAGGTGATGCATGCCATTTGCCAGCAAATATGGAAAACACAAGAATGGCCATCAGACTGGAAAAAATCAACTTATATCCCCATACCAAAAAAGGGAAATGCGAAAGACTGCTCCAACTTCCGTACAGTGGCCCTTATTTCTCATGCCAATAAGGTAATGCTCAAGATCCTGCAAGGAAGACTCCAGCAATACATGGAGCGAGAGTTGCCAGATGTTCAAGCTGGGTTTAGAAAAGGCAGAGGAACGAGAGACCAGATTGCCAATATCCGCTGGATAATGGAGAAAGGCAGGGAGTTTCAGAAAAACATCTACTTCTGCTTCATTGACTATTCTAAAGCTTTTGACTGTGTGGATCATAATAAATTGTGGCAAGTTCTTAGTGGGATGTCTCTCTCCTAAGGAATCTGTACAAGGACCAAGTAGCAACAGTAAGAATTGACCATCGAACAACAGACTGGTTCAAGATTGGGAAAGGCGTACGGCAAGGCTGCATACTCTCACCCAACCTTTTTAACTTGTATGCAGAACACATCATGCGATGTGCGGGGCTGGATGAATGCAAAGCTGGGGTGAAAATTGCTGGAAGAAACATTAACAACCTCAGATATGCAGATGACACCACTCTGATGGCCGAAAGCGAGGAGGAGCTGAGGAGCCTTCTAATCAAGGTGAAAGAAGAAAGCGCAAAAGCCGGGCTGCAGCTAAACGTCAAAAAAACCAAGATTATGGCAACAAGAATGATTGACAACTGGAAAATAGAGGGAGAAACCGTGGAGGCCGTGACAGACTTTGTATTTCTAGGTGCAAAGATTACTGCAGATGCAGACTGTAGCCAGGAAATCAGAAGACGCTTACTTCTTGGGAGGAGAGCAATGTCCAATCTCTATAAAATAGTTAAGAGTAGAGACATCACACTGGCAACAAAGATCCGCCTAGTCAAAGCCATGGTATTCCCTGTAGTAACCTACGGATGTGAGAGCTGGACCTTAGGGAAGGCTGAGCGAAGGAAGATCGATGCTTTCGAGCTGTGGTGTTGGAGGAAAGTGCTGAGAGTGCCTTGGACTGCGAGAAGATCCAACCAGTCCATCCTCCAGGAAATAAAGCCCGACTGCTCACTGGAGGGAAAGATACTAGAGACAAAGTTGAAATACTTTGGCCACATCATGAGGAGACAGGAAAGCCTAGAGAAGACAATTATGCTGGGGAAAGTGGAAGGCAAAAGGAAGAGGGGCCGACCAAGGGCAAGATGGATGGATGGCATCCTTGAAGTGACTGGACTGACCTTGAGGGAGCTGGGGGTGGTAACGGCCGACAGGGAGCTCTGGCATGGGCTGGTCCATGAGGTCACGAAGAGTCGGAGACGACTGAACGAATGAACAACAACCAAGTCCATTCAATATTGTAAGTCTTACATATTAAGTTTCGCTCAGGGTCAACCTAAGTCTGAAATGACTTAAAAGCACACAACAACAACAACAACAACAACAACAATCCTATCTCATCAGCCAAAAGCAGGCCCACTTCCCATTGAAATACTAATGTTTATATTTAAAAAATTCTTCATTTTAATTATTGTATTGTTTTTAAGTGTTTTTTGCACTACAAATAAGATATGTGCAGTGTGCATAGGAATTCATTCATGTTTTTTTTTTCAAATTATAATCCGGCCCTCCAACAGTTTGATGGACTATGACTTTGCCCTCTGCTTAAAAAGTTTGAGGACCCCTGATTTACAAGATTTTTATGTTAATAAGGAAGTCAACACAAGCCTTGTGTTTACCAACACCAATTAGGAAGACTCATCTGCCAGGAAACTGGGAAGCCAAATGTTCAAGGCTGGAAAAACATCTATCATTCATTTATAGCTTTTTGGAACAGCACAGCAGAATATTCCTATAAAAGACTCAATCTAATAATATTCAAGTGTGGCAGACCAGAGGAGTCTGGCCAACTCGCTGCTCTTCTCCTTGGGATGAAGTAAGATTGTGTATTTGGAGAGTGTCAGATCTATATGTCTGTATATCCAAAGTCGTTCTTTGTGTAAAAATGTTGCTCTGTAAAAGTTCTGATATACTCTCACACACTGAAAATTGCAATAAAAGAACCTTTGTTTATGAAATATTCATGACACACACCCATGTTACCTTCAATAAACTCTCAAACTTACATAGACACGCAAAGCTCTCTCTTCGCCAAGGACATGAATGGGGTCTTCATATCTTCTCACTCCCTCCCATCCCTCCAGCTCTCCCACCCCAGCTTTGTACCTGGACATGCTGCTGCATCTTCTTCTTGTCCCCCTGCAGCTGCTGGCATCGCTCCTCCTCCTCCTCTACCCGAGACTCCAGTTCGTGCAAGATGTCCTCCAGTTCTTGCTTCCGGGCCGCCAGCCGTGCCCGCATCTCCTCGGCTTCCGCAAACAGCTCCGTCTCTGCCTGTAGCTGCTCAGCCAGGATGGTCTTCTCTTCCGAAAGCTGCCAGGGAAGAGGGGTCGACATGAGTATTGGAATCTAACAAGTTTTCCCCCTTGCATTGTCCTATCTACTCTGATAGGCCACAGGACTCAAAGACTAATATATTCTATATGTTAATTTAATTTATATCTCTCCTTTTTTTCTTATATGGGATCTTATGCTAAAACAAGACAGAACTAAAAACCTTTGTGGTAGTGAGGGGAGCAGTTCAATATACGGTAACGTTATTTAGTAATTACTGTATTTACGAATTTAGCACATTGCAATGTGTTGAAACAGCTGTTTATCCGAGCGGGAAGCAGACTGCGTTGGATAATACAGAATATTGGATGGGTGAAGGCTGGATAACCAAGACTCTACTGTAGCAAATGTCAACAGTTTCAACTGGAAATAAAGAAGAACCACATGCAGAAGTTGGGACATTAAGAAGTTAGAAGCAGATAGTATTAAAGAACAAAATTACTCTTTGGGTCCTGCTAGCTGGGAGACCATGGGAGCTGTAGTCCAAAAATTGCCTTTTCTGCCTCCATTCTGTCTACTCACCTGCTGATATTTGTTCTCCAGTTCCTTGAGGTCCAGTTGGGTTTTTGTGTGTTTTTCTTGCACCTTTTGCAGCTCAACAGCCTTTGCCTGCATCACCTCATCCTGGCGTGTCACCTGTAGTAGGGGCTTTACCTGAGGAAGGAGAAGAAAAGAGGGTGTTAGAAGATAGACACTAAGGCCCCTTCTACACTGCCAGATAAACCACGTTATCAAAGCAGAAAATCTAGGTTATTTGATTTGAACTGGGTTATCTTAGTCTACACTGCCATATAATCCAGTTCAAAGCAGAGAATGTGGATTTTATACAGCTGTGTGGTTGGTTTAGATCAATAATAAAAAGGAACAGAATTGAGCAGCACAACACAGGCTTTTGCTTTCTGGGCCTCCAGAGTTGCTCTGTGCTCTTTGACAATATTTCAGCACGACAAGTGGGAGCAACTAGGCTTGGGAAAATTATGTGCCACACTACAACTGCCATAACAGTGGCCATACTGACTGGCAAGTTCTAGGAGTTTATGATATCAAAAAGAAAATAAAAAAATAAAAGAAGAAGACATTTCCAAGAGTAGGGTTGAGGGAAGGGGAGGCCAAAGTCCTCTTCCAAGCAATATACTACAGCAGGCCTGGGCAAACTTCAGCCCTTCAGGTGTTTTGGACTTCAATTCCCACAATTCCTGACAGCCTACCAGCTGAAAGATCTCGGTCACAGTACACCTGTTTGGACTCACCTTGGTGAAGAGACGCCACCACTGCCAGTGGCGCAACTTGAGGTAGGCAGCACAGTTGCGTTGCATGACTTTGAGGGCACTCATCTGCTGCTGCTTTTTCATGAAAGCCCTGAGAGGGAGAAAGAAAGAAAAACCCACTAAATTAGTGCCATACAGGTACCTGTAGTTAGGAAACTTAGTTATAGTTTCAAGTACATTCTGTGATGATGAAGCTGCATCCCATTTTCCTGTGCAAAATGTATCAGCGGAAGAGTGTTGTTGTTCATTCGTTCAGCGGAAGAGTATTTCAATGAATTTGTCTCTGGGCAACATTAAATAGGTGGCAAACAGACACCAGAGAATAGCCATGTAAAGCAGTGGGCATGGCGCTAGCCATAGAGACAGGTGGAGAGACATCTTCCAGCCCAGCATCCCTCAATGTAGTGGTACCAATACTTCTGTTAAAAGACGTAAAGCCCAGGAACACATCTCCTTCATTAACTGAAGTATACCTCTATAAACAAATGGCATAACACAATCAAGCATTGATTTAAAAATACATCCCACAGCCTGAACAGATGTTATTTTCTGGAGTGTGGGGTCGTGCTCCGAGTTTGTGCCATGATATATATACAAGTACAGCAGTATCTTAGAAAGGATTCCTTTCCTTTTGTCTTCTTAGCTGAAAACATATTGTCTATCTTGATGGTATTATACAACTTGCTCATATTTACATTTCTCTTTTGAGAGAATTGGGAGTGCTGGGCCAAAAATCCTTTTTGTTTGATACAAAAGTTGAGCATTTAGTGGAAGCGTACTGGGCCCATAACCCTTTTTGGAGGGAAAACTACCCTAAAATATAGCAGAGCACCCAAAAACAAACAGGATACGAAAGTTGAGCATTCAGCTCATTCGCGAGCAGAGCATGAAGTGCTGTGTGATGTGGCTGTAACAAAGTTAGAGCTTTGTAGGCAAACATGCAGAGTCCTATTTTAAAAATCACAAAAGGTTTATTTACAATAATAAAGAACTGGATTTCTTAATAGTTAAAGAACTGGGTCTGAGCTACTCTCATAATCATCTCTTCTAAGGTTTCAAAGAGAGGGGAAAAAACCAATCACTACATCTCTCCTGACACACAATTAGAAAGAGATCTCAAAGCACACAGCACATACTCCCCATACTGAAGCGCAAGAAGGCAGATTCAAAAAGAGTGGCAGTAGAAAAGCGTCTATTTTAAACAACCTATCGGACTGAGAGCAGAAACAGAGAGAAGAAATTAGATACATTCCCAATTGTCATTCAGGAGACATGGGGAAGGGAAGTCTATTCTAAACTAACTAACTGCTCCTCGTTGAGGACTAGAGACTTGTGCAGTGTGGAGTTGAATTCCAACAGCTTCTTTATTATTTTATATTATTCTCTTGCTTTTATACTACTCTCTTGGCTTCTTTAGTTGTCATTCAACAACATCTTGAAGGCTCCAAGATTCCTAGTCCTGTTTTAAACTGTGTGCTGGCAATTCAATTCACCCCCATCCAGAGTTCAGCACTTACTTGCGGGCCAAGTATCCGCGGGCAGCTGCCTGGAAAGACACTATGATATCTGTAATCTTCAGGTCCCGTTCTTCCTCCAGGTGAGCCAAAACGCCGGCCCGGAAGAAGATCTTGCTCTGGCCAATGCGGAAGAGATTAGGATCCAGCTCCAAGGCCTTGATCTGTGAGGACAACATAAAAATGCAAGAAAAGAAGAGAGCGTTGGTCACTAGCTTTCTTCAGCTTTCTGAGAATAGTCTCGTCTGGGCCATACTGCCATCTTCCACCATCCCTAAGAATGACACACACATACCATTCGTTCGCAGGCCTGTTTCCCATCCATGAAGCCTTTGGGAATGGCATTTGGTGTCAGGATTTCATATCTGCCAAGAAAATATCAAGAAATCAAAAAGTTATTATTATTGCACCAACTTGCTGATATGTGAGAAGATATGTGGATATTGCACTAACTTGCTGATATGTGAAAAGAATCAGTTAGAAGGAACAAGGAGCATTTCTTGGAATGCATCTGACTCCAGAGAATGGAGAAGTATAGCCAGGTCCCCCAAATGCGCATTATCATCATTCCCTAAAAAGGTCAAGCCCATCCCATCCATTGAATACCTCTGCCGAAATTCCTGAAAGATGATGCGGTTGGGGAACCCTTGGCGGCAAATGCGGATTCCTTCCAGGACTCCATTGCAGCGCAGTTGGTCCAATACAAGGTGCGGTTCCAGTTTTCCAGCCTGTTACAGAAGCCAGGAGAAACAAAGCCTATTAATGGACACTTTAGAACAAGTTATCCTACTTGTTCTCGAGACTGGGGGTAGGTGATCTCAGTCAGAAATATTAAAAATTAACTAGATATTTTTAATTACAAAAATGTGAGTCAAGCACTGAAAGGGTTAAATGGATGCAATGACTCAGCAAAAGCTGCAGTTCAATATAAGTAGGTAACTATAGCTTAGAACACCTCACTGTTAGTTGCCCTCAGTATGAAAATGCTTTAGTCTGAGAGAGGCCTCAGTGTGAGGTAAACCTCTGTGTTAGTAGGCCTCAGTGTGAGGTAGGCCTCAGAGTTAGTAGGCCTCAGTATGTGAAATAACTGATGTGAGAAGACCTGGTGTGAGAAGGCTTCAATGAGAGAAGCCCCAGGTTGAAGGCCTCGGTGTGAAGCTCCAGTGTGAAGGCTGTTATGTAAAGGCTACTGTGTGAAGCTTCTGTCTAAGTTCAGTGTGAGAGGAAGCTCAGTGAGAGAGAAGCTCTTTATGTGCCTGAGAAAGAAGCCCAGCGCAGAAGCAAAGAAGGAAGTAGGTTATGGAAACCTTGTTCTTGTAAAGCGTTATACCATATTATTTTGCTATTTAAAAAGCCTCCTAAGGAAAAGATAGAATCATAGAATCATAGAATCATACAATCAAAGAGTTGGAAGAGACCTCATGGGCCATCCAGTCCAACCCCCTGCCAAGAAGCAGGAATATTGCATTCAAATCACCCCTGACAGATGGCCATCCAGCCTCTGTTTAAATACTTAGATACTTGTGTGTGTTTTTGTTCTTTTTATCACTTTTGGCTACTGGTGTTGGGTCACGCTCCTGCTAATAAGTTCTCTGCTGTAAATTTATGAGGAGGGTATTTTGTTAATAAGCCCACTCCCCCAACAAGATTTGTCCCATCTTGTCCCTGAAGGTCCCAAAGCACTCATCAAATGAATCACTCACTCTTTTCTCATGATTGGGTATGATACAGCGCACAAAATTGGGGTTGGTGTTGCGCAGCGTTGACATGAGTTTCGACAGGGACTCCTTATACAGCTGCCCCACAGTCCGGAACATTCCCTTCTTGGTCTTGTACGAGGCACCAAAGGCCAAGTCGCCCATCCCGCTCACTTGGTCCAGGCCGACAATCCGATCCACTAGAGAGCAGGAAAAAGGCTTTGTAAACAAATAAACAATCTTCACAACTGCGAGGACAAGTGTCCTTTCTCCATCCCCAACCCCAGAATAAACTCTGGGACTCCTTTCTCCCACTTCCAATGCAACCACCCCATATTCCGCTAATCTAAGGAGCCTGAGGCTGTTAGGCATGGTGGGTGTTGAAGTCCAAAACATTTGGAGGGCCAAAGTTTGTCCATGCCTGGTTTAGCCCCTGATCATTCCTTCCCATTCTTAATCTCTAGAATTCAACCACAGGCAGAAAGCAGGTGAAAGCAAGGTTACATATATACTAAGAAGCTGCGTTTATCTAGCACCAAGTAGCTGATTTGCTTAAATTGTCAGAGGGCTTTCAAAAGCAGAAGCATCATAGACCTTGAGGTTGCCATTAGCTCAGAGGCCTTGAGAGGCAAAAGAGCATAGGACTGGAAAGCTGGGTACGAAGAAGACAAGAGTGAAGGTTGAAAACTGTCTTTAGGGGTTTAGTCTTAAAGCTTTCGAGAAGCATTTAAGCCCCATTCCTTAAAACATACTGACTGGGAAGCAAGCCTTAATCGAAACATGAGATGCACTTCAGAAGACATGTGCACAGGATCATATTGTTAGATGGAACATTATTTTAAATAAGTAAGGCATTGCTCCATGGTTGACTTGATTTTCTAAAAAAAATACAAACGGCCCCAAATCTGGGTTGTTGTAGGTTTTTTCGGGCTATATGGTCATGTTCTAGAGGCATTCTCTCCTGACGTTTCGCCTCAGATGCTTGCCATAGATGCAGGCAAAACGTCAGGAGAGAATGCCTCTAGAACATGGCCATATAGCCCAAAAAAACCTACAACAACCCATGAAAGCCTTCAACAATACATTGAACAATACATTGAACGGCCCCAAATCTCCCACAGTGATTCTCTCCACCAAAATAATAATAATAATATCTGAAGTAGCTGATAGAACTCCATATCTATGGGGGATAGGATCCCAGACAGACCTCTTGTTACATGCAATTACAGATACAACTGAATGCCATTAAATTGCCATACTTCTGGTCTCACAATACTATAGAGTTAAATAGGAGGACCCAGAGATTTCTAGCAAGGGGTCCTTTCTAGGAACTTGGTAAGTCCTCTAACACAACTGAACTGTAAATTCCAGAATTACTGTCCAGCAAATTTCTAGAGAATAAAACCACAGAAATTGGTTGGTGGTTCGAATCTGGGGAACAGGGTGAGCTCCCGCTGTTAGCCCCAGCTTCTGCCAACCTAGCAGTTCGAAAACATGCAAATGTGAGTAGATCAATAGGTACCACTTCTACGGGAAGGTAACAGCACTCCATGCAGGCATGCTGGCTTCATGACCTTGGAGGTGTCTACGAACAACTCTGGCTCTTTGGCTTAGAAATGGGGATGTGCACAACCCCCCAGAGTTAGATACAACTAGACTTAATGTCAACCTTACTATTGTACTCATTATGCTACAGTATTTTTAATGCCACTATTAGTTATTATGCCACTTTCAAAAATTAATACAGCTATCTCTAAAAATGAACATACTAAAGGTGATGCCCTTATTTGCAACATCTGCTCAGAAAATACAGGTATACTCCCCCCTTTTGTCAATCTCCTATACATAAATACACACTTCTCTCATTCCATATGGGCAAAGTGTATTTCCGTGTATGGGCGAAACGTACTTTCTACTGGACCCTGAGGTGCCACGGCATAGCTGTCAAAGAAATAGACCTTCTGTATATTCTGGATCTCTGGAGACAGGACAGGAGGAGAGAGGCAGGGACCGAGGGGGGAAAGTGAGGTTTCACAAAGCCATCCATTATGGGACAGAAGATACAGGTCAAGGAGAGAAAACAGAAAGAGCAAACAGCAAAGTGGTTAGTACCAATAGCGACAGAGAAGTTTCAAGCAATACTCCAAAGTTATGAAAAGAAGCATTAAGATCTACAAGCCACGCTGTTATCAATCAACAACTGTTATTCCAATCTATAAGCTCAAAGGAAGGCAAAAGCGTCTCTCTCACCAGTCTTTGTAAACACCCTACCATCTTTCCAAAGTTCTGCTGTGAACTTGTCGGCACTCTGGTGGAGGAGGGTAGCCACATTGTCATTGAGAGGGTCCATGTTCTTCATGAGCCACTCATCCGCTTTGTAATCCACCTTTCAAAGAAAAAAAAAAGGTGGGAAGAAGAGGAAGATGAAAAAGGGATCTGAACATCAAGGAATACGATGAAATGCAGCCTTGTACAGAGCTAGGGAAGGTTATTCTTTGGGCCTGAGGAGAACTCCAGAATTCCCAGTTAGCACAGACACTGTTAAAATCAGATATGGTTGTATCATATAGGATAGTGATTTGAGCATTGGACACCAACTCTGGAGAATAGGATTTGAATCCTTGCTTGGTCAAATAAACCCACTAAGTGACCTTCGGCAAGTCATGCTCTCATTGCCTCAGAAAGCTCCATGATAGGTTTGACTTAAGGTTTGTTCTCAACCTGTGGCTCCCCAGGTATTTGGGCCCAGAAATCCCAGCCAGTTTACCATCTGTTAGAGTTTCTGGGAGTTGAAGGCCAAAACATTTGGGGACCCACAGATTAAGAACCACTGCCATAAGATCACCATAAGTCGGGAACAACTTCAAATCGCATCCTGTTGAGAATTTTGGGAGAAGCAGCAGCAACAACAACAACAACATAACTTTTCCATCCAATATGTGGAAAAGTCAATCATTAGAAACATCATTTTCCCAAGTCCCTGTTGAGTGGACGGGACAGCTAATTATTATTAATAATAGTAATACTACTACTACTACTACTAATAATAATAATATGTTTATTTATACCCGTCTTTATCTCTCCTGAGGGAGACTGAAAGCAGCTTACATTAAAAGTATGACCACATACTGTATATACTCGAGTATAAGCCTAGTTTTTCAACCCTTGTTTGAGGCTGAAAAAGCCCACTTCGGCTTATACTCGAGTCAATGTGATTTATTATTTTGCTTTGTCATTACTGTTATTTTTACTACATTTATTATTTTACTCTATTTATGATTATTATGATTATTATTTTACTTTATTGTTATTATTACATTTATTATTTTATTTTATAATTGTTATCATTACATTTATTATTATCATTACATTTATTACTGTACTCTATTTATGATTGCTATTATTACATCTATTATTTCACTCTATTATTATTATTACATTTACTATTTTACTGTCTTTATTATTATTGGAAGGATACATACGTAAGCACATTTACATTGAAGAGGGTTAGGGCAGTCTTATCTTAAATTACAATTTTATATAAATATTCAAAACCATTTAATCTACTGATGCCTCAATTAATGTAATGTTATTGGTATCTATTTTCATTTTGAAATGTGCCAGTAGCTGCTGAATTTCTCACTCTCGGCTTATACTCGAGTCAATCCGTTTTCCCAGTTTTTTGTGGTAAAATTAAGTTGTTCGGCTTATATTCGGGTCGGCTTATACTCGAGTATTTACAGTAATTTAAAATATACAAATATGCAAAGATTAAAACAAAATTAAACATAACAGTATTAAAATTCACAGTTAAAATCCATTAAAACATATTCAAAGCTAAAAACCACAGCGGCTAAGGCAGCTCTATGGTTCTTAGGGCTTAGTCCCCCCGACCTTGGAACTCACTACCTGGAGAAATTAGGAAAGCCCCTCTCCTAGAAACCTTTAAAAAGGACCTTAAAACCTGGCTCTTCCGCTGAGCCTTTGGAGAGTGGGTATACAATCCCACACTACTGCTTAGCCTCAACGTTCTGTCATTGGAGTATATGTCGTCGTCCCCCCTCTGGGGGAAAGCTTGATTCCACAACCCCCACTATAATGAGCCCTCCTCTGCAAATAATCTGTCTCTTTTTTATCTTGCCCAAGTTTTAATTAGTTTTAATTAGTCTCTCTCAATGTAGCCCACCCATTGTCATTGTGACTGCGTCTATTGTAATTTTATATTGTTATGTATTTACATGTTTTATTTTATTATGATGTTGTTGTTTACTGTTTGTGCTTTCGGTTGTGTTTTGGTTTTATTTTATTGTAATTTGTTGTTTGGGTTTGGCCTCATGTAAGCCGCTCTGAGTCCCCACTGGGGAGATGGTGGCGGGGTATAAATAAAGTTTATTATTATTATTATTATTATTATTATTATTATTATTATTATTATTATATTATTATTATATTATTATACAGGAAAATCTTTTATCATTCCTTCTATCTAGTCTCCATTTGAATACTGTCTTAGCTGATAGAACCCCAGTTTCTCAACCTTAGTTTTCCAAATGCTATTGGACTATGACTTCCATAATTCTTGGCCACCAGGCATGTTTTCTGAGGAAGACAGAAGTCACAGCCCAAAGTTTGATGTCAACATTCTAGATATTTGTATTATTTTGGCTGCTGAAAGACCTAGAATGAAATGCTGATGCTTTTCTGCTTAGTAACAGGAGGCACAGGTGATAGTGGAGCACAGATAGAGCCAGGAAAAGGTCTTAAAGAGCCTAACAATGGGTGCAACTTACCTTGCCAGCATAATGAATGATGCAGAAGTCAGCTTTGTCCCTCAGCTGCCGGGGCTTCTGGAATTTGGGGTGAGTTCCCTGCTCCTGACTGATTTTCTCTACAAAGCTCTTGTCAGTGGCTTTGGGGAACCAGCATTCCTCATCTAGCAACGCCAGCACTCCTGGGGGATTGGCCTGGGAATCAACAAGTCAGAACACTTCACAAGGATGTCTGGTGGCTTTCAAGTAGAATCCAAAAAGGCACTGTTTGGAAGAATCAGTGTTGTGGAAAGACTGGGTCCATGGAAAGCCGAGCCCGTAGTCCTGTTTTGGGCAATCATCAGGAGCTAGAATATCCCATTAGCTTCCCAGTAGACCCAAGAGGGCTGCTCCCCAAGGAAGCTTGGCTACTGGTGTTACAGGGAAAAAATGGAGAAAAGGCTTCTCCAGGACCCAAAGCAGAGGAGAGCTGAAACGTCTGCATAATATGAGACGCTTCAGGTTGCCACGAGGAGAAGCTTTGCTGATTGGTTCTTAAAAGGGCACACATTAAACTCTTCTTTGCATGTTAGGGAGAGAGATTCTTACCCAGCTTGCTTGTATTGTGTTCAACTTGCAAGATTAAAAACAAATCAGGCCAGAAATGCAATTTCCTGGCCTGAGGTCTGAAATAATACATTCCATTCTACTATCTTACTGTGTTTTTGTGTGGATCAGGGTAAAATGTTAGAGATTATGGCATTCTTAAACCTGATTGGGTTTCTGGATTCTAGTACTGTGGGTGGAGTTGGGTGGAATCTCTCAGGACCTTACGAGAGAAAACAGTTTTCCCCATGAGCAAAAAAGACAGCTTCATTGGTCTTTCCTCTATTAATTAAGGTGCCCCATATCTCCCTCCTTCGAGCCCCAAATTGCTTACAGGTCTTTCAATGAGGTCAATGCAGGGCTGGAGGTCCAGGCCAAAGTCAATAAAGTTCCATTCGATGCCTTCTCGTTGGTACTCTTCTTGCTCCAGTACAAACATGGTGTGGTTGAAAAGCTGCTGGAGCTTCTCGTTGGTGTAGTTGATACAGAGCTGTTCAAAGGAATTCAGCTGTAGGGAGGGAGAGGAGAAGAGAGGAATGAATGCTATGCTAGAGATTAAAACCTTGCAAGGGGAATGTGCCTCACTGAATCCTCTCCAATACAAATGTCTTTATGTGTCCCAATCAATCAGATTCTTAACAAAAAGAAACCCAAAACAGATAGCCTAACAGAACAAAACTTTCTCTGTAATGGCCCCAGAACTAATGAATATCTTTAAAGCTTCTTTCTCTTTGGACAGCAGTGAGAATTTGGCTGTTGAGTAATAATTATATATTGTTCACAAGAGGTTGCAACATATTTGTTATAATACATATGAATTAGTATTGTCAAAGGCGTTCATGGCCAGAATCACTGAGTTTTTGTAGGTTTTTTTGGGCTATATGGCCATGTTTTGGAGGCATTCTCTCCTGACGTTTCGCTTTCATCTATGGCAAGCATCCTCACTACCTCTGAGGATGCTTGCCATAGATGCAGGCGAAACATCAGGAGCGAATGCCTCTAGAACATGGCCATATAGCCCAAAAAAACCTACAACAGTCCATATGAATTTGCTTTATTTTCAGTATCTATCATAATATCCTGTTTCCTCGAAAATAAGACATCCCTTGAAAATAAGACCTAGTAGAGGTCTTGCTGAATTGATAAATATAAGGCCTCCCCTGAAAGGAAGATGAGCTCCCCCTGGTGGCCAGAAGCTGCAATACTGTCCCTGATGTGAAAGTGGTCCAGGAACTGCTATGAGAGATCATTATTGTCTCCAGACTGTGTGTGGGAAACCAGGTTCTTTACAGCTCTTATTATTTATGGCCCTGTGTGTGAGTCAGGCAACCAGTTGTTCAATAAATGTTCATTTTGTTTTGTTCAACAACAAATGTGAATTCTTCTTCATGGAAAAATAAGACATCCTCTGAAAATAAGACCTAGTACATCTTTGGGAGTAAAAATTAATATAAGACACTGTTTTATTTTCAGGAAAACAGGTAACACCTACATCAACACCTTCCTCCTACAGTCTTCTGTAGAAAGCAATGAAATCTCTATGCCTGGTTAAGACTAAGATGTTTTGTAGCACCGGGAAAAAAATTCAACATGAAAGTGATTCAAATTGAATGCAATTGCCCTGCTTCTTGGCAGGGGGTTGGACTGGATGACCCACGAGGTCTCTTCCAACTCTATGATTCTATGAACAAAACCTTCCACTCAAAGCTTAACTCTAAGGCTTTACTCTCTAATCTGGTATTCTATGGGATCAATCTGGTTGTCCTTCCAAACAGTAAATGCCATCAAAGTTGAAAGGGGCCACAAATATTGTCAATTATTTTCTTCCAGACCTGCAATCTGCTTGTAAGGGCAAACTAAATGCCTCTGGGAAGAATGCAAGCAGGACTTGAGTATCATGAAAAACTGGACCTCATAGTGAAGTGGAGAAAGAATCCCACAGTTCAGATTCTAACACAGATATAAAAAGCACTTTACACTTTTAGGTCTGCTTGTATGTTTTCCACAAATGCCCCATCACTTTTTCGCTCATGTTCCAGCATTACTTTTAATTTTAATTTTACATTTGGCCTTCCCATAGTTTTTAATCGTGTGGTCTTATTGTTAATGTTGCATTATTGTATTGTCCATGTTTTATTTTTAATTGCTTGTATTGTTGTTATTACTGTTTGTATTGTTGTATTTGGGCTTGGCCTCATGTAAGCCGCACCGAGATGGTAGCAGGGTACAAATAAAATGTTATTATTATTTTATTATTATTATTATAAAACAAGCTGTATTTCCAGTAGCAATGTTGCATCACTGACAGGAGACAGGAAAAAGCAGCATGTCAAAGAAAGTTGCACTTGTTGAATTTCAGCCTTTTGTGCATGCACTGAACACACAGAACCTCTGTTAGGAAGAATAAGAGGAATGGCTTTGCTTTTCAGAGGAACAACATGCTCAATCATTGACTGGACAAGATGAAAGAAACAGGGGAAAGGATAAACTGATGGACAGAAGGGAGAGTGTAAAGCTATACTGATGGCATCCATGTTAACAAAAACATAGGCAGGTTTGAATGCATGAAATGGCAAGCGATTAGTTAGCCTGTAGATCTTTCCTCACCTGAAAGATTTCAAAACCTGCAATGTCCAGAATGCCGATGAAGGAAGCTCCTTGGCGCTTAGTACGGTCCAGTGCCCTGTTGATCCGATGCACCAGCCAGCGGAAGAGTCGCTCATATGTGGCCTTGGCCAATGCTTCAACTGCAAAGTCAGCCTAAGAAGGAATGAACGAGACATGAATTGAGCTGGACTCAGTTTGTCTCGCTCCATCAAGCCTCCAATATGTTTGCCCTTCCGGCATCAGGTACTTCTCATGCCCCCAACATCTCAGTCACTATTATTATTAGCACCCACCTGCTCCTTTGTCTGTGCCTTCTGTACATAGTCCCGGCCAACTTTTATGCGTGGGGTAAGGATGGCACGTGTAAACTCAGTGACATTCATGCCCAGGAGGTGACAGAGTTTTTGAGCAGCTGAAAAAGAAACAGAAGGACCCAACAAAAGTTCTTGGTTAGTCCATCCCTCAATTAGTAACTCCCTCTTTCCCTATGCTATTTAAGAATTTAAGAAAAACTGAAGACCCATCTCTTCTGGTAGCAACCACCAGATTAATTTTAACTTCTGAATTTTAACCTGCACTTTATTGCTGAATAGGTAAAGGTAAAGGTTTTCCTCTGACATTAAGTCCAGTTGTGTCCGCTTCTGGGGGTTGGTGCTCATGTCCATTTCTAAGCTGAAGAGCCGGCGTTGCCCGTAGACACCTCTAAGGTCATGTGGCCAGCATGACTACTGCATGGAGTGCCGTTACCTTCCCACCGGAGCAGTACCTATTGATCAACTCACATTTGCATGTTTTCAAACTGCTAGGTTGGCAGAAGCTGCAGCTAACAGCGGGAGCACACCCCGCTCCCCAGATTTGAACCGGCAACCTTTCGGTCAGCAAATTCAGCAGCTCAGTGGTTTAACCCACTGTGCCACTGGGGGCTCAATGGTCATTGCTGTATATTAACCTCCATATTACCTGTGTGCGTCTTATTATACATATTTGCATAGTTTTGTGTTTATCTCCCTCTTTTAACCATGTTGTACCCTGCCTCGAGCCGAAAGGAGGGTAATAAAATTATGGTTACGATTATTATACCCTTCCAGGTAAAGTTTACATGGTGCGAGTTCCAAACACTGCACTAGTTGCTTATCGCTCAAATAGGAGGCTGGGATTTCTCAGTTCAAGAAGTGAGCAAACACTTTGTCAAACCGCCATATCAGAGACAAGAGAAGCTGCCACTTTAATCTGATACATCAGAATTCAAGACCTTCCGTTCTTGATTTGATAATTCTCTACACTTCATAACCCTTCTACTGGAGCAGTAGTGCCACTTAAGTGTTGGTTATTCTTAGCTCCCTGGTCTCCACCCTTTTGGCTAGTTCCTTGACAGTGGCAACCACTTTGATCTTGTTATGATAGTGTGTCTTATTTTTCTAAAAACATCCAAGCCAATTTCCATATGCTTTACTAGTTTACATACAGCATCCTGCAATTTCAAGGTCAAAATTACAGTCAACAGAGAATTCACTTTGAAAAATGGCACAATGTCATTTGACGAATCGAAAGGAGAGCCATGATACCACATTAAAAATGATTACCTTATCATGGAATTGCACATCACAACAAGCTGTTGCTCAAATATGGCTTGCTGTGACCTACAAGCCTGCCTCTACTAACAATCCATGGGTTTGCTCTTGAGCTAGAAACCATTGTACGAACCCATGGTTTATTAACCAATTGTAATTCTGGTCTGTTTAAGCCACTGCTTGTTGGGACATCCAAACTGGACATATGGCTTATTTCCTATCATGCTCACCCTGAAACAAGAGCTGAGCATAACAACAACAACAACAATTTATATTCCATCCTATCTCCCCAGAGGACTCAATGAACAAACACATACACCCATCATAACAAAAATTGACAACCCAACATATACAAATTATGCCTTAGCAACTACAATTAAATATAAAACACAACCTGTCATATCGGATATAAGACAAAACATCAAACATTGAACAGAAACATAAGGAGAGGACAAAATTGAAACAGAAATGGGGAAGCTAAACAAGATTTTGTTTGGTCATCTCCTGTGGCTAAATCTCTGGAGCTGACACCAAACAAGAAAACAAACAGATACGTTGACTATACTAAAGGCCAGACTCCATTTCCGCATCCATGAGTGACCACACACACATATACACCCCACTGCAATACCTGTGTTATCTGGCATGGACGCCTGATCTGTGTTTCTTTCTTTTCGGAAGACAATGTTCCCAAACTGCAGCACAGCTGAGACCATCCGCAGCATACCTGGCAGAGAAGACAACATGCACATCCTTTAGAACCATTAAACAAACCCAAAACCATGTCTCCTCTTTGCAAATACTAAAATTCAAGGTCATTCACTGAAAAGTTAAACAGTGGATTCAAGTAGAATACAAGGACACAAGACTTCATCATACAGCTTGATGACCCGTGAAACTCAATATTATGAGTAATATTTATATCCAGAATAAGATAATGCAGCAACTCTGTAAGAGTTACTATCATTGTATTACAAGCAGCTAAGGAGAAAAAAATGCCTATAGCCATTGATTTTAATTGACATTTTAATGCTATGTTTTTAATGAGTTTGGTTTTAATGTTTTTGTTTATTTACTCATGTATTAATATATGGCATTGAATTGTTGCCTTTGTAAGGCCACCCTGAGTCTCTAAGAAGATACCAGAATCTTTCCATGTTAAATAAGAATGCTGAATCACAGAATCATAGAGTTAGAAGAGACTTTGTGGGCTTGGACTGGATGGCTCACAAAGTCTCTTCCAACTTTATGATTCTATGATTCTGGAAGAGATATCACCATTCTTACTTGACATGGAAAGATTTTGTATCTTCATAGAGCAATACTCACAGTGTATCTCCTCATGGGAAAATCCCATGATGCGCATAGACTCCATGGTCTCGTGGAAGATCTCCTTGTCCTGCTGGCCGGGGATGGGGAGGTATCCATTGGACAGGAAGCGATACTGATTGAATGGCTCCAGCAGCAGCTCTCCTGCAATTTCCCAAAAGAAAAGAACTATTGAGGCAAGAGCTCACTATTGAAGGTTAATCTGCAATCCTAAGGAATTTTCCCTCTGCACTGCAGCCACACATCAACTAAAACCTATTGTTCACTGTTCATTTTCCTTTTGTCATTACCACTGCCTGCTAGCCAGTGTACCTTCAGCCATGTCTATGAGATGAGGCCAAAAGGGTCGAGGTCCAACCATTTCCATACCCATTCCCTAAATCTTACTTCCAGATTTATTTATTGTTCTGTTCTAAATACTGACAGAATCCAACATGTAAAACAGTGTTTCTCAATCTTGGGGTCAGAAACCCTGGAGGGGGTCACAAGGAGGTTCCAGAGCGGTTGCCAAAGACCATCAGAAAACATATATTTTGGATGGTCTTCTCCACGCCTCTCCTTCTCTTCCTTTTTGGAAACAGATGGTGAATCCTCCCACCAAAAGTCCTCTGCCTGCTGTGATTGGCCAGGCTCTCAACCAAGGGGAGGGCTCTTTCTGAGACTCCAAGCGGGGGAAAGGAGAGCTGGCATGCTCGGAGAATGGCAGCGTAATGCGCATGTATGGGCGAAGGAGAGCATGCAACGTTGGAGGGTAGCTCGCGCTAGCCAGTTCCTTCAAGGCATGTGGGTTCTGTATGGGAAGCTTGGCCCAATTCTATCATTGGTGGGGTTCAGAATGCTCTTTGAACTATAAATCCCAGCAACTAAAACCCCCGAATGTCAAGGTCTTTTCCGCCAAACCCAATCAGTGTTTGAATTTGGGCATATTGGGTATGCATGCCAAGTTTGGTCCAGATCTATCATTGTTTGAGTCCACAGTGCTCTCTGGATGTAGGTGAACTACAACTCCAAAACTCAAGGTCAATGCCCACCAAACCCTTCCAGTATTTTCTCTTGGTCATGGGAGTTCTGTGTGACAAGTTTGGTTCAATTCCATTGTTGGTGGAGTTCGGAATGCTCTCTGATTGTAGATGCACTATAAATCCCAGCAACTACAACTCCCAAATGATGAAATCAACCCCCGCCCCAACTCCACCAGTATCGGGCGTATTGGGTATTTGTGCCAAATTTTGTCCAGTGAATGAAAATACATCCTGCATATCAGATACATATCAGATACATTACGATTCATAACAGTAGCAAAATTACAGTAGCAACGACAATAATGTTATGGTTGGGGGTCACCACAACGTGAGGAAGTGTACTAAAGGGGTCGCAGCCTTAGGAAGGTTGAGAACTACTGATATAGAATCACAGGTGTTGTGGTTTTACTTCTCTGTGCAGTAATGGTTCCTCACCGGACTACAAATCCCAGGATTCCATAGCAGTAGCAAAATTACAGTTATGAGGTAGCAATGACAATAATGTTATAGTTGGGGGTCACCACAAGATGAGGAACTGTATTAAGGGGTTGCGGCATTAGAAAGGTTGAGAACCACTGATGTAAAAGAACCAAAAATGTATCGTATCACAGAAAGATGATTTCACTCACATGTGAACGCTATGGGGGCATTTACCTTTCATATGCTCGCCGGCTCCCACTAAGAGCTGGTAGAAGACATGGAAGGTGCGCTCATCCTTGGCTTGACGAATGGCTCGTGATTTCTCCAGAAGATCTGGAACACTCGGCGTTAAGGAACACAGAAATGAATCTAGACAAAACCTTTTCTCACCATAAAACCTTGTTCTCCAAAGAGGATGAAGATCTAGACTCCCAGCATTCCTGCTCCTCCATCCAAACCCATCAGGAAATTCCAGGACCAGAAATTCCTTTTTCCTTCTAATCTCTCAGGAAACCTGGACACTGGAATGTACTTCCTTCGTTCAATCCCTTGTTCCCTCTAATCTGTCAAGAATCCCTCAAAGAACAAGAACCTTCTAACGAGAAATAAACAATAATATTAATGCTCTATCTCAAGCATGGGCTTAAGCGGCTGAGGGGGAAAAGGAAAGGGCCTGAGGCTGTTAGGAATGATGGGAGTTGAAGTCCAAAACACCTGGAGGGCCAAAATTTGCCCATGCCTGCTATATCTTCTGTTCCAACCCCTTATACTCTCCCACAAGTAGGATACATGTCTCTATATTGGCTCCGACAATGTAGCCAGCTACATCAAAGTTAATTCGAATAAATTTACCCTGGGGAAGAATGAGAGAGAAAAAAGTATTAATTGATGACTTAGTTGGTCATAATATTCAGGCGGACCAAGGGGAGAAAATGTGCACAAAAGGTTTAAAATTTATTTCAAGTTGTCGTCCTAAGAGAAAAATAAAATAAAATGGTGCATACACAGGTGATATTTAACATGAGCAAGACTATTTGAAATGTATGGAAATGTAACCAACAAGATGGATTTTTTTTTTGTCCTATATGGCGGACGGATGGTGGGTAAGCGGATGGTGACTACTGGATGGCATACATTCTGTATCAGAAATTAGAGTTGATGTGGTCTAATTTCTGAATCATCTGAATCATCACCCTAAATAACCAAACTGAATCTAAAATTGACCAAAAATTGATTCGTAACCTTTTTGGTACTAATGTTGGAGAGTAGTCCATGGTCAAAGTGGTCCCTGGTCAAAAAAAGGTTGGGAACCACTGGTTTATACTAAACTAACTAACTGCTCCTCATTGAGGACTCGAAACTTGGGCAGCGTGGGGTTGAACTCTAATGAAATGTTCTTATTGGGACGGATGGGCAGCTAGTTGGAGAAGAAGCATGGAAGAATTATTCAGTATACAACTATAGCTGCAAGGCTGCTCTATGACTAGAGGAGAAAAGATGCAGCGATTCTGCCAGAAGAAGACTGGCTGATGAAATTATATGACATTGCCGAGATGGATAAATTAACAACTTTAATTAGAAAGAAGTCGTTAAACAGTTTTAACACAGATTGGAAACTAGTAATTGTTTTCTTAAGGGGATACCAGGGAGAATAACAGTGTTAGGCTTTGAAGGATAGTAAGATGTAATGTTAGGTTTTATGAGATAATGATAAGATTTACAATTACAGGAAGTACGATAATTGAATAATTAGAACCATTAGATAGAGAGCTGGAAGTCATTTTCTTCCCCCCTTTTGTTCTTTTTTCCCTTTTGCACTGTCAAACTTGTTAGTTTAGTTTTATAGTGTAAGATAGTATAGCTTTATTAAGTGCATTTGTAGTAGGATTTTAGGTTCATTATGTTTGTAGCCTGTCTTTTCCTCCCTATATATTTTATATTATATAAAAATTGTGGTTTAATAATAATATTATTTTTTAAAGGGATTAATGAATGGCTTATGGATTATATTTTGTGGAGAACATCTATTTCCTTTTTATACACATAGTCCAGGGAAAGGAGAACTTCCATACCTACAACAGTATGTTTTTCGTAAAAGTACTCTGACTAGAAAATATATGCCTTAATATTTGGGGTTTGATTGTTGTTGTTTTACACTCAGCCAAGTTACAGAGGTTTGAAGCAACTATTCTTGGGTTAACATTCCTTAAGCAGGAAAAGCAGGAAGTCATTTCTGAATACAGAAGTAGAACCAATGTGTCTATATTCCTGTTGCGAGAGCTATCTATAGGCAGGTAGTAAAGCATGTGAGGGAGTACCACACATATGTGCTGCACTGACCTCCGTTTTCAGCATTAACGTCTATAGGCGAGGTTCTCACAACCTGTGGGTCCCCAGATGTTTTGGCCTTCAACTCCCAGAAATCCTAACAGCTGGTAAACTGGCTGGGATTTCTGGGAGTTGTAGGCCAAAACACCTGGGGACCCACAGGTTGAGAACCACTGTTCTATGAGATTCAGAACCTGATGGTGTAAGGTTTCAAATCACACAGAAGTCAGCTACATAAAGCCTTCTTCTCCTTTCCCAAAGGCATCCACAATGTACCCATGATACCTAAGGGAAGGCACATGCACAACACTTGGCAAACAGTTACATGGGGCAACTCTGTCCTTGTTGTTTCCTCCTTACAGATACCAACATACAGCTATTGTGAGGAATGTAGCACTGACGTCGCTTCTCGCAGTAAAGAAATTGACAAAAATCTTTATATTTCCTCCTCTTTTAAGGTGGAGTTCAACATGACATTTCACAACAGAAACAAAGAGTATTTGAAACCAATAAGGAGGGGAAGGAACTGTTTTTCTTTCCAAATGAGGAGAAGCTTTGTTAGCACAGGTCAACAAAGCAGAGAAGGTTTTGCAAATGGTATTACTGCATTCCAGTCTTTCTGGGAAAGGGTCAAGAGAAAGCTTAGATGAAACTAAAGGCTGTGTCGAAAGGTTTGCAATCAACACAATAGGTAGGCAGATGTGCTGCAACCAAGGAACACAAAATATAAAGTCTAAACAATTTTAAATTTTATCTAAAAGGTTTCAACAACGTCACCCTTCCCCCAGGTTTTGGTAGAGTACGGAATATCAATAATAAATGTTTGTTTAAAATCACAGTTTCAACACACAGATTACAGCAGGGGTCCTCAAACTTTTTAAACAGAGGGCCAGGTCACTGTCACTCAAACTGTTGGAGGGCCAGATAATTTGAAAAAACCATGGATGAATTCCTAGGCACACTGCAGATATCTTATTTGTAGTGCAAAAACACTTAAAAACAATACAATAATTAAAACGAATAACAATTTAAAGAAATATAAACTTATTAGTATTTCAATGGGAAATGTGAGCATACTTTTGGCTGATGAGATAGGATTGTTGTTGTTGTTGTTGTTGTGTGCTTTCAAGTCGTTTCAGATTTAGGTTGACCCTGAATGAGGGCCGGGTAAATGACCTTGGAGGGCCGTATCCAGCCCCCAGTCCTTAGTTTGAGGACCCCTGGATTACAGAAACGAAGCCATAGTGCCACTGAAAGGATGCTATGCAAATTCAGTAATAAGTAAAGGTAAACGTTTCCCCTGACATTTTTTTTTCATGTCAGGAGTGACTTGAGAAACTGCAAGTCACTTCTGGTGTGAGAGAATTGGCCGTCTGCAAGGACGTTGCCCAGGGGACGCCTGGATGATTTGATGTTTTTATCATCTTTGTGGGAGGCTTCTCTCATGTCCCCGTATGAGGAGCTGGAGCTGGTAGAGGGAGCTCATCTGCCTCTCCCCGGATTCGAACCTGTGACCTGTCGGTCTTCAGTCCTGCCGGCACAGGGGTTTAACCCACTGCACCACCGGGGGCTCCACAATCCCCTGACATTAAGTCTAGTCATGTCCGACTCTGGGGGTTGGTGCTCATCTTCATTTCTAAGCCAAAGAGCCAGCGTTGTTTGCAGACACCTCCAAGGTTATGTGGCCAGCATGACTGCATGGAGCACTGTTACCTTCCCAAAGAAGTGGTACCTATTGATCTACTCACATTTGCATGTTTTGGAACTGCTAGGTTGGCAGAAGCTGGGCCTAACAGTGGGATTTAAATCTCCCACCTTTCAGTCAGCAACTTCAACATCTCAGCGGTTTAATTTGCTGTGCCACCAGAAGGTCCAATACAGTAATATTATGACATAAATATGGTACTGCTCTTTGGCACTAGGAAAAAATGTGCCAGTCCACCACATCAGAGAGTTTAAGGAGCCCTGCCATCATGCCTTTTCCAGAGTTGAAGTAGATGCCACATTCTCTCCCAGTGTACAGATGAAATCTACAGAAACTCTGGGGTATAATTTCTTTAAAAGAGCTCGATTCTGGTGCACACATTTCCAAAACAAAGCCAGGGATACAGTCCCACTTTCCATCAACTTACGAATCGCGAAGAGTTGTCGTTTTTTACAGTCTTTGCATTGCCGAAGGCCTCCAGAATAGGGTTGGCTTGTAGCAACTGACGCTCCAGTTCACCCTAAAGCCAAAGAAAAAGGAAAAGAGGAGGGAGGAAAGAGTTACCAAACTCTAGAAGCAGCTGGAAATACATCATGGTAGAAAAAGTACTATAGGCTGGCTTTCAAACCTAGCAAGGCTACAAGGCATATGCAAGACTTTTGACAAATTCCAGACATAAATTTGTCAAATGAATGGTGCCACTTTGGGGAAGTGAGCTCCGGCAATTGGCCAGCACTGGTCCCTGTTTGAACTGCAGAAGAACAATGACCCTGCAAGCTGGTACCCAATACCCACCCGGATTCCCCCCCTTCCCCTCCAAAAAAAACACAACAGAAAATTACTCACGTAGGAAGCAGGGTTGGAGGTCTATGGAGGACAGGGTGGGGTTGACATCACAAAACATAAAATGGGGTGGGGCGGAGGGAGAGGGCACAGAGCAAGACAAGGAAACAAACAGAACCAAAGGATTAAAATCAGAACATGAACAAAACAAAACCTGACGACGATGACAACATCAATGCAGTGACATAAACTGGGATTGGAGGAGGGGGGATGGGAAGACCAGCACCCTGGCTCCCTTTCCCAACCCCCCTCCCACCCACCCCATCAACCTTGAATCTTGTTCCTTTTTCAGAGAACCCAGCATCCTGGCTCTGATGAGGAAAGAGAGTCAAGGGAGTTTCTTCCAATTACACGCACAGGGGAAAAACTTGTGATGTTTAATAACCGACAATCAAAGCTTTTAAGCCAGAGTTAGAGCCCCCCAAAAGGAGGCAAGAGCAGCAGCCAATGTAAGTGACCAGCAGTCAGCCCTGGAGGATGGACGGGGAGGAGGAGGAGGACGAGGCTGTGCAGGGATAGGGGGGATTGGCATTGCAGCAACATGCAAGTGCTCTCTCTTGCCTGTTTGGCTTCGTTCAGGTACTCCGGCTGGGGCAGTAAGACAATAGAGGGGGGGTTAATACCAGCTCCCCTCGACGGCCCAGGAGAACACCCTCCCACACACAAAACACTGTCAGAGACAAGACCCCAAAGCCATTTTGTCTGGCCCCCAAAATTCAAATAATATCTTGCAACAAGCAGTGTGATCTCAGTGTGACCCAGATTGTAGAAAAGAAGCACCGCAGAGAAGTGTGCTTTGATGGAGGAAGTCCAAGGCTCAGTGGTGACATACAAACTTTGCAAAAGAAACAGTTTTGGCAGAGCTTGGAGAAATGGCTACTTCTTTGGACTGTCTTCCAGAATCCCTATGGTATTGTAGCCACTGGTCAGAATTAGTGAGAGGATTAAGAGGGCTGCAGTCCAGGAAAGTAGGTTTGGGGCACTAGCGCTCAGACCCAGTTCCTCAAAAATCAGAACTACCAAGTGCCTGAATCTGAGGCCACATTGACGCTGCCATATAATGCAATTTCAAACTGCATTGTATAGCAGTGTATGTAGATTTGGGGGGGGGGGTCAATTTTCACTGTGTGCTCAAACACGTCACAACCAAAATGGAAGAATCCTTGCTTTGCATTTCCCTCCCACAGATAGAGGTTTTGTTGTTCCGGGAGGAGTCCTGAATAGTGATATGACCACAGTATAATTACTATTATTGCTAAGCTTAATGATAGCAATTCATTAACTATAGCAGCCTATAATAGTTAATGAGTTTCTGTGATCTGATAAGAGAATTGGAAAAAGCAGATTATATCTAGAATGGAGAACAGTCCAACTACTGTAGTGTGCCAGCAGCCTCTTTCGTCTTCACTGGGTCTGCTGCTGGCTCACAGATGATGGAAGCAATTGCCGAACCCAGTGTTTCTCAACCTGTGGGTCCCCAGATGTTTTGGCCTTCAACTCCCAGAAATCCTAACAGCTAGTAAACTGGCTAAGATTTCTGGGAGCTGTAGGCCACAACACCTGGGGACCCACAGGTTGAGAACCACTGGTCTAACTAATACATCCAGGGGACACTGGTCAACAAAAGCCTTTTTGTTGTTATTGTTTATTCAATCAGTCACTTCCGACTCTTCGTGACCTCATGGACCAACCTATGCCAGAGCTTTAGGTTTGACAAAGTAATTTTTATACAGATACAAAACTGATGATCTGCATTTATAGTTTTGGGTGCTTGGGAATTAACCTCTATTCTGCACAGCTTCCATCTACGACATGGCCAAGATGAAGGGAAAGTGGTGGGATTGGTGAATTTCATAACTTTTGGACAAAGAGAAGAGTTCTCTCCTGACACCAACTGACCACAGCTTACACTTCTTTAGAAGGACTGCAGCTATTACCAGAGCCTGGAAAGATGACCTTTTCGACTATGACTTCCCAAATCCCTCCAAACAGAAGAAAATAATCTCCAGCAATTGGCAATCTGATTACTTGGACTCCACTCCTGCCCAATGGTAGCTGTGCCATTGTGGAAATTGTATTTTTATATTAGGTTTTTCTTTGGGAGTATGGGAAACTGTCCTTTCTTGGAGATATGGGATAATATGCCGCTTCCACACTAATGCGGGGTTTTTTTCACACAACATAACTACAGTGCTATGATTCAACTTTAACAACAAAATGGCTGCACTTCCAGGATTGTGGTTTGGCAAGACAACTGAGTCCTCAGCCAGAAAATCACAGAACTATAGAGATTGAAAGGATCGCAAAGGCTCTCTAACCCAACCACTTGCCATACCTGGATAAAAATTAAGCACTCCTGAAAGATGTCAATCCAACATGTCTACAGACCCTGAAAAATGGAGGATCCACCATGATCTGAGAAGTGGCAGTTAAAGAGGAATCTGGGTTGTTGTAGGTTTTTTTGGGCTATATGGCCATGTTCTAGAGGCATTTTCTCCTGACGTTTCGCCTGCATCTATGGCAAGCATCCTCAGAGGTAGCATCCTCACTACCTCTGAGGATGCTTGCCATAGATGCAGGCGAAATATCAGGAAAAATGCCTCTAGACCATGGCCATATAGCCTGAAAAAACCTACAACAACCCAGTGATTCCGGCCATGAAAGCCTTGACAATACATTAAAGTGGAATCGTTGCACTATAACTAAATAATGTACAGTGTTCCCTCACTTATTGCGAGTGTTACGTTCCAGGACCACCCGCGAAAAATGAAAATCCGCAAAGCAGGAACGATATATACGTATATCGCGTTCCGAGAGTGAAGCAGAAGCGATGAGAGATTTAAAGGCACCGCACACCTTTTTATTTGCTAGCTATAAGGAAGGGGCTATACTGCTTTGTATCTCCTCTCTTGATTGGCTGCCTCTCTCCTGAGGGGGAGGTGAAACCCCCTTCCACACTCCATCGTTGCCAGGAGGTGGGATTAAAATGCCACTCTAGGCAATGGCAACCATTCATAAACTGGGAGGCAAAAACTCGCGAAACAGCGAGTCCGCGAAAAGCGAACCGCAAAGTAGCGAGGGAACACTGTAATACGAAAGGGCCTTGAGAAGCATTTGGGAAGCAACCTGTAAAGGTGCTACAACAGAACTATAATGACTGTGAGGGAAGCAAACAAAAAAAAATAGAACACAGAGACCAAGAGGCACACAGGGAAGGTGGGAAGAACAGAGTGAACAGTGGCATACAAGTGTGGGCGAGTGACTAGGAAGGCACAAGTATGGGGCAAAAAGGTAATTGGATACGGGGGAAGTATGCTGGCACTCCTTCCTACTTAGATGCCACCCACCAGAAATGTGGCATCCAAATTCCAAAGAAGCACAGACTGGGTGTGGAAATGATTGAGGAAGGAAAAGCACTCTGCAAGTGCTTCAACAGCACTTCCCTTTATCGCTACTTCGACACATTCCAAAGCTGAGCATTTGCATTTAGGACACCTTCCAGGTAAACCCTGATTCAAAACTGAACTGTGGGTGTTGGGAAGCTGCTGTGCCCCAATGGGACCTCACTTCATTGGCATGATGTGGGTGAGAGGGAGAGGGGGAAAAAGAGGGGGAAAGAGCTCCTATTCAGAACACATAAGATTGGAGAATCGCTGGTCCATATGAAATACAAAATGATGCTCTTTCAAGGTTTCTGTTCTGCTCATTGTGGGTAACCATTATAGTAGGAGAGATTACTTTCAGGGTGACAACTCCCATAACACTCCTAGACAGCATGAGTGATAGCTGGGAGATTATGGGTGTTTTAAATTAATTTGACCAATTCCTTGAAAAAAATCAAAGAGCCACTCACCGGTACGTTGTGGTCTTTGCGGGCTTTATGCGACGAAGCCACATGCGCCAAATACTGGATTACTTTCTTAGTGTTCTCAGTCTTGCCAGCACCTGATTCACCTCTGTGAAGATATCCAAACATTGGGAGTGAGGAAAAAGGGAGAGACTAGATCCTGAATGGTTCATACCTGTTTCCTTTCGGTCCAAGGGCTTAGCTGTGTGTTCTCCTTATAGAAAGAACTAAATACATCAAACTTTGTTTCCCTCCTTCCTGGGCCTATATATCAAACTTAAACCTAAGCAGATTAATAGCAGAGCGTAAGAGGAAAATTAAAGCCTGGGATTCTGATCTCAACATTACTTACTTACTTAGTAAGTACTTACTTAGTATCTCAACATACTTATGAATGAACTGGGCATTATAATAATATTCTAGCAAGTACAACAACAACAATAACAACAATAATTCCCCTGTTTTTGAGTGTTGTTCTTTATTTAATGTCCTGATTTTAGAGTTATTTAATACTAGTAGCCAGATTTTGTTCATATTCATGGTTTCCTCCTTTCTGTTGTAATTGTCCACGTGATTGTGGATTTCAATGGCTTCTCTGTATAGTCTGACATGGTGGTTGTTAGAGTGGTCCAGCATTTCTGTGTTCTCAAATAATATGCTGTGTCCAGGCTGGTTCATAAAGTCCTCAGCTATAGCTGACTTCTCTAGTCGAATTAGTCTGCAGTGCCTTTCATGTTCTTTGATTCGTGTTTGGGCAAATTCAAGGATCAATCAGGGCCAGCTAACACCACTCATCAAATGATTCCCCCAGGCAGCAATCAGCCAGGCTTTGAAGCTGCAAGGCCATCCAATGCTAATTGAGGTGGACAATTGCAACATTCACACCTGCCTCAAGCAGACAAGAGTTCTTTCTCTCACCCTGGATATTCCACAGATATATAAACCCCACTTGCCTAGTTTCCAACAGACCCCTCAACCTCTGAGGATGCCTGTCATAGATGTGGGCAAAACGTTAGGAGAGAATGCTTCCGGAACATGACCATACAGCCTGGAAAACTCACAACAACCCAGTGATTCCGGCTATGAAAGACTTCGACAACACAATAATACTATAGTTATAGATTGGTGTAGAATTAAGAGTCCTGAGTGAAACTATTACTACTGGAAGTAGCCCCGTTTGGCTGCAACAGAAGTAAACAAGATGACAGCCAAGGACATGTCTCTGGTCCTGCTGAAAAGCAACTAAGGAATTTCCCTGCTCTTTTCTCCCCATCTTTTCCCCACTTTTAATGGTGTCATTTTACCATGTGGGCAAGGACTTGCTTTTTCAGTGGTTACACGTAAGCTGCTCCAAGAGCCTTTTGAGCTGAAGAACAGGATAAAACATGTCTTACGTAAATAGGTAAACAAGCTCTGCTCAACAAAGCTTACTGGGAGAAGCCTTGAGCTCTTTGCTATGAATTCAGCTTAACCTGCATTAGAAAATGATTGTGAGGATAATCCGGCTGTTTGATGAGAGATCGTGCACGTCTTCTTTTTAAGATAAAACTGTTAATGATTTAACAATAATCTTCCACCTTGCAGACCAGGCTACTGGGATCACTGGGACAGCATGGAGAGTGCTTTCGGGGCTCTGAAATACCCTTCCCAGTGTGTTAGACTACAGTGCCCATCATCCCCAACCACTGTGGTAGTGGAGCCACAGATCAACACAACTGGACATCACTAGGATGAGTCATGCTCTTGTGATACTAAATATTATGTATCAACATTATACTATTAACTTTGTATTGTCGAAGGCTTTCATGGCCGGAATCACTGGGTTGTTGTAGGTTTTTTCGGGCTATACGGCCATGTTCTAGAGGCATTTTCTCCTGACGTTTTCGCCTGCATCTATGGCAAGCATCCTCAGAGGTAGTGAGGTCTGTTGGAACTAGGAAAATGGGTTTATATATCTGTGGAATGTCCAGGGTGGGGCAAAGAACTCTTGTCTGCTAGTTCCAACAGACCTCACTACCTCTGAGGATGCTTGCCATAGATGCAGGCGAAACGTCAGGAGAGAATGCCTCTGGAACATGGCCATATAGCCCGAAAAAACCTACAACAACCCACTATTAACTTTATTTATATCCCATCTTTCCCCAAAGATTGGAAATCAAAGTGCCTATTAATGATATCATTGAAAACATACAAAAAAGTCATATTTACTTCCATCTTACTTGACATATAAAGCCACATCATTTCGGCCCCAGATTAGTCAGAATTATCACAGTGGGGAAGAAGACTTTGCTCTCCGATCCGGCCGGCATCTGAGCATGCAACTACACATAGAATTAATGCAGTTTTACACCATTTTAACTGACATGGATCAGTGCTATAGAATCCTAGGATCTTTAGTTTTTGGCAGAGCAGTGCTGGTATCTTGGTAAACGAACTTGTAAAACGACAACTGCCATGATTCCATAGCATTGAGCCATAGCAATTAAAGTGATCTCAAACTGCATTAATTCTACAGTGTGGATTCAATATAAATGAAGAAGGGGAAAAAGGTGCATGAAGCAAGAGTTCAGGATAGGTGTTCATAAGGCTGGCTCTCAGCATGATTAATAGCTGCAGTTTTCAGACTATACTGCATGTAACCAGACTATACTGCATGTAATGCTACCAGTTCCAAGCCTGAAGTTGGTATTATTTGGGCTGCAAAGGCTGCTAGAGCCTCCAGCAATACTAGAGCATTGAGCCTACTGATATACCTGCTACCGTAGAGATAGCCCTGCCCCAGTAAACAAACCATCCTGGTTTCAGCACAACTTACGTGCACAAGATTGACTGGTCCTCTCGATCTGCACAAGAAAAGAAAAAGAGAGCTTTCAGACATACAGAACCAGGCACATTGGTTTCCACCAGAGGGTGCTGGTGAGACACATTCAACTGCTCAACCCCCACCCCCCCACCCCACCCCGAAACTTCACTGACCACAGGATTTTAGGACCTCGGTGACACATCCCACACTGGGCACACACCCCAAAACCCTGCATTCTCTTCCTACTCCGATGCAGTTTGGAATGGGGAACTCAATGAGCTGTCCACCCTGACTCCTCCACCCCTGCCCCACTATTAAAGTGATTCCCTCTTGGACCCCTGGGGGGATCCCGAGGGAGTTTCAGAGGGATCTCCAAAGACCATCAGAAAACACAGTATCTTCTATTGGTCATGGGAGTTCTATCTGGGAAGTTTGGCCCAATTCTATCATTGGTAGGGTTCAGAATGCTCTTTGATTGTAGGTGAACTATAAATCCCAGCAACTACAAATCCTAAATGTCAAGGTCTATTTTCCCCAAACTCCACCAGTGTTCACATTTGGACATGTTGAGTATTCATGCCAAGTTTGGTCCAGATCCATCATTGTTTGAGTCCACAGTGCTCTCTGAATTTAGGTGAACTACAACTCCAAAACTCAAGGTCAATGCCCACCAAACCCTTCCAGTATTTTTTGTTGGTCATAGGGGTTCTGTGTGGGAAGTTTGGCCCAATTTTATCATTGGTAGGATTCAGAATGCTCTTTGATTGTAGGTGAACTATAAACCCCAGCAACTACAACTCCAAAATGTCAAGTCTATTTTCCCCAAACCCCACCAGTGCTTACATTTAAGCAGATTGAATATTTGTGCCAAGTTTGGTCCAGTTCCATCATTGTTTGAGTCCACAGTGCTCTCTGGATGCAAGTGAACTACAACTCCCAAACTCAAGGTCAATGCCCACCAAACCCTTCCAGTATTTTCTGTTGGTCATGGGAGTACTGTGTGCCAAGATTGGATCAACTCAATAGTTGGTGGAGTTCAGAATGCTCTTTGATTGTAGGTGAACTATAAATCCTAGCAACTACAACTCCCAAATGACAAAATCAGTTGAGGGAGTTGAAGTCCAAAATACCTGCAGAGTCGAAGTTTGCCCATGCCTGCTCTAAATGCATCAGACTAGAACACCCCTCATCCCCAGGCACCTGGTTCTGAAGGCAGGCTAGTCTACAGGATCCAATCCTCCAAGGTCTCACCCTCCCCTGGTTTTTCCCCTTCCCAGCCCTTCCAATTCCTACCCTGAAGCATGCTGCGATAGGCCGCCTCAGAGATGGCGTAGATGTGAGGGGGCATCTCGTGACGTTTCTTGCCCCGGTACATTTCCACAATCTGCTCTGTGTAGATGGGCAGGTTCTTGTAAGGGTTGATGACCACGCAGAAAAGCCCTGAATATGTCTGCGGTTGCAAAGAAAGGAGAGAAAAGGGCAGATTACAAGAGTTCCCTTCCCCAGGTCAGAACACACACAGCAACCACAAAGTGAATTAGGCTTGTGGACAAACAGTTCTCAATCTGCATGCCTTGGGTCCCTTCCAGACAGGCCCTATATCCCAGGATCTGACCCCAGGTTTTCTGTTTATCCCAGATTATCTGGCAGTGCAGACTCATATAATCCATTTTAGGGCAGAAAACCTGGGATTGGATCCAGGGATATAGGGCCTGTCTGGAAGGGCCTTTAGTCTAATGACAACATAAAAACTTCTGACTTAAGGCAAAGTGAGGTAGAAAGAAAGGAGAGGGAGATCTGTGTCCACTGAACTCAAACTATTATAACTGATATGTATATGTTTTTACAGTTTTATAACGTTGTGTTTTAGTGTTACTGTTATTGTCTGAATCTGCCATTGAATTTTTGCCATAGAATCATAGAGTTGGAAGAGATCTCATAGGCCATCCAGTCCAACCCCCTGCCAAGAAGCAGGAAAATTGCATTCAAAGCACCCCTGACAGATGGCCATCCAGCCTCTCTTTAAAAGCTTCCAAAGAAGGAGCCTCTACAACACTCCGAGGCAGAGAGTTCCACTGCTGAACAGCTCTCATAGTCAGGAAGTTCTTCCTAATGTTCAGATGGAATAGTTTGTAAGCCGCCCTGAGTTTCCCTTCAGGGGTGAGAAGGGTGGGGTATAAGTACAATATATAAATAAATAATTGGTCTGCTACAGCGGAAGGGAGGTGCAACCTATGTTTGGGTTTTTGGGACTGCTGCACTTCCCATCATCTTAAAGTCAGAATAACTGCTGGTGAAAGGTGGTGGGATTTGCAGTTGAACATCACCTGGAGAGCTACACCTTCTCCATCCCAGGCTTTGTGTAAGAATCAGAGAGGCATTTCTGTGTTGTACGCAATGCCAAATTCCTGATCTACCTGAGCAGCAATAGAAAGAAAGTACGTAACTCTGGGGGTCAGAAAAGCAGCTATTCTAGACTTTAAGGTTTCCATCACTGTTAAAAGTCGAACTCCTTTAAAATATAAGCTTTCTAAGGGTGTCCCCTTTAATATTTCAGGCATCCAGAGTGGCTGCCATTTTCCCCATATTTTTAATGCTAATTTTCTAGGACCTCTTGTTTTTTTAATGGGAGCCTCTAGATTTCTTGTAAACATCCCACATTTTCCCTCTCTGTTGTTTTCTTTTTCTTCTTCCTCTTCCTCTTCTTTTTCTTAGGTGATACCTCGTAGTCGGAGGATGATGGTCCACCAAGTGATGTGTCTTGGTGGTGGATCCGTAGGTGTCTGTGGAGCCCTATGTTCTCCTGCAGTGCGGGCATTTGTTTCCAGGTGGAAGGCAGTCCTGGTCAGGGTTGGCTTGACATGCCTTGCTCTTGGTTTCTCTCTTCTGCCCTCCATTCGTGCCTCTTCAAATTCTACAGCACTGCTGGTCACAGCTGACCTCCAGCTAGAGCACTCAAGGGCCAGAGCTTCCCAGTTCTCGGTGTCTATGCCACAGTTTTTAAGGTTGGCTTTGAGCCCATCTTTAAATCTCTTCTCTTGCTCGCCAACATTCTGTTTCCCATTCTTGTGTTTTGACTAGAACAGCTGCTTTGGGAGGCGGTGATCAGGCATTCGGACAACGTGGCCGGTCCAGCGGAGTTGATGGCAGAGGACCATCGCTTCAATCTGGTGATCTTTGCTTCTTCCAGCATGCTGACATTTGTCCATCTGTCTTCTCAAGAGATTTGCAGGATCTTTCAGAGGCAACGCTGATGGAATCGTTCCAGGAATTGCATGTGATGTCTGTAGATAGTCCATGTTTTGCAGGTATATAGCAGGGTTGGGAGGACAATAGCTTTATAAACAAGCACCTTGGTATCCCTATGGATGTCCCGGTCCTCAAACACTCTCTGCTTCATTCGGAAAAATGCTGCACTCGCAGAGCTTAGGCGGTGTCGTATTTCAGTGTCAAGATACCGGAAATGGTCAACATTTTCTAATATTACACCATTAAGCTGTATTTCTGCCATTGGAGAGGGATTGGCTGGTGACTGCTGGAAGAGCACTTTGGTTTTCTTGATGTTCAATGAGAGGTCGAGCTTCTCATATGCTTCTGTGAAGGTGTTTAAAGTAGCTTGTAGGTCTTCTTCTGAATGTGCACATTGTTTATTGTATCTTCAGTTCTACACCATTTTTTTCTTCTCTCCTTATATTGCTTTCTATCAGTGGCTTTAATTGAAATGTTTCATAATATAAACTCCAGGTTTGGTAACCCCTGTCCTAGTTCATCCTGGTGAATATAGCATACTTTATTTGAAATTCTAGGTTTATTTTCACTCAGGATCCACTCTCTAATAGTCCTGTTTTTAATTTGTCTTTGATTGATTTCTAGAGTTCCTTTCACTATTTTAATGGCATGGAAAGGGAGAGACAAAGAAATGGCACCTGCCTTGTGTGGCTTGTAAGGTGACCCAAGAACTTGGGAAAGTTACTCTTTTGAACTACAGCTCTTAAAGTCTACATCAGGCATCCTCAAACTGCGGCCCTCCAGCTGTTTGGGCCTCCAACTCGCAAGAGCCCTTGCCAGCTTGTTCATTGTTCAGGAATTCTGGGAGTTGGAGGCAGAAACAGCAGGAGGGCCGTAGTTTGAGGACGCCTGGTCTACATGTTAGTATAACCAGCTGGAGCCGTTGTCGCCAAAAGGAACTACTCCAAGCTCTGGCACTGTCGATTTAAAAAAAAAATCAAGGTGTCATTAGATAAACTAAATTTTGAAAGAAGATTCAAGAAGGGCTGACTTCAGCAAGCATCTTATGTCTTGGCCGTTGTGTTTCCCAGTCAGCTATCTCAGAAAACTAGTTGCCCAAGTGAGTCTTAAAATCTGGCTTTGACCAATTTTTGAGCTGTTTTTCGGCAGCATGTGTGTGTCAAATGCTTCCTCTGGCATTTCAGTCGTGGGTCCTGTTCACCACATGGCAACAAGACTGGAAGATTCAACATCCAAACGGAAAATCTGAGCTCATAAGGATTTGAAAGGTTTAGCAGATTCAGCAGAGCATGAAGCCACAGGTCGGAATTCCTGCAAGGCAGGTGCAGGCCGGGCAAGAGGGAAAAGCCAGCGCTTGGAAGTGTCAGAAACCTTCATCCAGGACAGGTTATGATATCCTTTTCAATGTAACATTATATTTTTTGCTAAAAGATGTTTCCTGCTGGAGAGCTTCACCGTTTGACTCAAAAGAGGACATGTGAGTTGATTCATGGCCGAGCCTTTCATTGCTAAGGTTTAAACAGTGTGCCTACGACTGTGCCCTGAGGAGAACGGGTTTCACACCCTCGCCGTCTCCATGCTCCTGTTCTAGCTAAACAGGTCTAGGCTGTTCCCCGCCTCGATACCCAGCCACACGGGTGGAGATTGGGGGAGGAAGGGCGCTGGGCCGTCCGCAAGTCAGCAATGACGTGCGGCTGAGAGAATGCCTTGGCCCCGTGCCTCTCGGGGCAGCCTTTTGTGCCCACTCGGGTGCCACAGAAACCGAAGCTCCACGGTGCCAGCAGGACAGAAGGAGAAAAAGATGCCTTTCCCCCAATGCCTTCCCTTTGTTGCTGGCTGTGCATCACCAGAGTGGAGAAGACACCGCTCCCCGTTCCTGGCGTCATTGCACACACACTCCACAAGCTCAGAACAAAAGCACAACTTTGCGAGTTGTCGTTCCCCCCCTCCACACACACACACAAACACTCCAAAACCAGCTCTTCAGTCTCCTTGGCATCAGTGCCCTGCTAAGGCTGAACAGCTCAGCATCTAAACACTGCACCGTGCTCAAAGAGGGAAACGAGCCCCACGGGACCGGCTCAGTGACTCCAGGAGACATTTCCCGGCAGGGGGCACAATGGCTTCAGTTTTGCCTGCGTCAGCAAATGGGGGAGCTACTCCCCCCCCCCAAAGAACCTCAGAAGCCCTCCAAGGTGCCTCCCTTCACGTGCCTACCGGCACTCTCAATTTTAGACTCTAAAATCTGGACATTATCCCTTTTCCACTCAGACTTCCACAAATAGCAAGTCCTAAAAATGGCACTTTTTTGCACTTCTAGGGAAGCGTAGTTAGTAGTTGTTTTCAGTAGAAGATTGAGGTGTGAACTTGCTAGCTCAGTGCTGGAAATAAGGATATGAGGTAGAATATTAAGACTTCGCAGCAAGGAAGTATTTTTTTTAATTGGCAAGAGAAAGTACCATATAGATATTCATGTATAAATTAAGGGCAGGTTTTTGGAGCCAAAATTATATGACTCGCGGATAAGTCAATGGTCATTCCACAGAGAGAGGAATGCTGCCCTGGGGGACCAGCCATTCCTGGCCATCACCATTTTCCCAGCCAGGCGTTTGAAAAGAGAAGTGGTGCCACGGCAGGGAGAGTAGAGAGAGTCAGTGCTTTTTTAAGATTCTCCCAGGATTGAGTATGCTCTTGCTTTTTGCCACTCTACTCAGAAAAGGTTTCCTTGTGTGTGTATACACACACATATGTAAGTTAAGGCACAGTACTCACATTGACCTGTGGATAAGCTGATCTCAAGGTTTTTGGGTTGAGTTTTTGACTACAATTTCTAGACTTATACAGGAAGTCTCCAAGTTACAAACATCTGACTTACGAACAATTCATAGTTAAGAAGAGGGAGACAACAAGAAGTGAGAGAAATCTACCCCTAAGAAGGGAAATTCACTCCTGGAAGAGTTATTATCATGGGGAAAAGTTGTCTCCACTGAAGCTTTCTCACCAGTTCTTGTTTAAACAACAATCCTTTCAAATTCCACAATAATTTTTTCAAAATCCAATTATCACAGACACAGAAAGTGAGGTGAAATTTTCTGAACAGGGGCACAGACGGCAAAACAAACACCGCAGGAGTTTTAACCCTTCCTTATGTCATCCAAAACTAAAAAATACATAATTTTGGCTGCAATTACACTTTAAAAAGTACCTGTTCTGACTTATATACAAATTCAACTTAAGAATAAACCAACAGAACTTATCTTGTTCATAACTTGGGGATTACCTGTACAAGGTAGATAGTGGGAGATAAAATCTCTTGGGTTCTTTTGGAAAGGTAGTGAGGCTACCTCTGACCTTCCAGATATTGAGGCCCATCTTGGATCCAAACTATCTAAAATAATGTATCTCCTTACACGAGCCAGCCTGAATTTTAAGATTTTCAGAGGAAGGTTTTATCTCAGTCACGCTTCCATATCTGCAGAGACAGTTGGTGACTTCACAGTAATGGCTCCCAAGCTATGTAACTGCCTTCCACGGGATGCCAAGTTTATCCTCTCTCTGGTCATCTTCCACCAACCTTTTCATTTAGACAGATTTTTGGCTGATAACTGGTGGAAAAGTCTCCTAATTGTTGAGTTGTTGAACCTTCCCCCATATTTCACAAGATGTTTGTAAACTGTTTTAATTCTGAGCTTGGTTTTAGTACAACTGCTCATTTAAGGTTTTGCATTGTTGTTTTTATGGTACAAAACGGTGGTTTTTAATCTGGATTTTTATGGATTCATACAGATCCTGCATTGGGAGAAAGACAGGATATTAAATAAAGCCTGCAATGTACATCACTCCAACGACATAGTCACTGGAAAGGAATTGTGGCACTGAGTTCAAAACAGGGCTCCTCTGTGCGTTTCTCAAGAAGGCCTGTCATTTACATTTTTGGCTTACAGTCCAATGCTAGTGGAAGGATCCTGGGAACTTTAGTTTATTTAAAAAAAATCAAATCACAGGCAAGTTCTATGACAGGGAACCAGGTGCTTTAGAAGAATAGACTTGATGAGAAAATGCATAGCATGGAGACTGCACCCCAAAATTCCCCAGGCCTGCTGCCAACTCACGTAGATGAGGCCCGAGTAGTAGCGATCCTTGAGGTTGTGCAGCACCGAGGCTTCGTTGAGGCAGGTCAGCTCCGCCATGTCCTCCACCTTGGTGAACTTGGGGGGATTCATTTTCTGGATGTCGTCCTTGGCGACCAGCACCTGACGCCCGTTCTCGGCCAGCTCCACCATCACCTCGTCACCCCGCTCTTCGCGCAGCCCGGCCGCCTCGAAGCCGTGACGCTCCGAAGGGACCCATACGAGTCGCTTGGCCGTCCAGTCGGCTTGCGAGGCTGGGTTGCCCACCTGGTTCCGGTCCACAAACAGGTATCTCTCGGCGCTGGCATCGCCTCGCTGTGTAGGGGCCCGGACGGCCATGGCTGGGGAAGGAATGGAAGGTAAAGAAAAGTTCAGACAGGGTATCACTCTTGGGTTTGAGTTCTACTACTGTCCTACACCGTGAAATTTCACACAACCATATTCCTTGATATCAAAAAAGGCCTGAGGTTGTTAGGAATTGTGGGAGTTGTAGTCCAAAACACTTGGAGGAAGGTTGAAGTTTGCCCTTAGCTGCTGTAGCTGGACCAACCTTTGTTAACCTTGTTAACAGGCTCTAACCTTGTTAGCCACTTTGCGTCCCTGACTGGGAAAAGGGCAGGATATCAATATCAGCAACAAAAACACATAACCAGAGTTTAAAAATGTTTTTTTGGACTAAAATTCTGCCAAAAGCATTCAAAACAGGCAACATTCCCAAACTCTACAGGACTGGAAAAGCTCCAGACAAAATGCATTCTGCATTAGACTGTTACAAAAACAGTCCCAGTGTTTTCTCCCCCTTCTTTTCCCTCGGTTCAAAATGTGGCATAGCATGTCTGGAAAAATTGGGGACACAAAACTTGACTGACCCTTTCCCCTTTCTCTTCCCCTCCCATCCAAAAAACAAATCACGTTTTTTTCAGAAGTGGATGGGGAGTGGAAATATTTGTAGCATTCAGTTGACTATCAAAACACAAAACTGAACCCAAACCTTTAGACTCAGAAGAGTCTTGTGCAAACATCGTAGTGCCAATAGAAAGAGAAACTCGTGTTTACAGAACAATCATTGGGAAATAAAACTGAGCGAAAGCACTCTCTGCTGTGGAAGCAAAGGCTGTCTGGTGCCAAGATTATAATCCCTAGATAGGGGACGGTGGTTTTGATGGGATGAGGAGGAAAATCTAGATAGGGGATATATGGCTCCGGATGGAAAGAGTAGACCTGGATCTATTGGTAGATCTGGAGTGATTTAGAGTGACTCAAGGAGGATTTCTCACTCCCAAGACTTTAACAACAGAAGCAGTAATAAAGTGACTCCTCTTCGCATAAACAATACTTCTGAAATTAAGAAAGCTTGAAATAAACCAATATTTTTGTGTATGGAAAGACTGTAAGCATTATCCAGGTCTAGCACTCAGAGAAAACCCAGACGCAGAATTCTTTTATACCACACTCTAAGCCAGGTATGGGCAAACCTCACACCTCCAGATGTTTTGGACTTCAACTCCCACAATTCCTAACAGCCTCAGGTCCTTTCCTTTCCCCCTTAAGAGGATGAGGGGGAAAAGGAAGGGACGTGAGGCTGTTAGAAATTGTGGGAGTTGAAGTCCAAAACATCTGGAGGCCCCAAGTTTGCTCATGCCTTCTCTAAGTGATGGATCATGGTTTACTGTAAACTTTTTAAACTGTACTCTACTGAGCTTGGAAGCCACCTTGGATCCTGCTCCAGGGGTGCATTTACGCTGTAAAATTAATGCAGTTCGACACTACTATAACTGCCATGGCTAAATAATATGGAATCATAGGAGTTGTAGTTTTATAGTATCTTATAGCAGCGTTTCTCAACCTGGGGGTTGGGACTCCTGGGGTGGGGTGTTGCAAGGGGGGTGTCAGAGGGATCGCCAAAGACCATCAGAAAACACAGTATTTTCTGTTGGTCTTGGGGGTTCTGTGTGGAAAGTTTGGCCCAATTCTACTGTTGGTGGGGTTCAAAGAGCTCTTTGATTGTAGGTGAACTAAAAAACTCAGCAACTGCAACTCCCAAATGTCAAGGTATATTTTCCCCAAAATCCATCAGTATTCGCATTTGGGCATATTGAGTATTCATGCCAAGTTTGATCCAGATTCATCATTATTTGAGTCCACAGTGCTCTCTGGATATAGGTGTACTACAACTCCCAAATTCAAGRTCAATGACCACCAAACCCTTCCAGTATTTTCTGTTGCTCATGGRAGTTCTGTGTGCCAAGTCTGGTTCAATTCCATTATTGGTGGAGTTCAGAATGCTCTCTGATTGTAGGTGAACTATAAATCCCAGGAACTACAACTCCCAAATGACAAAATCAATCCCCCTCTCCCTAACCCCACCAGTATTCAAATTTGGGTGTATCAGGAATTTGTGCCAAATTTCATCCAMTGGATGAAAATACACCCTGCATATCAGATATTTACATGACAATTCATAACAGTAGCAAAATTACAGTTATGAAGTAGCAACGAAAATAATTTTATGGTTGGGGGTCAGCACAACATGAGGAACTGTATTAAGGGGTTGCAGCATTAGGAARGTTGAGAACCACTTGTCTTATAAACTTCCCTGCTAAAGAGTGCTGTAACACTCAGGATTCCCTAGTATTGGTTTGTTAAAAGGGTTTCAAACTGCATTATTTCCAGTGTAAATACACCCCACGAGAAAGGTAGCATACCAATGAAATAACTAATAAATTCCTCTCTAAACAATTGAGATTCCACAAATCTGAAGAACCCACTCTCATGTAAAGTATACTAGCAGAAAAGGTGGCATTTTTTCATAATTCGGAGATTATTTCTATTTTCCCTTCCAATTTTTTCAGTCCAGGTTGGGATAACAAAATAAACCACTCTGCATTCGCCTCTCTCCATCACGAGATTGGAAGGAGAAGCGACACAGATCATAGGCAGCCATTTCAATTTGTGCATGACACTGGCAAGGACCCAGGAAAATGCCCACCGATCTAAGCTTATATGATATTAAAGGATAAAGCAGTCCAATAAACTAAGCTGGTGTGGGAGGGAATGATGGGCTGGTATTTGACCACATGTAATAAATCATAACTAGCGGCAGATGAATCAACAAAACGCAGGAAGGAAAGGCAAAGCAAAATATTTACTCGTTTTAAAACCCAGGGCTTTTCAAAAGCTGTCATGGCGTGCAATTTCTCTCTCATACAGACATAAAACAATTTAATATGAGGTTATTACAACTGGGAAAATGTATCTCCAATTGTAATAACATCATCGGTTACTAGCATTTGAAAAAATCCTCATTATATTGAAGATATAGACTGCTGGGGTATTCATCTATCCATATAAAAACAAACAAAAGTACATAAACTGCTAGATATAAGGTGGAAGGAAAAAAATTAAACTGCAGAGAAACCAACAAAAGGGAAAACAAATATATTATTTTAAAAATAATATATGTATTATGTTTGTATTTGAGTCACATATAATTAGAGTAGAGATGTATGTTGTTATTATTATTACATATTTATACTCCGCTTTTCTCCCCATGGGGACTGTTAGCAAGAGAAAATGTATATTTATTTATGTGTATATATGTATGTACACAGGAGCCCCTGGTAGTGCAGTGGGTTAAAACGCTGAGCTGCTGAGCTTGTTGACCGAAAGGTCACAGGTTCGAATCCGGGGAGCAGCGTCAGCTTCTGCTGTCAGCCCCAGCTTCTGCCAACCTAGCAGTTCGAAAACATGCAAATGTGAGTAGATCAATAGGTACCACTCCGGTGGGAAGGTAACGGTGCTCCATGCAGTCATGCCGGCCACATGACCTTGGAGGTGTCTACGGACAATGCCGGCTCTTTGGCTTAGAAATTGAGATGAGCACCACACCCCAGAGTCGGACACGACTGGACTTAATGTCAGGGGAAAACCTTTACCTTTACTATGTATGTACACATTTTCTCTTACTAACAGTATGTATGTATGTGGAGCCCCCAATGGTGCGGCAGGTCAAACCACTGAGCTGCTGAACTTGATGACTGAAAGGTCGGCGGTTCAAATCCGGGGAAGCGGGGTGAGCTCCCGCTGTCAGCCCCAGCTTTTGTCAACCTAGCAGTTCAAAAACATGCAAATCAGTACTGCCTTGGTGGGAAGGTAAACGGCGCTCAATGCGGTCATGCCGGCCACACGACCTTGGAGGCGTCTACCTACAACGTCGGCTCTTCAGCTTAGAAATGGAGATGAGCACCACCTCTCAGAATCGGATTCGACTAGACTTAATGTCAGGGGAAACCTTTACCTTTGCTATTGTACTCATTACGCTATAGTATTTATAATGCCACTATTAGTTATTATGCCACTGCTACCTCTGAAAGCTAACATACTAAAGATGATGCCCTTACTTGCAACATCTGCTCAGAAAATACATGTATACTTCCCCCCTTTGTCAATCTCCTATGTATAAATACACACTTCTCTCATTCCATATGCATTTCCCCATGGTCGGACACGACTTAATGTCAAGGGGAAACAGTTACTTTTTATGTATGTATGTACATAAAAGTATAAAAGTATAAGTATTTTTTTTAGTTTTTGTTCCTTTTCTGTTATAAGTATGAATTAAAAACAGAAAAAGGGGGGAAATCACAGAAACTTAATTCTCGACACAATGAGTGCAACCGTTTGAACAAGGACGTTTGGGAAAAGATAGGAAGAGCCAAGGCGGGGAAAACAGATCCAAGCACGGCTGGAAAATCCATCCGTGTCATAGATATGTCAGGGATCACCCCCCCCCCCCCCCCCCCCGAATATGTTGTGCTCACTTCTCTCTGCCCCAATGTCCCTCTTTTAAAAGACCCCAGTAGGATAATTTCTCCTCCGAGAAAACCCAGGCTTTTCTCTGCTCATCCAGGCCCAGTGCCCCCAGCCAGCCGTCTGGCTGATGAGCGAGATTTTCCAATTCTCCATCTCGCTTCCATTCGCCCCCTCTGGACCCCTGCTGGGTTGGCTGGCGTAAGCGGCCGCTTCGCCTGTTTCGGCTGCTGGACCCAGACACTCGCGCCCTTGTTCCAGACATCCGTGGGGGTCTCCCCTAGGATAAGAGGCTTGTCTTCCTCTTTCCATGAACACAACTGCAGAGAAAGAGGACCGCTCGACCGTCGCTGCAATTTTCAAATAATACTTTACGCCCTTCGCACACTCCGCGTGATTCTTTTTCTTCTTCTTCCTTGATCGTCTTTGGCCTTTGCAGCTTTCTCTCCGATCCCTTACTCAGTTTCTAAAAAAAGAATGGCTGGAGTCCCAAAGGAGGCATGATGTCAAGCAATTCAGACCTGCAAGGTAC